GATTGTGTATTGCGACTATATATATCTTTTAGGCTATCCTGGAACACAGGCCTTTAGCTCTTTTATCATGTAAATTCTGCCAGCTGATTTAATTTTAAGATTCGATTGATTAGCATCCATGAAAAATCACAATATAAAAGCACAGCTTACTCTAAACTTGGCGTAACACCTTAGGACAGTGATCTAATTTGTGTAAATAATATTTATGTATATTCCAGGTGTTCTAAAAATGTTCGACATCTGTTTAAACTCGGCATTGCAGCTTAGGACAGTGATCTAATTTCTATATAAATATGTATATTCCAGGTGTTCTAATAATGTTCGACATCTGTTTAAATGCAATAAGCGGCTTATCATAACTCGTCTCGGAGGATCGGTGTGGAATGTTTTATTCGTCTTGAAATCGGAATCAAATTGCCAAGCTCCTGGTACTCCTGTGCGGCTGTCACTCAAAGTAAGCTTGATATTACTTTATAAGCAATCAGTGTGAGCAAGCACTCAATATAATACGATCTAGATCCACCTCTGTTCGCTGCTATTCTTGGCCAGTTTAAAGGCGACCATTGTGGGGAAAGTTATCTTGACCATGGTATTTAGGTTCTCCAAAACAAAAACTTGATACAACACAGTAGGAACGCATTATTTATCGTCGTAACCCCTCCTGTCAATGAAACCTAAAAACAATACCCGGTCACTGATTTACCTAGATTTCAAACTGGGACGCGCTATTGGGGCTAATGAATCCTGGCAAGAAATTTCGAACCATCTGGGAGGCATGGGGAGACACAGGTGCCGAAAAGTGGAGGTAATTCTGACAAATTTGAGGCTATTTACACGGTGATCACGGAAGACAAGGAGATACTAATTGGGTGTGACCGATGAGTGTGTCCTATATCCTGCGGCAGCGGCGGGATATATATGAGCGCATAACACAGACGAGAGGGGCAAGGGAGCTACACAGCACATGTTACCGTTTCGCTGTGCCTTATTTTGCTGGTATATTTTAGGTGCACATAAGAACAGAATTGGTATTTCACGATTGAATAATAAAAGAACTAAAATGCCGTTACAAAGTAACATAAATCAAAAGTGGATTCTGGTTGAATAAAATGCATAATCGCGTCGTTATAGATAAGAACAGACACTATATAATTATTTTGAATACTTTGGAAAATTAGTCTGAAAAACAGCTATCGTCTTTCAATCATACTTTCATGTATGTATTGTTTTTCAGATTTTTGTTGTTGTTATTTACATATTCTCGACTGATCTATTGTAAATGGTAACGGTGTGTTCCCCTTCCCTTTTTGTTCCTAATTAAACTATTGTGTCATGTATTTTGCAAGGTGGGAGAGAGGCTCCAGTTTACATTCATTTTTGAGAAATCATTAATGTCTTGTTTTGTGGTATCGCGAATCTTCACGAGTTCGTGTATATTTCAAAGCTTTTGTTTGCAGTATACGTATTAACTGTCATGTTTCATCATATGGTAATGTTATCCGCATCATGAGTTTAAATCAAAGCATTCTATATTTCTTCAATGAAATTAGTAGCCTACTTAATCATGTAAAATTAATCAGTTCTGTTTACCATGCAGTACTAAATTGCACAAGCAGAATCGAGGCGCTAACACACAGGGGCGGATCCAGCCAGCGATGAGGAGGGGGGGGGGGGGGGGGGGGATTCGTGAGAAAGTATTTAGCGGTGCATCAGCGGGGGGGGGGGAGGAAAGTGTGCACTAAAAACAAGATCGTTTTTTTACTCCACACCCCCTCCCTCCTTGAGCAATAAAAAAGAAAGTAAAATTGTGCTTTAAAAACTTTTTTTGGGGCCAGGGGTTTCGGGCCCGGCCCGCCCTCCCCCCCCCCCCCCCTGGATCCGCCACTGTTAATACATCACACTTAAGTCAACTCTTGCATCTTTTTTGCGTTTTCTTGGATGAGCACATCGATTGCTATTTGTGACCCTTCAGTGTGATCGTAGTACAATCTAATTGAAACCACAAATACGTTAAGACTAAAAAGGGAACTTATTTCATAGCTCAAGAATGTGGTCTTTCATTTTGGACCATTTCCCCGGAGAGGGAAGGGAAATCCCCAAATGTGGATTTATTAACCACAATGAATGGGAGCCGTATTGTATTTCTGTGAAATCTAAACAACAGTTGCCACGCAACCAACGTAAACAACAAACTGATAAACCTATTTATCAAATACAGGTTTCATCTGCACAAAGTCCATGGGTATTAAAGAACAAAATTGATGATGAGGCGCGTTTCTGTATTTGCTTATTTTTTGTTGATACAATTTGAACTTCCTTTCTCTTTTATCATCACAAAGTTGATTCTTTTTATTAGGCACAGTCTTAAATGATACAATATATAGACAAGGGGGGGGGGTCAGAGGTAGAGAGGGGGAACAAGTGACAGAGAAAACATAGAGAGTGAGAGAGTGAGATAGAAAGGGAGAAAGAGAGAAAGAGAGAGAGAGAGAGAGAGAGAGAGAGAGAGAGAGAGAGAGAAAAGAGATATAGAAGAGAGGGAGAAGGGAAGGGAGACGAGACAAAGATATAAAGAGGTATAGAACAGAGAGTATGCGTTTCTGACAGGGGAGAGAGAGAGAAAGAAAGAGAAAGTCAAACAGAGGCAAAGGCAGAGAGAGAGGGGGGAGGGAGAAGGAGGTGGGGCGACATATTCGACATGTTAAGTAACAAATAACTGCATTTAAACTTTAACTGTTTAACGAAAAATACAATCAGTATCATAGCAAGTGAGCTAAAATTCGATAACACATGTGTAACATGGGTTGATTCAAACAATGAAAGAAAACATTCCAGTTGAAATCAAGGTCTAATAGCTCTCGTGCAAAATTAAATATGTGGTTATAAATGGATGGATACACTTCACACTCCCTCAACAATCAATACAAGATCAATATTATTATCACTGTCAAACCATTAAAGGTTTTACGGTATTGCCAAAATCAATACATGTCATAAACGAGCTTTTTTCTTTCCTCCTCGTCTGTGACTTCGACAATGGATGACACATGTTGGTTACAAAGAATCATATAGTCTGGTCTATTTGGCAGGCAACAAGAGGACAGATCGATGTATTCCATGGTGGTACCAATTATGTTATCTTAATATGTTTTTAATGTAGGAAAATAAACCATAGATTTTTCGAGGGGCCGGGGGTATATCCGGGTTATTGTTGTTGTTGTTTTAATAGTCTTAAAGGCGTGTGTCATTCAACTACTCCCCCACTTATTCTTCGCTACGTGAATTCTTTCTAATTTTTTTTAACAAGGGTGCAATCAGTTTTATTAACACCAATTAATACCTGTGTTTAAATGAAAGCAAAGATAAATCAGATCTTGGGGGGGGGGTTATTTTGTACCGGGTATCAATAAGTACCATAGATAATGTCTTTGTCATAAGAAAAATCAAACGTAAATAATATCTTGCACGGGGGAGGGGGGAGGGGGTGGTCGCCCCTCTATGCCCCTGGACACTGCAACATGGCTGGCTCGAAAAACACGCATAAAGGTTGTATCCAAGTGCATTCAATAATTATTGTCTAATTCAAAGATTCAAACACGTGTATTGTAACATGACGGGCAAACGTGGTATGAATGACTCATCATTCAGAAATAGTATGTTTGTTTAACCTGTAACACCCACTCATTAACGTTGCAGTCACACACGTTAATCTGCAATGAATAATAGATTATTTTGTTAAAGGAACCATAAGTAATAAAAAAAAAAGTAAAAGAGAAAAACCCACAAAATCAAACAAACGAACAACAAAAAATCACTTCCTTAATGGCACAAAGGTTTCAATTTCTGTTCATAACATGATTGCAGTATTTGCCATATATTTGATACATGCTCAAAGTACAATATGATTTCCACATTTACGTTTACTTCGATATGAACACAATCGAAGGAACTGATAAACATTATGGAGAAAGTGATACAAAATCACTCAGCGTTGCCATAGACAGAAATATAACCCAAACAATGAGTAAAACATTCTTTATAATATAAAACATTGAACTTTGTATTTTACGTTTGGTTTCCTTGATTTCGCCAAAACGGAAATAGAAAACAGAGAAACCGAAGGCACAGTTATTATGAAAATATTCATTTTTACAGGAAACATAATGAAAAGGGGTTTGCATAATTTGACTACATTGTACTTTCATTTCCGTTTAACATTGTAATACTACCTTCAAAATGATAGTTACAAATGAATTATTCATTCTCATGATATGAGATAAGAATCAACACTTAATAATCTAAACTAAGCTAACGCTGAAATCTAAATCTGAACAAGAACTTGGAGGAAATGGTCTAAAATGAGTTGTAAACCTAAAAATTCTCGATAAAGATGCACATTAATAGGTTGGGTGATGAAACGCTACAACATTTGGGTCTCAGTTAGATATTTAGGGTGTACATCAGATTGCATTACTCTTAATCGAATTAAGAATACAATGAGAGAAAAATAGAGCGCGAGATGGAAAATGAAAGAGAGAAAGAGAAAGGATGAGAAAGAGAGTACGAAGGTGGATAGAAATAAAGAGAGAGAGAAAGACTGAGAGATAGTACAATGGCTATCTGGCATTTAAACATTTCACTCTGATATTCAAAACATCAATTTTAACAGAATGAAATGTCCCATATGAAAGCTAAAAATATATTGAAAGAAAAAGTAGATTTTAGGGAAAGGGGATGAGAGAAAGAGAGTAAGAGAAAACGTGGCAAATGGAGAGGGGGCAAAAGAGATCAAACAAGAAAGTGTGATAGAAAGAGAGAGAGAGAGAAAAGGAGAGTGTGAGAGAGAGAGAGAGAGAAAGGGAGAGTGTGAGAGAGAGAAAAAGAGAGTGTGTGAGAGAGAGAGAGAGAGAGAGGGAATGAGAGTGTGTGAGAGAGGGAGAGAGGGAGAGAGAGGGGAGAAAGAAAAAGAACGAGGTACATATATAATCTTTCTGCGATAATTTTCACACTTCACTTTCTTATTCACAATATCCAGGTCAATATCCAGGCACCCCATTGAGATACCAGTATACATATATATTGCTTAACAAACCATAGGATGAAATGGCGACACATTTTCGCAATTAAAATATCACATACTTGTTACATTATTGCAGACTGAATACCATGTACACCCGGTTATGCCTTTCCAATAACACTCAAACCGATACCACAACAATAACTGTACTTAATTGGCACCTACACAATCATAATAGCTACTCCAAATAACGCATAATTTCACATTTCAAGGATAACAAAATGAGTTCTGGTCACGCGATTACATTGTGAAAAAACTGTCTTTGTAGCGTTTGGAAAATGTAGACTATTTGGCACATAATACTGTGAGGTTTTGGAAATTATATAACATGTATAAGACAATGTCTTGCTGAAAGACAGATGTATTGAACACAGATATGTGTATATGGGACTACACAGACATACGGCATTACATAAAGGCTTGGTCCAAATGTTTCAGCCATTGCTTGTCGTATGTCGAATACAATGGCATTTGAAGAGTAGTCCTTTTCAGGTGATTTTGGGGGATATACTCCCCGAAAAACATAAAATAATGAAAAGCTAACCATTTACTTCTCACCTTTCCGCTTTCCAAAACTCAACTTTCTTATTAAAGCCAATATATTGACATTGTACTTCAGAAATCAAACACATAACAATCATTTTGCCCTCCCCTAGTTAATATATTAAGTCATTCTAGCATAAAATTAAGAGTACATCGAGTAATAGGAAATTTGCACCCCCCCCCCCTCCCCCACCCGCATTAATTTCAGACCTCAAAAGGCAGCTGAAAGTGTGATAACCTTTAGGGGTCTTGTGCGAGCAATTTGAAGTAAACAAATAAAGCATCCTAAATAGGATGACCCCTTTTTTTCTTGGGGGGGGGGGGGAAGGGGCATGGGACGGGTGGAAAATCTTCAAGGAATAACGCAACACAAAATGTAATATATCAAAAAGGGGGTTTTGATATCCCCCCCCCCTCCCTTCAGCAAGAGAATCTGGGATCCGCCACTTTATGTCACTGTTATTCCCCATTCGGTGAATTTTCGTGTGACTAAAGAAAGACATGTACTGATACTAATAATCCATATCATGAAATATCAGATAACTGAGTGGGAATTCCGGAATATCCCTGAATGGGTAATTATGTGGTCAACGTCATCCAATTAGAAACTTTTCATTGGCACGCGATGGTAATAGACAACAATTACTAGTTAGTTATTGATCCAAACCACAAACTGTGGAATCATAGTAGCGAAGTCCAATAAAATTGCAGATGTATATTAAGGCTATAGCAAATTGAAAATGAGTTTCAGGGCTGGCGGCGAAATTGCAATGAAGGAGATTCTGGTTCGTTGAACATGTATGTAAGAAATCATATGGCATTATCGATTTGGGAGGAGGGGGGGGGGGGAGAAGTCATGAAATAGAAAGTAATTCACGAACTCCCTGAAGCTTGCAGAAACTGACGTACATTTTAAAGCATTCCCTCGGATTAGCACAATCTGGTCACTACAATTCATTGTAGTCCCAAACTGTTTTCCAGTTTATTTTTTAGTTGTTTCTTTGATTTGGCACATTACTAATAAACATTATTTATTCTGTATCATAATATACAAGATTATAATAATTATCATTTATCAGGTGTCCATTCGTGTCTAATTAATTTCATAAGGAGGAGGGGGCGGTTTCAAGTTATTATTTTATTTATAGCAATGTAGTACTTATGCTAGTTAATAGCTGCTCTATCTAAAGGAATTACACAAAGGGTTCATATCTGTGTCATCTTTAGTATACAATGGGGATCCAGGGATGGGCCGAAGGGACCAGCCCTTTCAAAATCATATCCGAAAAATTCATCCTCTGCCCCCTCCCCTCTCCCTTCCACCCGAGATATAATAGCACTTTACAAATTATTTAAACAAAACAACTTTTGAAAATTACAAGATGGTAAAAAGAAAAAAAATCTTGTCACGGTTCTTCAACAATTAGTTCGGCCCTCCCTCCTTGACAACTTTCAGCCTCTGTATAGGTACCTATATAAAGTATACAGAGCCAGACACTCAACATTTAAATGTAAACAACAACATCGCTGATGTTGTTGAATATATCATTTCTTATAACCGTCCACTGGTTTATTTTGCAACTTTGTTTCCATTTGTGCGGCCTTCTCAATACATCGCACTAATATTATTGACAGTTATAATGATAAAGATAACGAGTAACAAAATGAGCCCCAAGGACAACTCTCAATAACAAACTCAAAGCGTATCTAAAAGGATAAAATATAGCTACTAAAAAGAGTAAAACCCCACTGCACATTGTTCAATTTTACTGCGATCCTATTTTTTGAGAAATCCCAACAGAATCACATGTACAAATTTAAGTAAATATCATCTTCACCATTGATGTAACAGTTATGAATGATAATAATTATGAATACAGGTAATTGTCATTTTAGTTCCACGTGATCGTTCCATTTGGAGTAAACGCCTTCAAATCGTAGACAATTGCACGACTGATCTGACGTCATTGCGATTTGGAGTCAATTTAGATTTTCCTGGATACAATGAAGTTAAGAATTTTCCGACATTTCGAAATGATCATCCATGTGACTATTCAGAAGATAACTACCTGTAATTTGATATGCCTGAATATTCATTTCAAATGCTATTTTAAATCCTTTCAAAATTGGATCGTAGTCTGGTCATACAATGAGCGAAGGGCTCAATTATCTATCGCATCGTACCCGGCATGGGTCACCAGATTTAGATCGAGCTGAAATCACGTCTCCGGAATAGCCACATGTTTGAAACCGTGTATACGGCAATGGTGTTGCCCTCGTCGTCTGCAGCGAGAAGGGGTGATGCACCATCCACGAGGTTGGCTGGCAATTCTTTGTCCTTGAAGACTACATCGTGTTGTGTCCCGAAACTGAACAAAAAATGGGAATGGTTGAAAATATTAGAAATTGTTTAAGATGACATCGGCTTTCATTTAATATGTCACATTTTCATTAAATGCCGCTACTATTTTTTCACCAAAGATATTTAACCAGGAAAAACTGAAACCGTTGAACAAATTTATTATTTTGGTATTAAATTGTACAGAATAAATAAAAGCATTTGGGCTTTTCGTATTCATGGGCGAATACAACTCTCCAATGTTTTTGCCTCACAATATATCTTATAAAGAATCAATAGTAATAGATGAAATAGCACTTCCACTGTATCATGCGTTCTAAGTGAAACAAAAACAAAATTAATATACCCATAGTTACTTCGGTTCTAAGCAACCAAATTATTGCTACCAACCCTGAAGCATAGGGTATTGTAATTATCCTGGAGGTAATTGCTTAAAACCTTTGCGACCGTGTGAATTTAGTAACCTAAATATGAACTCACCTGTCGTATTCAGCCAAAGATGTAAGTTGACGTCCATCATCCAAAACGTATATTCCCAAAGCGAAGAACAGTCCAACGTTGCTACTATTCCTTGCCTTTGATGCAACAGCGGCAGCCTGCCAGTTGTTCTGGACTACGACGTTTTCCCTCCGTTCCTCCACTCCAAATATCTTAACGGACACCCCAGCTTCATTCCAACGGCCAGAGCTTTTGGCACTTATCTGCTTTATGTTGCGACACACAACAGCCAGCTCCCCGCTACTGGTGAAGGTCATTTTGATCGGTGAAATGTCCGTCATCTTCTGGAAGGCAGTCGAAGAGCACCCGACAATTGTCTGTGTCGCTTGGTCTCCCACTATGACCACACCATCGTCATTGATGGACAGGGATGAAAGCGTAGACTCTCTGCCATTTTTCGGAACTTCAATCACACCCGTATATTTGCCCCATGATTGATCTTGGAAGACCCTGATACGGTTGTCGTCAAAGAGCACGTAACTCGTAGTACCTTCTTTATCGACTGCGATATCTTGCACATTAAGTCCGTTTTCGAAAGTGAAAACGTGACTTGCTTTTCCATCAAGGTCGATAGTACTGATTGAGTTTTTGGAGGAAACAACGAAAGACTCGAGTGCAGCATTGTAGCATATTGCTCGGAGTGGGTCATCAAGGTCGAGCCCAGACACTTCGATGTCTTCCCAAACATGTGGACGAAAAATGTCACCAAGTGAAGCGAGGGATTCTACATCTTTATCCGCTGCAATAGGGGTTAACTTGACCTTGTCAGCATATTGCTTGATTTGTTTCAGCACCCTGTCGGGGGTTACGTCTTCGTCTAAACTAGAGATGACGCTTTCGAGGTAATCATTGACTGCGGCTATTTCGGCATGCTGTCCGTCTTTGAGAGCATTATCACCGATCGATTTTGCTTCCAAAGTACGGGACTCCGTGTGCCCCAGAACTTCGTCCACTGATGCAATCTTGGTAAGCATAAGTTGTTGATCGTCATCAATCACCTTCACAAGGTCGTTATGTTTTTCAGTCATAACCCTGGTGACGGTTCGGAGCCTTAAATCATGGGTGCTTTTCAGTTGGTCTTTCATGGCGCCGTAGTGCCTTTTGACGCTTGCCCTCATTCGCTTCACTTCCCCTTGCTGCTCTTCAACAGAACTCCTTTTCTTAGACAATATCCCCACTGCTTTTACGATCCCCGCTTTCTTTTTCTCTGCAATCGACTCGGAGTTGTCATTGTGGCTCGGTTCAGTACAGCTATGTCCTTCGCGATTCCGATCCAGCATACAGCACAGGTCACACTGGTAGCGTTGGCAGGTGTAGCAGAAGCATATGGTGTCCAACCTGTGAAGGCCGCAGAACTGAGGATTCTCTGTACGCACCACCGTCACGTTGCCCTTGCGTAGATCCTTCAATGGGATGACCTCGTGGGTTTTCATAGCGACTAATTTGGAGTGAATCGAATGACAGTTGGCGCATATGAAATGGCAGCAGGAAAGGCAGTAGGAAACTACGACGCCATCCCGACAGTTCTGGCAAGTCATGGCGTCCACTTTCGAGTACCCAGCGGCTCGTTCTTTGATGCCACTCTTGAGACGCTCTACCAGCCTGTTGCTGGTGTAGTCCGTCAGTAGTGCAGCTACCCCGATCTTCCCCAGCATGGTCACCTTCCTGCACATAGGACAACTCATTGAAGTCTTGCCACCACGCCCGTATGTCTTGTCGCACTTCTCTAAGCATGCTCTGCAGAAGGAATGCATGCAAGATAAGAAGCATGCATCTGTGAAGTAGTCGGCGCAAACCGGGCATTCCAGCTCCTCCCCAATCGCTGTAATGAGCTTCGAATCAGCCATTGCGGCCTTGCGAAAGCTGACTACAGCTTGCTGTAAACGAGAGCCTTGCAATCTAAACTTTAGGAATCACAGGATAACGTCTGCTGTCTGCAAGAAAACCCGAGAACACTAGAATTTTATACGATTCTGGTCATGCAATTGCATTGTGAAACAAACGGTGTGGAATCGATCAGAAAAGGTCGATTATCGAGCATAAAAGTATTGGTGTGTACTGCAAGGTTCTGGAATCATCCAAATGATAAGAAATTTGGCCCAGTCTTGGTAAAGTTACAAGCAATGTACAAAGAAAGGTGTATATGGGGCTACACGAACATGTGGCAAATCCGTCCCGATTGTTATGCTGTTACATGCCATATTTAGAATATGAAAGTATTTGAAGAGCCATGCTTTTCAGGGAACATGTTTAATCTGATGTTCTTCCACCCTTGCATAATAACAATGATAACGCTCACGAATTATTTGTCACCTCTTCCCAGAAATCAACCTTCACTGTAAAGGCATGTTTCATTATTTTCACACAGTTATGTGAAACCAGTTAAACTCTTTTACCACTAACGGAAATTCATTATAAGTTTCGATACAAAATAATGAGAATTATATTGGTGGAAATTACAGTCAAAATTTTGTATATCATCATGATTACAAAAATATCAACGTATGATAAAGGAAAAGCTACAGTTCATTTTCACTAAACTTGTGTATGGGGGGGGGGGGGGAGCTGCCCCTAATCCATCTGATTTGGATACGCTACGTGCTGGTCAGTGGCAACGTATGCACTGTAAATTGAGACGATAACCAGCTGTCCATTTGGTATTGGGTGTGAAACCGTGCACGAACACCGCACATGATTCAAATCAAGCATTGAGGAAGTGGGAATATGGGAGGGGCGATTCGTTTTGTTTTCACAGTGCCTTCCTCCTCCTCTTGTTCTTCCTCTTCTTATAAACACAACATCTTTCTTTTTTTTTGCTACTCGATTGAGGGGGAGGGGGGGGGGGGGGGGGTGATGGGACGCGCCGCCGTTGCTACCCTATTAATTATTAACATACCCTAAATGCATATCTCAGTCACACCGCCCGAGTGATTCTTCACCGACTCCAAATCGACCGTTTCTTGGTCATTCAATTTCAGGTTCCGCTGTACAATTTTGTACGGTCAGGGAATGCGTTTGATCACATCTGAAAATTAATCGCAACTGTGTACTTAATAAAATAGTTGCAATTAGTTTCAAGTTGCGATTGCATGATTCGAATTAATCGCAACTCTTTATGAGGCAGGGTCCTGTTGTCGATATCTTTGGTGTAACTGGGTTAAACAAGCTGGCACATTTCTCATTAAAGCTGGTCTAATTCAGCTGTCTCATGACTGGGTCTCGTGACAAAGAATTTACTATAACCATGCCCCAACAGACTTCCTTTCCACTGATTGTTTGCTCTTTTTATTTGCTTTTGTTTGCTTTTCAAAACCATTCAAAACATGTTATTTGAATACAATATAAATAATTGTGCAACACATACATAAGCCTAGCCAAGCGTAAACTGGTTCTCAAAATTAGGGGCCGGGGGGGGGGGGGGGGCGCTATGCGTGGAGTGTTGAAGGGGAGTGCCCCTCCCGGTTCGGTGTAAAAATGTCAGAGGTAAAATTTATGAGTGTACATTCGTTTACCTCTCGCATTTGTGTCTCTTCCATTTGTACCTCTGGTATGTTTACCTCTGACGCTTTACGTTTGGCATTTATTACCTCTGACATTTTACCTGGCACTCCCCCCCCCCCCTCCCCAGCCCCTCCCCCCTCCCCCCTCCCCCCTCCCCCTTCCTCCCCACAGTATCACCATAAGGACTCTCAAAATCGTGGCTGTTAAGAATAGGCATTTTAAAGCATTGTATTGACCCCCCCCCCCCCAGCACCTTTTAAAGTTGTGTGTGCAAGGCGGGTGCCCCCCCCCCCCTATGAGTGCACTATCATAGCCTACAATATTCTAAATTCACAGTTACCTGCACAATCGCTGTCACAGTACCTTGTCCAATTACGCTTACAATACAGCCGTAGTGCACAAACTAATTATAATAGCAACGTATTGACTTTGCATATTGCATAGCTGTACGTATCATCGTGTCAAATTGTCCGTGGACGAATGGAAAGAACGCGGAAACTGAATGCCTAAACAGAATTCCCACGGTTTGACCATGGACCTACTACGTAGTAGGTCTATGTACTATGAACATGACTGACAAAGAAAGCGGACAAAAACAAAATATACAGTTCCTCAGGTAGACAAAGAAACATCCCTTCACTGCTATTATGTAAAAATGTGAAGGAAAGGAGTCACATGCATATTCACCTTTTTACATAATAGCAGTGAAGTGATGTTCCTTAATATTGTCTACCTGAGGAACTGTATATTTGTTCCGCTTTCTTTGTCCGCCATGTTCATAGTTTGGTTTTAACCATTGGTTTGTTTGTTTTATTTCCGAAAATCATCATCAAAAACAATAACACAATATAACAAAATCAAAGACTTATATAACAATGATAGAATGATAAAACGGTTGGATAGTCCATTTCAGAAAAAAGACAACGTACATAGTATGTATACCTAAAACTGACATTCAAATATGTACTGTATACACTAACCAAGGAGTGATATCAACTCCCTGCTCTGACTGTGTACTGGGACTGGGCATCATGCACGCTTCCTGATCCAACAATGAATGTTTTAACATATCATTATGTATTACTATACGGACACAATCAAAGGCGAATACGCTTCAATAAATGTTGATTACAATTTAACGTATTGGGTATTATCATGCAAATACAGGCCCGTGAGTGACATAAAGTATCATAATTACCTGTGTGATAACTGCAGCGTCCGTTCTGCTGGCCTAGCTACAGTATGATGATAGTTGATGTAGGCCTACGTGCGCTGGATCAGGGCAGATCGAAGCTACCCTACCACAGCTTTTGCATGGTGACTAGCAAATGACAATGGAACCAGTTTGTTTTGCTACGCGGAAAACCTTTGTTATATACATGTATGAATCCGCTTGGAAATCTTGTGGGAGTCATTTATTTTGTTTAAACCCTGCAGGGATACACCCACTTATTTGCGAGTTGTCATGGCGTGATCATGGTTTCGATTCAGCCACGAATAAGGAACTTGAGTGGTCCGCTTTAGTCAGTTTCGTGACAAATCGAGACCCATGCCAGGCGAGGCCAGTACAAACACTGGTAACACCTTGTCCATGCACCAGCGGGTACTTCGGAGGGGGATTTCCCTAACCTCGTTCACATTGCGCAAGATGGCGTGCTATACCATAACTTTAAAAAATTGCGGTCAGGTCGGTTTTGTTCTGTAATGGAATGTGATTGCAATCCTCTACTGATTGATGAGATGGCGGGTGTAAGGGCAGATCCCCATCGGATTTAAGGGGTGGGGCGAAACAACCCCTCCCATCCTAATATGAAAAGAACATGGAAAAGATGTGTATTAAGGGCTAGATATGTCAGTATTTCGCGGGAAATACCAATCCCCAATCTTTTTTGATTCCCAGGAATGAATGTTTTAGACATTTTTTTTAATAATTTTTTTTGGAGGAGGGGGGGGGGGGCGGCTACAAAAGAATATTGGTTAAAAAGTTGCACCGTTTGCCCCCCCCCCCCCCACCCTCTCGATTCTTTCTGATTGTCCCCGATCCGCCCCGGATGTTGGTAAGACGCCATGCATTCAGAGTTCTGGCGACAAATTGTACTGGTATTTTAGCTATGGCGTAATTGTATATAAACTGATGCCCATACAGTAGGAGCATGCTTTCTTTCTTTGTTTAAATGATTGTGACGGTGAGATTAGTCACGAACAAGGGTAGGAAGAAGAATATCAGAACTATATGGGCAACATGGTATTTTGATTTGTGCACGTGGCTCAAGAAATCCCCTATGTCATCATAACAAATTATTGTAATTCATAATTATCATCGGAGTGTATTGCGTTGCCTAGAAATAGTCCACTAACAAAAGAAACAAAAACCGCAAACAATGGCTTTCCACGGACCTGTATAGCTGTCTCCATGAACGTTGACAAAGTGTACTAAGCGTTTATTTGCATTGATCATAGGGTTCGGCTATTTGCCTTTCGATATGAGAGAGATTCAATGTTTGAATGCATTTAGGGAAATTGATAATAATTAAAAGGTTAAACTATTTCAGGACATGATTCTGAACTTTATTTGTCTCCGTACCTTTCCTCTTCTCTGTTTGTCTCTCACTGTCTATGTCCCGCTTTCTCTCTCTCTCTCTTTCTCTCTCTCTCTCCCTCCCTCTCTCTCTCTCTCTCTCTCTCTCTCTCTCTATCTCTACCTCCCATCCTCTCACCCAAGTGTATATCTCCTCTACACTCTCTCCTTTCTCCCTCCCCACTCACATCCCCCCCTCTCTCTCTCTCTCTCTACCTCTGTCTCTGTCTCTCTCCCTCTCTTCTTTTCTTCTTCTCTCTCTCTCTCTCTCTCTCTCTGTCCCTCTCTCTTTCTCTCACCCCTCTATTCCCTCTAACCCCCTCTCTCTTCTCTTCTTTCTTCCCACCCTCCCCCTTATATTTCTTGTTCTTTGTCACAGAATAACTTATCTATGTCATCCCAAAGTTTCAGTCTTTCCTTCTGATATGCATGAAGTTGGGTAAGCGTTTTTTATCCGCTTTACAACTAATCCAAAGAGGGGTCTATAATTATGCGTGTCTGCAATGTCAGTGTTTCTTGGTCAACAAAATGGTCACCTTCACTACACGAGTTTTTCATCTTCTGTATCCCAGGCACACAATATCATTGAGAAAAAAACAGGAACAAGATGTGTATGAAGGGCTTGAAATTTCAATATTTCGGGGGGACCGGGAATGAATGTTTTTGTATAAATTTTTTTCTACTGAGAGAGAATGGGGAAGGCATATACAAATCCGTACTGATGTTTATGCTGTTACATGCCATATTAGGCATTTGAAGAGACATGCTTTACAGGAGACATTTTTTATCTGATGTTCTTCCACACTTGCATTATGACAATGATAACGCTCACAAATCATTTTCACCTCTTCCCAGAACTCAACTTTCTCTTTAAAGGAAAAAAAGGTAGGAAAAAAAATGTCATAACTAAATGGGCAACAGTGAAATCCCCCTAGGTCAACATAAAAAGTGCATGTGCTTTATTAATATCGAAATGTTTTGCGCAATGCTTGGAAATGGGGGAAATGGTCCACCAAACAAAAGAAACAAAAAACACAAACAATGGCTTTATATCTGTCTCCATGAACGTTGACAAAGTGTACTATTCGTTTATTTGCATTGATCAGAGGGTTCGGCTATTTGCTTTCGATATGGGAGAGATTCATTGTCTGAATGCTTTTTTAGGAAGGGAACACATTAATCAAATATCACATTACTCTCCTCCGAAATTAACAAAAAGTAGAAACAAGTGTTGAAATACAAAAGTACACATTTCATGATAAAAAAAATCATTATCAGATGTGTACCGAATAAAAATGAAACGGCGCACAGATTAATATATAGTGTAGTCTATCCCGGTAACAGAGAAGTCGATCCCAAACCCCGATTTTTGTTGGGGGGGGGGGGGGTGGGGTCAAATGCCTTATTCCAACATTATAGCAATGGCAACTGTGCCTTAATTGCTAGGTTCTATTAGTTCTTTCCAGGCAAAATGTGTCTGAATTACATGGGTGGGGTGGGGGTTAGAATAAGAATATCCTGATTAACTGACCCATTGTTATTTGTATTGTCTTTTTATAAAGCAAAACAAACGGAACAGACAAAAATCCTATGTCTGGTGACACAGATTTCCAAGGGAAGGGGGGGGGGGGGCAGGCGATGGCCCCCCTTATATAGGTTCGCGCAGAAGATACGGCAATAAGACCCCTTCTCACTCAGTTTGCTGGACCGATCTATACGCCAGATGAGACATGTGATGCAATGCCCAATTGTCTCATATAGTTGAAGTACATATATTGAAGTACGATGGGGAATCCCGAGTGCAACAATGTCCTCTGTGAATGCAGATTACACGATCCGTATGACTGTCGCGTATCGCCTTATAAGGCCATTATATCCTTATTATTTTTTTGTAAATAGATATCTCTAGGATTTGCTGTGTATAGATACATAATGATATTGTCATTTGTGTGCCAAAGCATCAGTGAGTATGAACTGATTCCTGTAAGCAGGGCGTTTTCACATACTGTAATCGCTCTTAAAATGTGGATAGTGTTGTACTCCAGATTTTCTGACAAACAAGACAAAAAAGAAAGATAGAAAACAAAACAAAACGGAAAGGTTATCCCATTTGGGTGGGGGTGCCTCCATTGTGAGTGAGTGATATACATATATTCTTTACATTAAGTATCAAACGCAAGAAACTGTTGAAATATTGCGCCATATACAGTTGAAAAAATTACAGGGGTGGGAAATGAGCATATCGGAGGAAAGGTGGAAGTAGCTTTTATTTAACCAAACGATGAAATTCGCGGATACCAATTATAACAACATATGACGATGAGATATGTTTTCAAATGAAATAGTCTAGTCTTACAGGTGATAACAAGAGTCATATAGACGACTGTAACAATGAAAAAACACGATTGTATCAGTCACATCTTTGAGATGATAATTCAAGATTCAAATGATTTTATTTATCATGCAATTCATCGGAGGCTGTTTTACAATACGTCTTGAAAAGAAAGTATACATAGAAAATTATCTGATGGATATTTTGATGATTTGAGATCGGTGACAGGGAACCAAACCATGGGGGGGGGGGGAGGGTGAGTATTAAAGGCCACCAATAATGATAGCAGATAGCCTTATGTAGACCAGGGAGTTGGAACTACCTGTGTATACCATGCATGTTTTCATGGTATTGACCGTGACCAGAGTCATCTATACACAGAATTTGGCCAACTTGATTTCACTAAGTCACAACATGGCGTATATTCTTTTGTTTTGTGCTTGCCCAACATAGCAGTAGTCTCCATATTGTGTCCAACTCGAACCGGGTTGGCCAAACACTTTGTATAGATGGGCCTGACAGTGATTTGTGGATGGCGCCCTCCTCCGGCACTGAACAGAATAAACCCTGTCACAGTGAAAGGGCTTTAATAAATGCCTCCCGCCTCATCGAGTGGTTATGTGAAATCTGATTTGACTAACGACATGTTTGGCATGGCAAACACATACCAAATAAATTCAATTTAATAGAATATGATGTTATTCATATTGTTAAAGTAGGCATTCCTACTTGTCTCGTTAAAATGTAAAATGATGACAAAGTATAAGGACCTTCTCTCTCTCTCTCTCTCTCTCTCTGTCTCTCTCTTTCACTCTCATTTGACGCGTTCTACAAAATTACTTTCATCTCTCTGTCAACTCTCTATTCCTATAATTATTCATCCATCTCCCAAATATGACATGCAACGATGCGGTTCGACGACCCTCTATCTCTCCATCCAGGCACCAAGATCGGGTGCAATGATCGGTGACCCCTCCCCTCTACTTATCTATCTCCCTTCTTCTCTTTCTCTATAGAATTCTCCCCCACCTCTCTCTCTCCCCCCCCCTCTCTCTCTCTCTCTCTCTTTCTCTCTCTCTCTCTCTCTCACTCTCTCTTTCTCCCCCTCTCTTTCTCTCTCTCTGTATTTCGTCTCGTTCTCTCTCTCTTTCTCTTTCTCCCTTTCTCTCCCTCTATCTCTCTCTCCCTCTCCCTCTCTTTCTCTCTCTCTCTTCCTTGTCTACCTGTCCTTTCAATCCCTCTCCCCCTCTCTCGCTCTCTTTTCCTCTTCCTTGTCTACCCCCTTCTATCCCTCTGTCCTTTCAATCCCTCTTCCCCTCTCTCGCTCTCTTTTCCTCTTCCTTGTCTACCCCCTTCTATCCCTCTGTCATCTTCTCCCGGCCGTCAATGATCCCGGTTCGCTGACCAATCCCCTCAGCGGCAGACACCACGCTCGGGTGCAACGATCGGTGTCTTCACGGGTATCAATCAACCTAGTGGGCTGCCGGTCCTCATAATGGCTTCTTAAGACAGTCTGATACCGGAGCCATGCTGGCAAAATAATGCTCTCTTGATGTCACAAGAACAAGTGATGTTGTGGAGACGCACGTGACGTTATCTTTTCACGTCGTGAAGGGGAGGTGACGATAGAGCATTGATCTTCATTTAGACGATTTTTTTTCTTTTTAGAACACGTCCTTGTCCTTCGCAACATGCACAAGGCTAACTAAGACATGTTGTGATTATTACCATAAAGAATAAGGGGATACAATTGAATTGTTCACGTACATTAACGATTCGATTCATGAATTCCTATGTGTACACTGCATGCAGTGAAGGTTGGATAAACACATTTGTTTCAAGGTTTCCATAAAAGTGTTCTGTTCGATCCCAACGTGAGATGGACAATACAATATAAAACGTAAATGACACTCAGGAGGGAAGTTTCTTTTCAGCTTTATACCATGGTATTCGTCTCGGAGGCTAGAGTAACCCTTAAAAGGGCTGGTGGACTCGGCTAAGAGATAGTTAAGAACTCAAAGTTGTGAACATGGACCTTTCATACCGCTCTTGACAAGCTTTGAGCTCCCATCAGCCTTTGATTTGCCTGGAAACGTTGACAATTTTTTTGTTTCACTACGTAAAAAAGACAAAACTATGACACTTATGATTATTGAATACTCTTATCCCCAGTCTCTAAAAGAAAAACTGATTTAATTTAATATGTAGAGAAAACTTGTTCATTAATTTCAATCATAACGTTGCCAGCAGAAATTGAAACGTTGAAAATGAATAGAAAAATTCAATTAAAAGATTACTTTATAAATGCATTTGCCATAGTCATATTCTAAAGGATTGTGTCAAAGTGATCCATAATGCACATAGGGACAGGGTGAGATATCATTGCAGGAACAGAACGCCAGGAGAGTAAGTAGTGTCAAAGTTCCACTCATTTATTTTCTCCAAAAAATTGAAACGAAGGCGCGATAGCTCAGTCGGTAGAGCAGTGGTCTCGTATTCCGGTGACCCGGGTTCGAAACCAAGGCGATGCGTTAGTGCCCTTTGGTAAGACATTAATCCTCATTACCAGGTCCCTCGGAGACGACCTAAGGCCGTCGGCCGTCTGGTTGCTTACTTACAAGCATTTATGTTTTCTTAGCAGCCAGGTAAAATAACCATCACCACCAATAACCATCACCACCATAACCCTTTAAAGATAAACTTGAGCTCTGGTAAAAAAAAGAAAATGAATTCTCACAGAATCTAACGAAACTTACACTGAATGTTCAAGATTACAAATAAATGTCATGTGCCAAACAATTTTGGAAGAAAATGTATACTGGCTGAGTAATGAGCATAGAAATGAGAAAGATAAGGAAATCGGGATAGTACTAGCCCCGACACCATTTGTGTTGTCCCATATACATCTTTCTGTGTAAGTGATTGTTACTTTACCAAGACTCTGCCAAATTTATGATGATTTTGATGACTCCAGAACCTTGCATTACACACAATTACTTACATGCTATATGATCCATTCCACACCTTTTCCTTCACAATGCAATCGCATTACCAGAACTCAAGTTTATCTTCAAGGAAATTCGATTGTCCAAATGTTTTGATTTTCAAATTTTATGAAAAATGATAACGTACGTATTTATTATATTAAAACTCATTCTATTTTATTTATTTTTTACTTCCCAGTTTGTTGAAATGTCATGGACAACGCAGTCACCGGAGTCAGTCTATGCCAATGAACATCCGCCCCTGCACCTCAACACGAGCTCAAGGGAGACGACAGAATCCGCTGCCATCGAGCAAGGTGCATCACTGTCGACGAAGATAGCAGCTTTGTCTCTTCTACCCGTCGTTATCATCTGTGGACTATTCGGCAATGTGTTGGTGTGCCGAGCCGTGTTCCGCTTCCAGAAACTCCGATGCGTTGCGAATACGTTCATCGTATCGCTGGCGGTGTGCGACCTGTGCGTATGCGGTATTATCATGCCCTTCGCAGCCTACCAGGAACTGACCAGCGACAAGAAATGGCACCTCGGTCCAGTCATCTGCAACATCTGGGTGGCACTCGACGTCCTGCTCTGCACCGCGTCCATCTGGAACCTGTGCGTGATTGCTCTGGACCGTTGCATGGCTATCACCAACCCCGTCTGGTACGTGAACAGACGGACACCCGTAATGGCGGCTGTAGCCATATCCTCAGCCTGGGGTCTCTCGCTTCTACTGAGTGTCATGTTTCTCTTGCTGATGGATAACTTTGCGGATAGCGCGGACTACTCTTGTCAGGTTGCACCCAAACCAACCATAGCTGTCATTTCGTCATCGGTGACATTTTACATCCCTTGTTTCATTGTAGTTGCGGTTTATATCAAGATCTTTCTGGCAGCACGACGCCATCTACGGGGAAAGTCGATCAGGGCGGCTATCTCAACCATGCACCATGGGAGACCGTCGATAGTGTGTAAGGAGAAACAGCCAAAATCCAGCAGCTCGGAAACACACGAAAATGGCCAAGCCGAACCGCTGTGCTCCTCTCCAGACGAGAACAAAAACCCAGTAAAATATGCGAAAGGAAACTGCGAGCTGCAACTCCCTAAAGTAGCGTGTTCGTCGAACAACGGACACTCTTCAAATTCTCTCAGACCGCCTCCTGCGTCCGTCACGTCAATAAGTAGCATCAAACGGACATCATTCAACCTGACCGTACCCGAACCATCTGTTTCTCCTGATGTCGGGTTTTCAGGCGCTGACAATTCCGACGTCAACGAAGTCCCGCGTTCACCTCGGAGATCGTTGACACCGTTTTCATTCAACTACCCGAGGCCCAAGATACACCGTATTTCAGTGACGCGAGAGCGACGCGCAGCTGCTGTGCTTGCAGTGGTCATCGGCGTCTTCATTTGTTGTTGGCTTCCGTTTTTCATTGTTTACGTCATCATCGGGGTGTGTGAGAGTTGTAACGTAACAAACGTAACTTTTCAAGTGCTCACGTGGTTAGGATGGTGCAATTCGATTCTCAATCCTCTCATCTATACAGTCTTCAACCTCGACTTCAGGCATGCGTTCCGAAAAATTCTCCTTGACGTTCCGTGCAAGTGAAAGTTATCGACTGTTTTGATGAATATATTGTTAACTATCACCGATCTTGCATTACGCCGTTTTAAAAATCCATTTCTTCCACTACCATTGACTATTTACATCGAATATAAAAATGGTGAAGTACATTGTCTTTTGACGTTACAGATTGAGAAGAGAGAAAATTAATTAATTCGTGTGAAAAGGTGACAAATTTCCAATGCTACCCCTCGTTTTCGTCACACTGAGCATGTGCAACTATTACAGCCCTCGAAAGACGTTGAAGGAACGAGGGTGACGACGCCCTCTTCATTCAAAGACCATGTCGGTACATTTTCATTTATGTGTCGAGCCATTTCGTCAAGATTAATATTTTTTGCATTTTTTCACTCCTGAATTGACCTCATTGTACAAGTATTGCGAAAGAAACACTGAACTTAAAATGGACGATCCCTGTGCGGCTGCAGCTGGACCTCGAACGATCAAACTTATCTGAGCGATTTCTATGTTTATTTTGAGCTTTAATTCCGGGGCAGTTTGGGCATCATGATCATAGTAGATGTTACTTTGTTAACCATGTACCAATGTTACCTCGTTATGATTATTTTAGCAGTCCCGTACCTACGGACATTGAGAGGCACAGGGGGCCACTTGAATGCCCTATCATCGACAGACGAAAAAGCTTAATCATTATAGAAATAGGAGAGAAAGGAAAAGAAAGAGAGGAAATGGTAGCTTACGAAAATGCATGACACGACCCCTCGCATCCCCCGCCCTTTTGTTACATTAATGGCTACCATGTTTGCACCATCGATACACCACTGTATTTTGCGTAAATTTTCCTGTCAAATCGGAGAAGAGAGTAAGCCACAAATGGCCAATTAAGGCAATAGACAATGCCGAATCGAGGAGATAGAATTGATTGGAAGTGTTGTGTCAATTCAATGTTACCGTAAATCATGTCTGCTGCCACCTGAAGTTCAACTGCACGCAGTGTGATTTTTGTTCTTGTCACATCATCAAACGAAGTAGGTTATTCGACAGGCCCATGAGACTTCTTTATTTGTTTACTTTAATGTATTCTATCATTGTTTTCTTTTTACGATCTCTTTAATTTGGTCATTTTTTTTTTTATTGATTTATTGTTTTTTAATCAGTTTTTTTTACATTATGACCTTACGTAAAATGATATAAATCGCCTTCTATAAACTATAGACCATGTGAATTTTCCTGTGTGTGTAATTTTGTTTATTCGATAATTAATAATATGATAATATGGTTTAAATGTCTTTAATTGGTCACCATTTTATTCATTATTGGGGTTAGTAGCGTACCCGATGTCAAAATCATTGACCATTAATAAACGATTATGAATCGCCTTCACAATTAGACAAATAAAAACCTCTTGTGTGGCAGTGCTTTGCAATAATAAGAAAATATTCAAATGAAGGGAAGACATAAATAAGAGGGAGAGAGAGAGAGAGAGAGAGAGAGAGAGAGAGAGAGAGAGAGTGAAATAAAGAGAGAGAGAGAGAGAGAGAGAGAGAGAGAGAGAGAGAGAGAAAGAAAGAAAGAAAGAGAGAGAAAGAGTGTGCGTGTACGTATGTGTAATTATTTTGATCTTATAAATCAAAACGGGATTCATTATCACATCATTGTAAATTTTAGTTTTTCTACATAAGAGGGCATAAAAAAAAGACATTTCATAATGCATTCATTGCTACTGACGTGACTTTTTCAATTTAAGAGAAGATTATTTTGATATTGTGATAAACAAATATAAGATATTGTATATTGTACGCCTATTGGGTTAGAATTGTTTCTTTTTCTATTTTCATCATTGTATCATCATAAACATACTGTCTTTCACTTTCTTTTTTCTTGCTCACATATACCTCCCCCCTCTCTCTCTCCCCCCCCCCCCTCTCTCTCTCTCTCTCTCTCTCTCTCTCTCTCTCCCTCTCTCTCTCACTTCCTCGCTCTCTCCCTTCCTCTCTTCCCATCTCTCTCCCTCTCATTCTCCCCATTACTACGTTTTTTCTTCTCTCTCTCTCTCTCTTAGCATTTCGCAAAGTCATATTCTGTGCCAATCCACACCTCCAATATATATAAATATATATATTTGATCATGGACCTACTGCAGTAGTAGGTCCATGATTTGATAGACATGACATAAATTGGAATGAAAGATTATCAGTACTTTTTATTGCGTACTCAGCACACATACACATGCAATTGATTGATAAAATTAGTGAATACATATAATCGTTAAATGATTGCATAAAAAGGTGGGGAAAAATATCAGAAATAATATATTTTATATTCAAACGTGACTATTTTTTCTTTCTTTCTTCACACAAAGTTATCACCATATACTGCTGACGTCATTACTGATTATGTAACACGTCATTATAGTGAAATCTACTATTTTGAAAATGATTAATGATGACAGTTGGTATTGTTTTTCTAAACCTACTTTTTTTTCTTTGCAATAATGGTAGAAGAAACCAGCTTCTACATATCCATTACCAATAAAATGTCTAACATTGCTCATAATTCTACCTTTTTTTTCTACAAAAGGGAGACATGTTAACAGTTTCAACAACAAAAAAAACACATAGCATACAAATGAATATGATATGTTTGGGAGCTTAATTTTCCATCCTCAGTCAAAATTTTACACCAGGTATATAGGATAAAGTATAAAATTAGGAAACTTCTAAACACGTTACATTCATTTAAATGATGAGTGTTTTTGTTGTTATATTTAGTGCATTTAATTTGATATTAACCAAATTAAGAAAATGCCTGTCGGCGAATATAATCTGAGCTCGAACTAAAAATATATATGGATACCAGTTCTACAACAGGAAATAAACAAAGGAAATAGAAAACGGTTATTATGTAATCTGAAATCTATTTCGCAGGTATTTAAGTGTATGTATACGTAAATTAATGCTTTAGCCTTTCAATCTTTAGTGTTGTCAAGATAAGTCTAATTAAATATTCAGAAAATCTAGTCAGAAATTTATTGATTGATAAAGTAAAATCTAAATTTGCAACTATAAAAAGAGCCATCGTGTAAATGTATTTATTTCCATCTATTAACATAACTGGAATTAATAATGATAAGATATACTTTCAGAATAGAACGATATTACTATTTTACGATAATACAACCCAATATTATTTTCTCTATTACTACCTTTTATTGCATAGCTTATTCTCAAGTGATTTTCTGCTTGTTCACAAGAACTAATTGCAGAATACTTAGCGATTTATTTCTGAATTAGTAGAATCGTACAAAAATAGAATTGACATGTTCACAATTACATATGATATGTACAAGAAAAATAAACAATCTTTCCTCTCATATTTTAAAATAATTTTTTTTCATAGAATATGACTATCTGTCGATCTTATAAAATATATCAAATTATCCATCACAATATACTTCGAGAATCATAAGATTTTCCATTCAAATATTTTAGAAAAGAAACAACCACGATAGATTAGTCACATAATTCGAATACATACAGTTAATTAAATCAACTGACATCAGTTTTCACACACTGCAACATTTTGCTTTTACTATTAAGTCTCATATTGATCTAATTGTTCAACTTCTAATACATGTACCTGATTTATATTCAAATTTCAGGTGCATTATGATGAAGAATAATGAAAGATCGGGTAAAGATTGCGTATGATTGAGAATAGGACGGAATTCGATAGTAAATTGCTAACATTTTAATGAAATACAGTATAATATAGTAACAAAAAGACCCTTTATGTTGATTTATAACCTTTAAGATAATTATTCACATGATAAATTGACGACTACTAATTGCACGCAATTTATTTGTTATCTTCTGATGATTACGATCAATTGTATCCCCTATCATATTTATTATTAATGGTACTTTTCTTGGCAACTGCATGCTACCTTTAGCATTCAACATACAATACCGCCTCCCGTTTCCTTTTAAAAACTTTAATTTACACATATGGGGTCGGGATTTATCCGACCCTGAAACTATAAAATATGTATTATTTTTTGCATTTTTGCAGCAACAGTTAGTGATCCCCATCGTTGATTTTCATCGGTGTAACTCGTGAGGTGTAACTCGCAAGGCAAACTTGAAATAATGTATGATACTCTTTGGAAGGAATAAAGTGTAACGTTTACCGTTGGGAAGGGTGGGACACGGGCACGGCACATACCCATATTAATCACCAAAATAAAAAAGGAAGAAGGTAAACAATAGTGGAAAGATGATATGACCCCAACCCAAACTCTTTTTGTTCGCTTGCATTCTAACACCGTGCCCATATAATGACGGCCCCTGTCCCTTCAATGACGTCCCGTACTTCTTCAGTTACGATTGAGCCCACGCTAAACAACTAATATGTTAAGTTATTAAGGCACATCGCGCCCAAATAGAGTAAAGGCTTGGTCGTGATTTCACATTCAGCACAAAACAAATGATAAAGGATTTTTCTTTTATAAATACATGGACAATACATTGCAAATTAATCGCAACTTCTGAAAGATGATTGATTCAGTTGTCTCATTCCCGAGTTAGCATTTCTAGTGGCAAAGCACAGAAACAATAACAAGGAAAACTTACTAGAGATGAATTCTATGACACATCCCAAAATGTATTTACTTGTGACAGTTTTAATTTCTACAATCCCGACACCTTTCTCAAACATGTACCGGCATATTGAAACTAGCCGCCAGTTTTCCGATCAACAAATGATGCTGTTTTGGCAATCGCCATGTCAAAATGTGTCATAGAACTCATTTCTAATAACTGAAACCATCCTGATGACAATGGTAAATCCTCAGTCACACCAGGCAACGAGACCGACGCCAGACCGACTAAAGACCGAACATAAAAACACAATACCCCAGAATGACCAAGAATCGGTCGGTTCGGCGTCGGTGTTGGTTTAGCGGTGTGACCGAGGCATTATGATGGTAATGATTACAGCCTAGGTTCAATACCCTACACCCTGGCTACCGAGCCTGCTCTTCCTAGCCCAGCCCTGCTGTTGAAGCCGACGATGAGAGGTTCTCTCCGACACCCAGTCCGGTGCGATGATAAAATGGCGTCGGTACGTCGGCTTGGTCATCATGAAGTGGCTGTTCTCGTGCCGGTATTCCTCGGCGATGGTGACCCGCTTCTTACGCGGAGCCTGAGGATGGGAGGCAGCCATCGACTTTGGCAGCTGACGAACATCCAACCCTGGTTGTTGACTGAAATTTACAGGGAATAATAGAAGGGAATAAGACGTTAATTAAACAGTTTGAAAATGGGCATCGTTTGAATATTTTGAAAGGATAAGGTGTGTCGAAAAGAAGTTGTCGACAAGTACTGTTAACCAAGAAATTAAAAAAAAAAGAAGACTTCAGATTTTCCCATTTGGGAAAATGGTGAAAGAGGATACACAAAAGGATAAATTTGCCAAAAGTGCTCGGTAAAAATTCTAAGAAGTGGAAAAGAAGTCTTCAAATTTAAGACTTCAACATTAGTATTTGTTTGGTACAAAGAGTAAATCAACATATATATATTTTTTAAGTACATGTATAAACGTCGTTTCAAACTTGTTTGTTTACGAGATGGAGGGCGCAATAGTTTTACATCGTCAGCCATCGAGACGGAAGGGCACTTTACATGAAGTATATAGCATATCTAGCTCCCTGTCGACATTGCCAATAATACTTCTTGAACACGGAACTAAAGGAAATACATGTCTCACGAACAGTTCCAACGTACGACACATATCATTACAACAAAACGAAATGAAAAGAATTGTCCAAGATCACCGCACGGTCAGCAATCAACCAAGTATGCAGGTAGACAGAGACACGGACAAAGCAACAAATCAATACTTTTGATCATCCATTATTATAGTCTCAGCCCAAGATCGATTGTCTGGCCGACAGTAAACAAGATTGCCATGCTCCACTTCCATATTTTTTATTTAAAGGGAAGTAGATTTCTGCGATCCAGGATCGGAGCAATGCCTATTATGGTTTTTGTTTATTTTTTGTTACAGAACTAATATCGCCTTTAACTTTAATCTGTATCTTACTTCTCTGTAGCGGCGGATGAACGACCTGTGCCTGTCTGGACCATTTGAAACCCATCCACAACAAAAATGTTGCCCCTTTAATTGTGATACCTTTAAGAAACTGTGCCCACTTCAAAACAAAATCCTGGATTAACTACGAATTCTTTGTGAGCTTTGACAATGAAAGGTGCGGCTCTTGAGGGCAGGGTGACGAGATCGAAAATCGTGTCAACATACGGCCGATCAAACCACAACCAAAGGTTGAAATAAAATGGCAACGAAGACTAATATGAAGATATCAAAAGGTTGATTTTTTTGCCAGATATGAATAGAGAACTAAGTTTGTAGAGCATCGTAAGCCTATCAGTGAAAGAAGAGGCCCAATCGGCTACACATCGGGAACTTTTGACTTTTCTTATATCTTTCCAATGCGAGCCATTTCTGACTAAATGCACATTAATTTCATTGTTATTTCACCATCGCTGTGGCTCTTTAAGACATCAATAAGAAAGATTCTGCAACTTTGATTATTAAATTTAGTATGTTGCAATTCCTTCCCAGATCTATAGGTAGATTTGTGAATTAAGCAGTGGTAGATCGACCCACTGAGATGAGAGATGAGGAGAAGCACGGAACCTAAGGAAACCGACTTCTTGGGGACGAGAGGAATCGCCTCACTTCTGACGTGGAATTAAGAAGTAGATATCCGTTCTCTTCTGCATCATTTACAAGTTTCAATGATGTCGTATCCGCTTCTTTGGAGAAAGTGGACTTGACAAAATCCTGCATCATGCTACATCTTACCTTGTTAGAGTCATCAGTCCTTAAGCGTCCTCAAAAACGATTACTTTGAAAGTAAAAAATAATAAAGAAATGCTTACAGCTCTAGCTTCTCTCTTAGTTGCCTCATCCAGGCCTGCACATGCGTATCATCTCGGCCATTCCTGTTCGGCACTGCTTGTCTAGGGGCTGGCGAAGGCGGGTTGTAGACGTGAGTGGCGGCTGGGACTCTGCTGTTGGCTGGCATGCTTCGGCGTGGATTCATCATAGCATTTCCAGGAGCCGCGGGCCGAGGAACTGGTTGAGCGCCATTCAGAGATTGAAGCATGTTGTATGCGACGTCTTTCTCTGCAGGATGCAAGAAAATAAGTCGTTATGAAATCTATGAATAGGTGTATTGTTGATGGGTCCGAACACTACCTGAAAGCCTATCAAAATCGTGATGCCTTTCGGACCAAGATAATAAACACAATAAGAACAATGGGCCCTTTTTGAAAAGGAGGACTATAAGAGGCATGTCTCGATGGATCAATAAAAATTGTTTTGCATTTTGCAATGAAACCTACCTTTAATAGGAATAACTTTGACGCGTTGGAACGGCATTTTTGTACTTTCCTTGACCAAACTTATACACGACTTGTTGACACCCTGGTAGTTGATAAGGTAATAACTCCTAAGCAACACCAACATGAACAAGGGGCTCGCCAACTACAGCGTGGTATTGACTAACAATTTAGGACAAAGGAAAACTGTCATTGTCATGTCGCTTGCGGTGAGGAATGGTTTCTGGTCCATTGAAAGTTGGACCGGTCACCGCAGGGGTATGATTGTCAAGCCAGACCCAACAAGGACGCAACGTCGATAAACCTTCCGCAGGGTGAGCGCCCTCTTGGCTCGAACCCAGCGATGTTATAGGAACATCTCTGATTGACTTTCAATTTGTCACACACCGATATTATGTTAATCCTTTGAGATAAGTAGAAGATCTACGACACATAGTCCTGCGACAAGTGCGAAGCGATAATTTCCTACACTAACCCAAATCCTAAATTCAGCCTGGACCTGACATATAACTAAGCCTAATCCTAAATCTAACCTAAAACCCAACTGCAACCCTAAACCTGTCCCAATATCAGCTTCTTTTAACCACATTATAGTTCGACGGCAATTGCTTTGCGTTTAATTTCCAACTCGAACCAATAATTTTGTTCATTTTGTTCATTTTGTTCACTGATGTCGGTCTCTTTGGAGTAATTGGGTATCACAAATGTAAGTGAGGTGGAACTTACCAAAATCTGTAGCCCCTTCAACCCAAGCCTTCATCTTTGGTGCAAGGCTATCGGTTGTTGCTTTTGGAGCCGGATGCTGCGGAAAGAAAAAAAAAACGGATACATACATCAACTCATCTGATGTACAACTACAAGATCGAAACTACTTTCGAAAAAGGCAACTTAGGATAATTCTACGGCTTTGTATAACACCATTTGAAATATGCGAACACGACAATGACGTATTACGTAGTACGGTCATGATTTCATTTGCAAAAAAAGCATAGTGATTTTTGCACTTGTGTTGATTTTCGAAAGTAATTGCGATCGTATTTACTTAATAATTAATCAAAATATAAGGACCGATAGTCAGTCGGAGGTAAAAAAAAAAAAAAAAAAAGCAACAATGTGGCGAAGGAACCAAATCTATATCAAGTTTAATTTCATTTTGTTTATATTTTTGCAACGTTTCTTTCGTAATAGGCATATGCAAAGTACAAAACAAAATTACAAAGACTTTCGAAAAAATCAACCTAAGATAATTGTTTTAGTCTTTTGTGTCACCTTTGAGCCGTGTGGCACGACAATTGCACATTCCATAACCCTAACGAGACTTCAAAAGGAAATAATAAAAAATAGTTAATCGCTCTTAAAATTGAATTTCTTCAAAACCTGACGATTGTGTTATATAGGTACACGACTTAAGTAAATCTCAATGATTGGCAGGAATAGTCATCTACTTTCGAAATCTGTACCTCAGAAACAATGGCATCGATTTATGTAATAACAAAATATCACAAAATGAAAGTAGTGAAGTGTGTTATGTTATCTCGAGCGGTAACAAAGCACCAAACTTGACGTGACAATATTGATTACATACACCTCACAATGAGCAATGACTAATTGTATTGACCGATACACATAGGAGCAAATCTCAGCGGAAATGGAGCACACCAGACCGACCTTTCCATTGATAAAGTGCGGGGGCACATAAATTACCCCCTGGGTTTAACACTATACCCCCCCCCCCGTTTTTGTTTTTTGAAAAGGGTTTTACCGACTTGTTTAAGACCCGAAAGAAAGGGAGAGGGGATGGTAGGGGGGGGGGGTAATAACATTTTAGACACTAAAAGTCTTTCTCAATTATTTTTCCTTTTCCTTGGGGGGCGACCGGGGGGTCGTTGTTTCTCCCGAGGTCTATACAGAGCCTGGATCTTTTTTTTTTTAATATATCGCTCTTAGTGTTCGATGGGCGTTTTTTGATGTACATCGTAGACTGGTGACTCACCGATTCTTCGACTGCCTTCTCGTCATCATTCTCATTACTGTTATCTTTCCCTTCCATCTCAGCCTGTTAGTCAAGTGCAAGGTTAGACACACACACACACAAGGAAACAAATTAAATATGAGATCAAGAAAAAATCACCACCATTGATGCTGTAACCTTTACAACACGTACTCTCTTGATTTCTAAGACTTATTTTAAAGTCCGAATAGTTTATATTTTAAGTTCATGAGATTTATAAGCAGGGGCCAAAACGTGTGCATTTTGTATATGGCTATCGTAAGAATTTTAAATCCCTATAAACAACTAAAAATTAAAGTCCAATGGATTCAATTTCCAATAAGATTTATTTTTGGCTGCGCGCGCATGCATGCATTACATTATTTACAAACAATCTGACTGGCGAGAAGTTTAAGTCCTTATATTTTCGTTTGCAGAAGTCAATTTCGTTCAAATCTTTAATCGAATTTTCAGTAAAAAAAAAATCTTAAAGACTTGACATTCTTTTAAGTCTTAAGAAGGTTTTAAAATCTAAGTCCTAGAAATTAAGAGAGTATAAAGTATAAGTATAAGAAACAAGAGCACGAAGAATCTTCCAATTATCACAAATATTTTTCAAGAATTAATCATGTCCATCACCACCACAAACGTTCAATTTACATGAACGTGCAGGTCACTCAGAGAAATAAGGTCTATTAAATATAATGTTTAGGGTGTTGTTTAGTTTTAGAGAGTTCACCAAAGGTGAATCGGTAAAAAGGAACGTGGACGCGGATCCAGGATCAATTATTTTCCTTTGATTTTCTTTTTCTTGAAATTTGATTTCTGAAACCAATTAGTCCTCCAATAATTCACTGGGGGGGGGGGGGGGGGGGGGTTATGAGCTATTTTTCTTGTAATCACATGCTTTTTTTTTTCTTCAAGAATACAAATTTCGGGAATCTCTCCAACCAAATTAATGTGAACAAATGAACAAACTCATTGACATTGGTTAATTATGGAACAGATAATGTGCTTCGATTTTAGATTTTAGCCACGGCAATGTTATTATAAGTCTTGATTAATCACAAAATATTATTATCATCCATTTTACTCCATCTCCTTTAGCTTTGGCTTACCTGACCCGGAGCGGTCTTCGATCTGTACAGCACCGGCCTCTGCATGGGTGTCGACGCACCTGACCCAGCTAAAGCAGCAGCCTGGGCCTCATACGCAACCGACTTGGGCCGCCTTGCTTGCAGGGGAGGGGTGGGTGGGGTATGGGTCCTCTTGGTCTTAGTGCCTAGTGTCATGGATTGTGTGCTGAGGTTCAGGAGGGGTTTGCGGGAAAGGGTCTGGAGTTTGACCGACGGGGGGCGGGGCGGGGGCGTGGCAGGTATCTGGCCATAGGTCTTTGCAGCAGCTTTGTAGTGGTTTCCTCCTATGAAGTATAAAGAAATTTATTAAGATGATAACGTGTGTAAATTGATGTAAACATATTCAAACAATGATCGTAACATTATCTTAATTATCAATATTCTCAAGTTTTTCATGACCTGAAATTACCAAATTTTCCCATCCTATCTCTAGCCAAATTGTTCCATGCATCATGTATGGCAACTGCAGTTTGGTAATGACCGTGAATGTTTAACAACTCTGTTTATCTCATGGGTAGGAGGTGGCAAACGCAGATTGATACCTTGTAAAGGCACAATAGTGGTTTAATTTAAAACACTCTTGAAAATTCTAACACTCTTAGTTCTCTCAATTTCATAATCTGGACCTTTGATTCTCATCATTTATCACCAATCTGATAGTTCCAAATTACACAAAAGTTAAATAGATAAAAGGGCATCGATGAAGGCATACGCTGGGGTAGTTTACCCCGCCTCCCATTATGACATTAATAGTGTACGTGGTAAATGCTTCCAACATGTCAAATCAATATATTTTTGCCCCCCACCACCTCCACCCTGAAAATGGAGCGACGCCCCTCCGTGAAGATTTTTATTCTAACTTGACTTCTGTTCTCGTTTCAATTCGACTGACCGTCTCTTCTAGAATTAAAGAAAATAAGAGATGACATAATGTACGCATTGTACTCTTATAATCCATTTGTCTTCCCTGCCCTCCCCTCCTCTCCCCTCCTCACATCGACGAACCTGCATGGATAATCCCTCTTTCTATTTTGACTTACTTTCTCGTTTCAATTCTTTCTTGTCAACACGTTGACTATCCTCAAGAATATTCAATGATGACGCGATGAATCCATTCAGGTCAACATCTAAACAAAAATGAGAAAACAGATACACAATATTAGTATGATGTCTAGGACAAGTTCATGGCAAACTCAGTATCCCAGGACTATCTATTCCATGGAATACCTCTCCCGAAAAAAAAATCCACCACTGTTGGTGCGTGTAAATAGCATGGGTGCATCAACTCATTTTCCAAAATTCGCGAAGAATCATACCGCTTTCAGAAAATAGGTGTATTTGGTGCAGGATAAGAAATCTTTGTTCAAAATTTCCAAGCTAAAAAAATATTTAAAAATAATAAAGTTGACGACATTCAATTACGAGATATGTCTGTAAGTGGATCAAGAATCACGTGCACGTTTTGAAAGATTTATATATTCAACTATCATCGTGAAGTACACCAAACCAAACCTCATGGATGAAAGTATAGTGCAGAAATAGTATACGTGTCTCGTTGTTCCCCAAAATGGTCGTGCTCTCCCGTGCCCCGTCACTGCATCATTAAGGACTTTTAGATTTGCACGACGAGAACGTGAACTGCTCGTGTGACATCCTTTCAAGGCAATGTGACGTCCTTTTAAGGCAATGTGATGTCACTGCCAGTACCTTAAAAGGACTTCACATTGCATTGCATTAAAAAGATGTCACACGTCGCAGTCCACGTTCTCGTCGTGCAAATCTAAAAGTCCCTAATGTAGCCCCTAACACTGCCCTGCACACACTTTAACATAAGGTTCAGTATAATTCGATTGTACGGGTTGCATGATCTCCCCAAAGTTTTACAGTGCATAGACAATAATACATTTGCCCACTTCAAGTAACAAAGAAAGTACCGCATTTGATTCTTACCGCGTGAACATTTTCTGCTCCTCATAATCCAATGTTTGAATTTTACTTTAGAACAAACAAAAAAGGCGTCACATATATGAACATTTCAGTCAAGTATCACTTAGCGTTCTTATCGGCTCCAATAAAGATAAATCGGTGAGTCTAATTCCGAAGTTACTTTATTCCGAGGGGGGTAGTTGTCTGGGCTTGGTAGTGGACTGGGTATCCGGTATTATTGTTATATGTATTTCATAATTATACAAACATTAATTTAAGTCATGCTCAGCGATCGAGTATATTCACAACATGTCTCTTATGATATTACATCAGATGAATAGCAGATAATCCCTTTACCCCTCTCCCCACCCCAACCCCACCTCCCACCCCGGTCTTATGGTTTAACAAAAAATCAGTACCCCTGGTATGGAATACAAAGTGGTTGGACCCTAACATTAGCATGACAATTTTATTGAGTCATTTAGCACAACACAACGGCCCGAATTCACAAAGGAGGTTTGTCGACAAACCTAGGTTTATGTGCGCCAGATGACGCGTTTCGACGCGTTTGAAACCAAGGTTTGTAGGTTAATGTGCGTCATAATTATGACGCGTTTCGACGAGTTTCGATCCAAGGTAGTTTGAAACGCGTCATATGGCGCACATAAACCTAGGTTTGTCGACAAACCTCCTTTGAGAATTCGGGCTAACGGGTCTGACTTAACGATCAAGAGTGCAAAGAATGAAGGGTGCATGGCGTCTTACGTTTTGGTTGATTTGGATGGATGCTTATACCAGGCCCGTGATCTGGTCCAGCCGGGAGAGACTGGGTGAGTTGTGGGTACTCTCTGTGCTCCATGATCTTCTTGATGTTGCCGAGTTTGCCTTCCCCGATGGACTTGAGAACATAGTCCTGGACCGCTCTCTGGACCCGATGCTGCAGGGCCATCTGGGCATCCTTCTGCTTTATGTTCTTGGGCTCCAAAAAGTCCTTTAAAATGAAAGAAAAGTCAAATAAGAATTTTTTTTTAATGTCGACATTGACCATTAAAGCCAAAAGTATGATGTATGTATTTTTGTAGTTTGTTTCTGTTAATGTATTAATAACAAATGAAATATAAAATAGATAATGAAAGAAGAATTACAAGAAATATATCAATTGCTAATTTCATATACTTCTAAACTCTACAGGGTTCCCAGCATTTCATCAAAACAAATTCCCTGAATTATTCCCAAGTTTTTTTTCTGATTTATCCATGAAGGAGTTTCAAAATTCTGGGATCATTAAAGGAGGCATTTTAAACAGTAAAAGATCACCATATCCAATCATCTAGTTTATAAACTATTTGGACACGAGGCAAACTATAGGAGATTGACTTCTTTCTCTTTGGACCCATTAAAAAAATCCCTGATTTTCTATCATAGTGTATTTTCTCTAATTCGTCTGACTTGTTCATAACTGAAAAAGAAAGGGAACTTATTTTCAAGTTTCTATGATTTTCAGGATAGCTTGTAACCCTGCTCTGAAAGTAGGAGGGTTTGTTTGCGTTCACCAATTGACAGAGAAGTCAAGTTGGTATCATATTAATTTCAAAGACAAGCCCCTTCTCACAGTTAAAATTAAAAAACAAAAAAGAAACATGGATTTTCCCCTTGAAGTATCTTTCTCTACGACTGCATTATGATTGGCAGAGTAGACAAGAAATCGAAACCATTCCATAATATTATCATGGATGATTAAATTTGCGAGAGGCGTTTAGACACTCGTGGGGCTCCTCGATCAGAATAGCATCACCTGTTGCTAGGCAACGCATCCTCGCCTGGGTTCATCTACCCGACCGCTATTCCATCAATGCGCAATAGTGTATCGATGATGCATTGTACCTAAGGGGTGTTTGCACTGTTAAATTGAAATTGATCGAGGTATAAGCGCGGGAGATCCCAGCCATTGAAATGCGGAGAAAGCAATTTACAGAGAGGGGGTAGGATTGGCTTCGGCATCATCCTCTTTGCATCTGCTGTATGCCGAGGCCTCTAAAGCGACTTGATTAATTTGATTAATTTTCATCGATTTTCGCGTCTGGCTTTGACCAAACTTTTAATGGTTGACCTTGGTTCGATTGTTATACACATCCTCCTCTCCATGCTCGCTGGTATGAATGACAAAAGATTATGGATAGGTAAAGGAATTTTATCGACCTGCTCTCAAGCGAATGGATACGTTGATAATGCACTCTTCCTGACTGATGGTTTGACAGATCTACTTGTACCAATGAATTTGACATTTTTATTGAACTGCATGGCTGTGATGTGTCGTAGTAATTTGTCAATGGTATACAATAGATTTGATCGATCGCTATATATTACCAATGTGACAAACATAAATGCAGAGGTGTACGTTTTTACAAACCTTGTGAATACCAATGGAATAAAAGCAAGATATCCAGGGGCGGGGCGGGGGGGGGGGGGGCTCTACTTTAGAGGAAAATCGTGTTGGGGGAAAAACTGCTCCTATCCCTCCCCTTTCTTCATCTGCTCAGTGGAGTCAGTGTAGGCTGGGTGGACTCTGAACATTACAGAAAAAGCTGCCCCTCCTCGTCCTTATGCTAATTCTGATCTGTCCCTTTAAAGGAACTTCGACTATGTAACTCCCACTATAAGACAGTTCAATGTATTTGGTCACTAACATCAGAATCATTCAAAAAACAACACAACTCTATTTTCTACCAGAAAAAGAAGAAGATTTAATCGATGTTACATGTATACATGTATCTTGTGTGTGGTTTGTTTGTTGGTTTCGTATCTAAGCGAACACGATTTGCCATTTTTCTCGAGTACTTGTCAAACAATGCGGTTAATATTTTATGATTCTTAATTACGGTATCGTGGTTACATGAGAGTAGATTCTCATAACGAATTCTTTCGGAGCAATAAAAATTGTGCCGAACACCCTAATTTGTTTTATAATGGACGACTGATAGTATCTGTAAACCAAACAGTTGGTGATGAATTCAACCAAGGCACGGAGCCCGCATCCGTCAAAATGTTAACTATTCATGGCAGACATTATAATACTTTTCAGGAAGTTTTTCTTTCATCATTCAGATCGCCTACAGGTTCAATTTAGTTTTGTGTACTTGTTTGTACGATTAAGTAAAATTTACGATTAAGTAAAACGGTAGAAATCAAAGTAAGTAGTTTCCCCAGAATAACAGATTGTATAACAGTCTGATTAAGTCTTTGCAACAACATAATCGGGTCCTATGGTCAATGGTGGTCATAAAGAACATTAATTGAGTAAAATATTTATTTAAAAAAAAGAAGGAAAATTTCTTTTCCACATATTGTATGAGACTGTGGATATTATCCTGGTTAATAAACTCGTCAACACACCAATTCAAAATTGCTAATGGTTAACTACTTTGGGTTCCGTCAATCTTTTGATCTGATAATAGCTGCAGTCGATCAGGCTGTGATGACACTTAGGTCATGAAGGTCAGTTATATACACTTACATTTCTTAATATGATGTACCAACATATCTCACATCGTATGGACAGCATAACGCCATCTTAATTCACTGTCCATCCGATATAAAATATCATGTAGCGTTTCTCAGCCAGAGTTAACAGAAACAAATATTTCATTATGGACAGCGAAATGTTATCCCAATTTGCTTTACTTAGAGAATACGATCAAATTTACTCAAATGTGGCGTGAGATTCATTGGATGGACAACAAAGTATTATCAAATTCCGTTGAAGGTGCACACACCTACACCACTGCGAAATTGGATCGAGAAAGGTTTATCGACCAGCAAGGGATAAAAAGGATATGGACGCCCCCTAGATGCAGAACACGAAACATCATTCTTTTCATCCACCCTCGGCCCAACTCTGTAACCTTTGACCTCTTTCTTCATACCAACACTCATTATTTACAACAGGTCACTTACACTCGAGCGTCATTTCCTACAAGGCCGTTAATTATTCATCACAAGTTTCATTTTAGTTTTACTCAATTTAACTTTCCGACGGATCCATTAAGAGCTTTAGGATAGAGAATGGGCGTGCACCTGAAATAAATGGATTAAATTTTTCCGTGCACGTGGGCGGTATGGTTAATTATTTAAATTTAATAGAAAAGAACATCACGAGAACGAGAGAAATTTAAAAGCTGTTTTAGCCTTTAACCTTCCGCTATTTTTTTCTCATATTTTGAATTAAGTATAAATCGTACCAAAATAAATTGTAAATGCTCGTTGTTAGTTCATTAAAAAATTATTTTATATAAAAATCGTTCAACAGCAGGTGGTCACTGTTTCTTGCACTATATCCATTATCTTTTAAACATGTGGCAATTTAATCATTACGCTCCTTGCCATTCAGAAAGACACCGGTTATAGGAGGGGCGTCTAGGGGCGGGGGCGTGCTCTCCTAGCCAATTCTGAGAGGACAGGAAATTAGGGAACGGCGAAATTAAGAAGTGGGTGGGTGATCACCTCGATTATTTTTATTTAGAGAAAGACTTTTTTCCTGAGGTAGTTACCCAGGGACAATTTTCTTAGGGTAAGTCGTCATAGTGTGCCCCGGGGGGATGAGGAAGGGGTAGTTCCCAATATCTTTATAAAAAAAGGGGTGAATTATTTAGATTTCAAAATGTTTGACTGGATGTGACTGACAAAACAAAGATGCCAGTGAAATATTTAATTTTTTAGTGAATTTTTTTCATGTCCGATTTTGCCACCGTTTCGACGTGAATTGGCTAAAAAAACATCATAATCCAGTGGTAACTATTATTTTGTTTCAAACTATTCAATGCTCTTTTTTAATTAATTAAAGAAAGAAAATATTTAGAGCACGTTGAACAGTCACGTTAAATATAAACATACATCGAATTGCAGCATATCGGGGGAAATATGACAGGGTGATATTTGACAATTTTACAAATATGACAGTAATTCAATACTAGAAGGGAAATGCACTTTGAGAAACTGCTTTTAAAACTATACTAACCTAAAATGACGACTAGCTTACATGTGAAGTATGTATCGTTTTCATTGTTAGAATATGTCTGTTTCCTTTCATTTGAAATTGGACTATTGTGAAGTCAAATATTACCTGAATGTGTTCATAATATTTTTTGACAGATTTCAATAAAACATGATTAATGTGGAGTGTTTATTGTGAATGCAATCGTGCATGATGCTGGGGGGATCGTTACGACTTATATTGGCCCAGTTGCATAAATTCATTATTCTATAAAGCCCAATAATTAGATTTAAAGTGAATAGTGAACAATCTATCCAGAAGAGTACAGTGACTTGAAAATGAAAAAAAATGTCGTCATCATTCAAAGTGATTATTCTTATTATATATACTTCTTTCATTCTATATTTGTATTATTTTTTTAAATATTGTTTTGCACATTCCAATTATTCCACAGTACAATGTAAGCATTATTTCGTTAACAAATGCATACATCGCTCTTAAAACATGAAAGGGATACAGTAATTCACTTAATACTTCTCTGACAAGAATCAAAATTAATTTCGGTTTCGGGTAATAATTTTAGGCACAATAATGGCCAATAATTCCGTTGCCCCAAACCGTGCTTGATGGACGCGCCCTCCTGCCACCCCCGTAATATCACAGCAATCATCATATTGTAAATGGAGACATTTTTGCTATATACATGCACCATCTTCTTTCTTTCTTATTTCTCCTCCTCCTCCTTCTCCTCCTCCTCCTCCTCCTCCTCCCCCTTCTTATTTTTGTTCTATCTCTTCATATTTCTCATTCTCCTCCTGTTCTTCACCTTTTTCCTAATCCTCTACTTTTGTCATACTTCCCTGTCAGTATCGGTGTGTTGGCTCAGTCAGTGGAGTGTCCGCCTCACAACCGGGAGGTCGAAGGTTCGAACCCCGGCCGCGTCATACCAAAAGACGTTAACAGACGGGAGTTGCTGTTACCTTGTTTGGCGTTCAACACTAAGGGATAGAACAACTTCGATCTGGCGCTACTCAGTGGCTGCCGGGCTCACGAACAAAAAAAGAAATTCTATTTTCGGTTTAACTTAATAAAATTTGGAGTGGACTTTAAAGATTATTAGTAGTAGTAGTAGTAGTAGTATACATTAGGCCATCATCTGGCGTAATTTTGTACTGTATGATAACAGTTAACACCAACGGAGAATACCAAGAGCAGATGAAGGCCAACATCAAAGTGTCTGGATAATTTGTTTGCTAAGTCGCAAATAATTACTAATGACCTCTGTTCTGTGCCAGCTATTAATGAGCTAACCAAGCTGTTGGCCCACCCTAGAAAGACAAATAATATAGCGATAAAGATACAAAAATGGATATGTTTAGAATTACAGTAAATAGAAATAGAATGAGGCGTCAAATATGGTGTATTACCGATTGCGGATGAGGGTTGTTACTGCGATGGGCTGATGTAGGTCGCATTCCCGGCTGGACAAACTTTTTCTTTGCTTTATGGTAATCATCGTAATACTGGGTCGTGAAGACCTTCTTCTTCGCTAAATTAGGCATGGTGATGATTGCTGTTGACTTCAATGGCAGGAACCGTGTACTCCTTCTCATATATCTCTCAGCATTAATATATCAAGCATAAAGAAGACAGATTGCGTGCTAAGTGTACATGATATGGGATAAACACTTCCCCCTTTCACTCCACGAGGCACAGAACGCGATTATAGTCCAAATATTAGTTGAAATCCCACCGAGGTCCCATGCCATATGATCTGTGTTGAACAGGATCCAAGTTCAGCGTATATCTACACCCCTAAATAGTGGAAATATTCAGGGAGGGGACTAACGTAACCCCCTACCACATGCCATTGATTTCTGAAGTGAAATACGAAACCAATAACAAACTGAACTACAGCACATGCACGAGGCACTTAGCGGGACCGCGTCAGTTGCTAGGGCAGCCAGGGCCGACCCCTTTGTTAACGTCCCGAAAAGAATGTTTAACAATAACCCCTCCTCGTTTTGTTGTTCTATTGTAATTGTCCGACTCCATTCTCCATTTCACTCAATTCTTTATGCCGCCAAGTCGAATGTGACGTAACAATTGGCGTGAGTTTCACAATGGAGAGTAAGAAGAGGGGGGGGGGGGGGGGGGTATTTCTTCACTGGACTGTGAATATCATCTCGCACGGATAGTTTAGAGGGGGGGGGGGCTTTGATTGAACGATATCCAAATCAAAATCAAGAGAATTATTGGGGTGGGGTGAAAAGGGTCCTGCATGGAGTTACTGTAGGTATCATACAAAAATGGCTTACAATTATTCACATAAAATATGATAATTATGTCTGTTTCTCCCAATTCACTTTCTCTTACAAATTGACATCGACTATTCAAGCTAGGTGGGGTTTCCAACGTTACCGTAAGGTCTACATCGCCCTGTTTGTACTCGTAGTTCAGCGTGTTCCTCCCCAATCCCCACAAGTACATCTCTCTCTCTCTCTCTCTCTCTCTCTCTCTCTCTCTCTCTCTTTCACTCTCCTGTATTATTTAGATCTCAACATTAAAGATAAACTCCAGTACTGGTAAAAAAAAAAAAATTAATTCTCACAGAATCAAACGAAACTTACACTGAATGTTCAAGATTACAAATAAATGACATGTGCCGAACAATTTTTGAAAGAAAATGTATACTGGCTGAGTAATGAGCATAGAAAGACAAGGAAATCAAGGTAGTACTAGCCCCGACACCATGTGTGTTGTCCCATATATAGCTTTCTATGTGAGTGCTTGTTACTTTACCAAGACTCGGTCAAATTTATTATGATTTTGATGACTCCAGAACCTTGCAGTGCACACCAATACTTACATGCTACATGATCAACTGTTTCTGATCCTTTCCACACCTTTTCTTTCACAATGCAATCGCATTACCAGTACTAAAGTTTATCTTTAATGTGCATACTTGCAAACCGGCGTTTTGAGGCAACGCGTATAAAAAGACTGATTAGCTAATTAAAATTTTCCAACAAGGAATTACCTATCCGAACAACTATAAGGTCAAATTAATGAACTCATATATTCCTAGAAAACAGCACTTTAGAAAAGGTGGATATTCCGGTCTTCACAAAAGATGAAACTATCTCTCGATGGGGGATATGAGCAATTAGATGATGAGTAAAATTGTAATAGTGTTCGTGATAATGGAATCGCTGATTGTAACCATGATAATTCGTTTTCCATAGCGTATAATTATTTTGTGTGCCAATTTCAGAAAATTTACTATGGTTGATGAAATTTAATGTATAATCATAAAGATTAAACCGCTTTTTCGATTCAGATCCCTTCCGTCGTGTTTTATCATACGGGTTTTATTTTGCAGTCACCATTCTCGTGCCCAATTACAAATTGTATTATTCATACATCAGGGTATAGTGTAGTTTTATGAGTCTATGGCAACTTCATATTCATAAAAAGATCTCATATAGCTACTTAAATGCCGGTCTCATCAAATTATTTTTTTTATTAGCACATTGATCTCTTGGTGATGAGACGACTGAAATAAATATATTCTGATGAGATGAAGCCTGAAAAGATTTTTGTTGTTGCATTGAACCATCTCTTAAAAATTGAAGTGGTGGAAATCAGAAGACGGACTAAAAAGAGAAGAACTCTAGTTTGTTTATATGTAGTTTTAAGCGACCTCTGTTTGAGAACTTTAATAGAATTTGAGAAAAGCGCTCTTCAGAAATGTTTGTTTATGGTAATCATTGTAAGATGTTGTGTCGCCAAGAACGTCAAGTGTTTGTAAAAGCAGCCTCAGTATTCATTGCTTCAAATGTTTATTGAATAAACTTGCACAATCACAATGCCATGTTGTAGAAAATATGGACATCCCGCCCCCTCCCCCCCCCCCCCCACTTAGTGTTATTTAGGGTACGCATATGCGTGTTCCCAGCACCCCCCCCCCCCTTTCAGCATAAGTCTGGTGTGTAAAGTCAATGCGGGTAGACCTCTTTCTTTTGTTACGAACCGGATATTTTGGGAACACGCATGCGGTCCCTCCGTTCCCAGAGTGGGGGGGGGGGGGGGGTGAACATGAGGCAATTTTTCTCTAACACCTATTTACATGCAGTCGATGGGGAATGATTATAAAGGGCTAGAACTGCATGTACACGGCCTATTGCAAAAGACGCCATCTCGGTGTAAAATAAGTCGACCAATTCGGTGCTGTTCGCTTTGTAAATACTGCCTGTCGTATTTTGCAAAAACATTCATTTTTAATCAACCCACTCCAAGCGACATATCAGCCAGCCATCGGCATGAAAGAAATATATCATGGCGAGCTGATGTCAAACAGGAAACGACAACACTCGAACCGTGGTTGAGAAGTTGGTTGAATATCGGTTCTCGAGCTTGGAGAGCAGAGGGACCGCTCAAAAGCAAAATATCGGCAGATGATGCCACACACGAATTATTCATAAAGTATTTATTTGCGTCAGAAATGGACCAGCTAGAGGCAGGTGCTTGTGAAGAGTTCTGGGGCGCTGATGAGTACGCATTCCCAAACTCGCGTTATTTCTCACTACAAACATGAGCGCTGAATGAAATGCTGCTTGGCGCGTAAAAAAGCTTGTTCTTCTAAAGGCGGTGGCGATATCGGTATAACACCCTCGTCTGCCATGAATTTGTAAAATACGTGTTGTGTGAATGGGTCCAATTGACCTCGATGTGATCGAGGGAGATCGATAAGATTCGATGTTAGAATTGATTGTTGATAATATTCTCTCGAATTCTCATTGTCCGTGTTCGGTATGCTTTTTTTAGCAGATGTAAATTGAAACATGATAATGTGCGTGATAGAAGACACTCGGGTGAAAGATATGAGAATACAAACATGGTGGATGAATCATGAATCAATGAAAAGAATTGCACAACATGATCAATTGCAAAGTAAACGATTTTATACATGATTAACTCCATACAGAATGGTTATTGCAGTATAAACATGTAACCTTTCTCTTTTTTAAAATCAATTTCTATAAATGATTCCATCGCAGTACCCTCCATTGTTCTTTTATTATTTTTATTTTAGGAAATTGAGATCCACCTCATGCATGGCTGTAAAGCATAAAGCATAAATTGTGTAATCTTTACCCCCCCCCCGCGCCCCTAATGCATAGTAAGATAATAAATCAAGTTAAGTATTGATAAACTGACAATTCAATCCGTGAGATAAAACCTACTTCTACAAAGAGATAACAAGACGGTATTCGTTATAAAATGCATACAACATAGCTTCCCAATGAGTTTTTAAAAAACGTTACTGAGATTCGATCATAAAAAAACGTTTTGTTTGTTCATCCTATTTTTATTCTTCTCCTATTTTGCCTACTCCTTACTATCTCTTTTTTTTTTAAATGTAATATAACTTGTATATATTTGTTTGTATTTTTTGTTTTTATGTTTGTCAATAATTTGCAAGTGTTATTTTTGTAGTAATGTTGTCTCCTTTTGTATACGAACTTGATGAAAAACAGTCCTGTGGCTGATGACAATTTAAAAAAAAAAATTCTGTATTGAAATAGAACAAACAAACAATTAAAACAAACTAAACTGAAATAAAATTACATGACAACTGAAATTAAAAAACGCTAATAATTTTTAATTTTTTTAAATCCTAACCATCATGATAGAGATTCGTGACAGAATCCAATTTCTGCATGACAATGACTGATTTGTATGAAATTTACAGAGAACAAAACATTTACATGAACCCTTCAAACAGGAAAGAACTCCTCAAAAAACACCTCCAAAAACAAAGCATGAAAGTGGGGATAATTGAGAAAGAATTGCTCACGTCATCATCGTAATATTTTTTCTTTAAAGAAACCCATAGTATTGACTTCATGATTGAAAACTAAATATTATCATGAAGCAAACATGTCCATCGCTGCTACATGATTCCGACATTTTCATCTCGAGTATATCGACAACTATAATAGCAAGATAGCATGTAATGGTATAAAAGCTGATTAGAATGACATTGAGGAGACAGCTTTCGAGTAATTGATCAGTCGATAAGTGGCCTTGGTACGCACAAACCCATGTAGGATTAGTCAATTATGTTTGCATGCAAGGCCTCTTTCAATATCATTAATTTATATAACCCTTTGTCGCGGTGCATCGATCGATGAAAATAGCGCGGGTTCATTAAAGTTTGATGAAATAATCCCCGTATTTCATAAACTGGATTAATGAAAGTTCGAATGGAATTCCGTTTGAGAGTTTGGATACGAATATCTTGGTCCTCGAGAACAGCGCACGCAATGTGAAGTGTTTGCACATCATAGTTTGGGGCGGTCAAGTGTCTATCAAAAAGGGGCACCTTATAATTTGGAATTTCGGTTCTCATTTCTCCCTTAATTCTTTATAACGTTTCGACAACTATGATTATTGTCCTCAACACTTGAATATCTTGGAATTCGAGAACAGTGCTCTACATGCACGACAATTGCGAATGGTTTAAGTCTGTTCATTGTAATTTTGGGCGACCCTGACAGGGGCACCATATCCGGCTGCTCATAAGTTGAAATTGTATTTCACATTTCCCTCTTTATTCTTGAAAACATTTTCGGCCTCATGATTTTTGTTGGTCTTTTTTTATAGTTGAATATCTTGGACCTCGAGTATGTTTGCCCAACGTAATTTTAGGCGGCCATGTGTCATTTCAAAAAGGGGCAACGGGCCTTAAGAATATTTCAACATTAATGTTTCTTTTTACAAAACCCTAATCAACATTCAATGGCGGAGAGTTGATGCATATAAATGTTGAGGAACTATAATTATATAGATGGATGTGTACTCGGATATTTCTCGGTGACATAACGGCAAAGCCATGTACAGGGCCGAAGCCGACAACGCGCCCCCCCCCCCCCCACCTCCTGTGAATACCGAAAATATGAACAAAAATCCAGGAGCACGGATTTGTCATTTCTCCTATCATGAAAGTTCAATGAAGCTCCCTTAGTTCATATTCGTCTTGATTCTTAGATCTTCAGATGAGAAAAAAATATACAAATTAAAATTGAATCACATAAAAAATAAATCGATATCGTGCAAATGGAATTAAAGAAAAAAAGGAAAGAAGGAAAAGACTTCTTGCACATTACAATTCGATTCCACTCGATTGTTGACTAGAAAATTATAACAGTCTTGGAAGTTGGAACTGAAGACGAAGAAGAAGCAGAGTCTGAACCTCTTAAATGCTGGGCATGTTGGTATACACGACCGTTCTATTTGAACGGGTAGGGTTCTTGTGACAATACTAGTCTGGTCAAAGTAAATATGTATCTTAGTTTTATGTCACTTAGATACTTGACTTGCCTTTGAAAAGCCTTCTGTCTACAAATAAAAACTGTTTCAAGATGTCCCGACATCGTGTTCAACATTAGGGACAAACTGCGAAACTGTCCACGTGACGAGCTGTTGCTATGGGTGACTGCGTCCTTGGTAACACAAATTGAGTGTCTGAAAGATGGTTGCACAGTAGCCGGAAAGGGCAAACATACGTTATATCGTTAATGTCCTGATTTATGTTGTAATTAATTAGGTATTATCTTTGATTTGCACCCGATGTAGGCCTTAACTTGTTGCAAGCATTGATGGGGGAAGATCGAGTTAACTCTTTTTACTCGATATTTGGTAACTAACAAACGAGGTTTGCCACAAACACCTCTCTTTTTTAATGTTTCTTTGCTTGTCCAGTTCCCAATAAAATGTCGCCCACTCCTCCCCCAATATCCACCTTTTTTCTCTGTCATGAACAGCCTTATCGATGTGTCTTCCCTTTTATATTTCCATATTGATACTGAGCACGTGCACTTTTGTTTTACAGAGTTGATTAACTTTAACACTTTCATACATCCCGTTTATTGCATCCCTGAATTTCAGATATCTATTCATTTCCAACGTTCTCGATCTATCTTTATTATGCTAAACAGGGATGTACCAACGTTCTCTGGCAGAAGATTAAGTAGAGTGGTCCATATAGGTTCTATGAATACATTTTTTCTGAGGCTAATATTTTTCAGCCCACGGCATCAAAAGATTAAGAATAACAGTTATTTAATTTTGACACGAGGATTGGCAAGTTGGCGACCTGGCAACCAGGAATAATATCCAACCATACAGTCAATAATATCAATGGTATCCGTCACCTGTAGAGACTTCCGATTTGCGTAAATTTCGTCGATGTCCATCGACTTTGATAGATTTTGATTGATTTTGCCCCGTTTATAAACTTTCAACCCTTTAGTCCTACTAGATATAATGAAGTATTGTTATACATGCGGCAAAGGCCTGTTACCGGGCGATAGTTTAGTATTGGGAGAGTCTGGCGGTATTTTTCTAAAATGGCAACGGAATTCAGAAAAGTGTCCGCCAGTTGGCTCACACATGACGCTAATTCAGCAGCTATTCTTCACGTTCCTGCTCTTACTTTCACAGAGACAATTCAGAACTTTCATAAAACGATGTTAGGCATGACATAGCTATAGGCCTGGCTTCTAAAGTGCATTATACAGATGTAATTTTATTACCCCTACATCATAGTTCCATGACAATTTAACTTAAATTCGTCTCTCGTGCCTGTCTTTACGACAAATCGTTTCTAAGTGACGGTGTCTGTTTTTCCCATCCCTAGATTAACTCTCTCATTTATTTGTTGTCTTCAAATTGTTGATGTTGAAAGTTTGCATCGATTGATTTGTCAGAAATAAGTCAAACAGTTCTTGTTTTCTCACTCGTGCTTGTCCAGGCATCTTTAGTTTCCTATCACTACTTGTTTTTCTTTGCCAGCACTTGGGTGTCATCCATTTGTAATACTACAGAATGGGCTACTCTTCATGAAGTCTTCTAAAAGACCCGATACCTTAGGGCAGATGTCAGTCATGAGTAGAGAAAACTCTTCAAGTCAATTCAACCACGAAATTAGAACCAGAAAATGCATTTTAAAATAGTGTATAGGAATCACGGTTTGGTTTGAACTTTAAATAGAATCAAAACAATAGCTTTTGATGAAAACATCAAACTATAACAGTGCGTTGGTACTATGTACAGTATAATACCCGTTAAAAATGTTTGGACACTCTCGAGTTTAGACCTAGATGACATTTAGAAGATTTAATTTGCAAAGTAGGTAAGTGGTTGTGTTGATGACGATGGGTGGGGATGGGCAGTGCGGTAGCGTGGGTCATGCCACAATGAAAAGAATGGGCCATGTTCATAATGTAATCAAATTGAATGCATATATAATTCATTGTTAAGTGCCTCGTTACAAATAATCATTTTCATTCACCTTTTACGAATAATTGTATTTCAATAGTCAGACTGCGAATGGCAAACGTTTCTTGTTGTAAGGTATGGGAATTAAGCTATAATGTTTCTCCTATACCTAGCAACAACTAATGTATCAATGTCTTACTATTAATATACATTTAAAAAAGGTGAAGGAAATAATATATAATGAGGCACTCCTCAATAATGTCTTGCACATTACATTTGATTGCATTACGAAAATGGCTTATTGGTCTTTTGGGGGCACTGGTCTTACCAGTTGGAAAATATGCGAGAGAGCATGGCAAACGATTCGTTGGTATGAGATTCGGTTTTTCATCTCCTTCCCGTTCCTCTCTCGGTTATACTATTCTTCTCGCAACGTTTTTCTTCCTTTTGTTCTTTTACATCTTTTTATTCTTCTTCTTCTATTTCCCTTTTTCTTCATTCTTCTCCTACTTCTTTTTCTGTTTTTCCTTTTTGTTTTGTTTGTCACCATTGTGTCGCCCATCTCTTTGCTTTCATCCGATCAATGATTATAAACCAGATTACGACGGAACTTCATTAATAGTTCGCAATTTTCACAACCGAGGAAATTGCATTTGCAGCAAACTGCGAAAAGGGTAACATAGCAACTCGAGTAAAAAAAGAAAGAAAGAAAAAAAGAAAGTGCATTAAAAAGCCAAAGCTTTGAATAATTCCGGTATTGTTTGGATTGTGTGGCAGTAAATGATGTGAAGTATTCGAGAGCTAGCTTATAGTTCTGGCCAAAACTATTATTCTCTGACAAAAAATAATGACGCAGTAATTTTTATTCATCCTAAACTAAGCTCAATAAGCCCTCTTCAAAGCATGGATACAGGAGATCCGCTCTGAATAAGCTAAACCAAAATATACAATAGAAAGACACTGTATACCGTGTCTATTTGCGTCATGTTTTGATTGTAAGACATTAAGTAGGGTCGTTAAAAAGTTGTGGCTCTTTTGTGACCCTTTTGAAATATCCACGTCAAAATAACCAGATTTATCTTAAAGTCTCAAGAAAGAATTTGCGAGTGGACTGTAAACGTTGGATTAAACGCGATCTTCTTCAGGTGTGACGGGAAGGTATTTTTTTTCTTATCTGAATCTGGATAATAGATTGGGACGTCACAGGAAAAGGGACATTTTCAAAGGAAAATTAAAGTTTGTGAAAACAGACACAGAAAGTTTTCAACAAAATGAAGCCACACAACCTTCTCGATGCGGTACCAATCCGACCCATGCGTCAATCCATCTTCAGGAACGAGGTGAAGGGTTAGAGAGGCAAATGCATCAATGGAATTATACAATGAAATTAATAAATTATTGGGGGAAATGCTCCTTAACCCCCCCCCCCCACCCCCCCCCCCCCTCTCTCTCTTGTCCACACTGTGTGCGCCCCTAAACCTGCCGTTTATCATAAGCATACTGTGTCATCACCATGACCACAAAACTGTTTGCTAAGCGAGCAAAGTTGAGTGTCGCGTCGTATAATAGGCCCTATAGCTGCCAGATCACTAGCGTTCCCTATAGGGAGCATGCGGCAATCTTAATTCATGAACCTCAATCCAAATATAATTTTAATCATTAGTGAGCATGATAAACACAAGTGTCCGTTTATGAGATTGGCTGGCGTGATGTTTTTGAGAACGACTCCACATATTGATTCTTCTCTAGAAAATCTGCTGAACACGATGAAAGAGAACATGATTGAATTGGTTTCACTTGGTTTCTTCAAGTACCATTGAGAATATCGATCAACAAGATGTCTTGATTCACAAAACATGAAAGAAAGAAATCTTTGAATGAGGTCATTGGCGGGGTCAATGGTCACTAGGCGTGACGGGTTTCATAGAGGGCTTGCCTTTCAGAGTTTTGTGTAATTAGCCTCGTGATTAGGGCTATTGTTTTCTCCATCTCCATCAACAAAAGTTGGTGTACTTGAGAGGAAGGATAATAAACAGAAGTGGAATGCTTCAAGGACGTGTTATAGCGTCCCCAGCCCTCTCCAACCAAACCACAAAAAGGCTATTAGCACTCGCATAGAGCAATAGAAAAAATAATACATCCGATGTTGAGAAAAAAATAATGCCCTGTCCGTCACAACCGATTACCTGGTGAATGCCGAGAAGAGTTTAACAGGATACCCTTTTCGCGGTACATTTCGTTGGAGTTACGATTAGTAACCATGGCAATACAACGCTATTAATTTACATCTCAAAGCATAATTTCACCATATAAAAAAATGTTCTCATTGACATCCCATTTAATACGGATATACCTAAATTGCTACTGCAATTCAATATAAACATTTTAAAATCAGTTATTAGTCTCTATTAAAAAAATATTTTGACACGTTTTCCGTCGCTCTTTAGATTGTCTCTGTTATGCAATAAGACGATCGTTCTTCTTTTTGAAAGGTGAATTATGAAATGCATCCATGTTTCACGTTTCATATTCGAATAGAGGGTAGATCTAATGTAATTACGGCAACTTGAAAGAAGCAGAACCTTTATCATAATCTGTGAATAAATGTGTTTCATTTTTAAACTAACAGACGGCATATATTTCGAAGTAGCTTAAATTTGCATCATATCGGGCGGCATTCAAAAGAGACCGAAGAAAAGGCCGGGTAACTTCTCTATTTTCTTTTCTAAAGCTTTTCTACATTGCAATTTCACTTCAATTGCTTCATCTTCTGTATATGCGTTAACGTTTTATATTAAAAAAGGAAATAGAGTTAAATAAATTTGTTAGTGTAATGTATTGTGCAAATTGATCTATATGTATATAGATATGTTAATATGTAAAAAAATATACCATCATTGTAAATATGAAAAGTTGAAGAGGAAATATAAATTGAATTGAATTGAATGCTAACTTCCAGGTACGGTTAAAACAAGAATGAGTAATACATACAAGAATTGAATTGTGCAGTAATATTATGCTTCTTGCTAGAAAAAAAAAGCATGCTAAGTTTCTTCGAACAAAACTATAATTATATAAGAGAGAGACTATTTGTTCCTATAACTTTGTCGTCTTTGGTATCTTACAAGTTTTGTTTTGCGAAAGAAATAATCAATTTTTGTCCCGGTCCATAGCTTATATTGATGACATAAAGGCTGACAACTCAATTGCAGCATGAACACATTTCGTAAAAACACCTTATAAAGATATAGGCCTACATTTAAATTAAATAGAAATTCCTAATTGATTGTCATAATTTTGGATATAATCTATACAGTGCGGTGTTTATTAGAGGGGGGGGGGGGAGGGGGGGAGGGGTCATTTTCAGAAATTAAAGATACCAAGGTAAAGAAAATACTCTTCTCTTTTAATGTAAAAATATATAAATCAGAAACTGTTAGTTCATTTTACCTGATCTGACTAAAAAGAAATGTCATTTTTATAAAGAAAACAATACATCAATACAAAACAGTATATGTTATTATCTGAGAATTTTCCTGGAAAGTCAAAGGACGCTTAATACACTCATAACCGAACAAAACATTTAAAAAGAAAAGTTATCTTACCGGTCTTGGATGAGGGTTATTAGACCGTCCATTACAGATGGGTCCCGGCAGAACACCTATAAGTTGTCTTGACATTTTCACGAGTTGTAGAATAAAAGTTGTTTTCTGTAGATTCCACTTTCCCCTAAAACTGGTAAGTTATTTTTTCGTTTGGTGCAGGATAACAAAATTAAAAATTTCTACTTTCTTTGTACGACTTTATGTAGAAAAATTAGGATTGAATTATTTCAAAACGATTATCGTTTCACAGTTGTTGAGAGTCGATAGTGAAGCTTGTCGTCTGTCTGCCGCGCTCGCTGACCGAGCCTCGACTCGTCAATGCTAGTAGATAATAGGTTCTCGTCCGCAGCTGAAAATTAAGCGTGTCGATCTGCTCTCGTCACCTTTTCGGGGGCGGCCGGTATATATTTCGCCGATCACAGACGCCGATCCCCGTTGTCCCTAGCAGCAGCCACTTGATATTATAATTACAATAGATAAGGCACTCGAGCGGAACAGCGATCAGGCCAGCCATCCGTCCCGATATCAGAAAGGACTCCTTCATCCGAAAACGCGACTGGCGGGTGAGCAAGCAGACGAGTGACAATCTATTGCCCAGAATTGAGTCCAGTCTCGAAGTAATTCCACGCCCACTTTGCTCATTACCATGAAAACATCGAAATCAATAGCATGAAACAAAACTTGTCGCGTTTAACAATGTCAACAAAGGCGAGTCAAAGTGCAAACACAGGGAAATCGATACTGCAAATTGATCAGAAACATTCCATCACAAAAGAATTGATTGAAATCATTATGTGTGGGCAATCATCCTTTGGTTAATGCATTGAAAACGTTGTTTTCTTACGGTCTAACTATGACTGTCTGAACCTTGTAATGTATAGAATTTAAAGGGTGTAGCATTGATTTTCTTTATAAAGTCAATGAATGCACGGAAACGTGGAGAAAAACAAAACAAAGGAATGTAGGGTATAGAATAAAATAATGTTCTTCATTTTCTAGGTAACAGAATGAACTTCTGTAATAATGAAGTGACGGCCGAGGAGAAAGAAAACGAAAAGAAATTACAAATAAGGATAGAATACCAATCACGTAATAAATGAATCATGATAGGACCTACAATCATGGATGAATGAGTTGTCGAAAAGAGCAATGGTCATGTCCTGAAATGACTTTTGTTACAATAAAAATGATGATAATAATGATAATAACAATAATAATGATAATAGTATTAATAATAACAACAGCATTTATAATGATAATGAGCAACATGATAATGTTATTAATACCAATAATCAAAAGTAACATGTAAAAATGACTCCTCAAATCCCGTTATTTTTCACTGAGAAAAATTAAACATATTACATCATGTAGCACGTACTCTTTACTTTAACCCTCGTCCCTAGTTCTAAATAATTAACGCGGGTTAGAATTTCTGGTCGATTGGGGTCAAAGGTTGGCGTTTCCTCATTCTATCGACTGATTAACAATTATAATGCTTCACAGGCTGATTGCAAAGTTGTTCATTTATTCAGTGTGTCTACCCTTTTGTGTTATAAATAAATGAGAAATGCCACCAAGCAATTAATAACATCAAGGAGAAATTCTAGAGAAAGTCCCCGTACCGTGACTGGGCTAAAGAGGGTAATATAAAGCTAATAATTCATGACTTTCATTTTCGTCTTGATTGCTCCAGCAAAGTTGGTTTTCGTTTTCGCGGCAGAGCACATCGTGATGGAATAATAAAGTAACTAATTAGTGAGAGTAATGAAATGCAAAATCAATCGGGATATTGCACGGCACTTTGAAATGGCATCGAAAAGTCCTTGTTTCATATTCATAAATTGCGAAGGATTCGAATCTTTTTTTCTTCTTCTCTCTCTCTCTCCCTTAATTTGTAAAATTTCCAGGAGGTGAGATGGCTTAGTAGAAGAACAGTGGTCTCGTAAATGGGGGGGGGGGGGGGGGGGGGGGGGGGACCCGAGTCCGAAACCAAGCGGATTCGATAGTGCCCTTTGCTTTTTGCCAAGGCATTAATCCTCATTACTCAGGCCCCTCGGAGAGGACTTAAAGCTGTCGCTCCAGTGGATGCTTTCTTAAAAACATGGGCATGTTTTCTTAGCAGTCTGGTAAAATGAACCATCAAACCATTTACCAAACCAATTACATGGGATATGGTATTGAGACTAATCTTGATATGATTTCTTGAAAATCCTTGCGATCGTTTTTTTTGTGTGTAAACAATCATTGTAGATGTTTGGGGTCTTTTTTAAGTTAAAAAAAAACCCTTTTCGAGAAAAAAATTAGGTTGGATGTTTTCTTCATAACAAGTTACCAACAGGGGCGTAGTTATAGTTATCATCTAGTTCAGACTGGGCCTTACGCTGTCATCCATCAACGACCAACGTCAAGCAGAAAAGTTTCCAGGGAAACGCACACACTTCAAGCCAACTCGAGCTCGGCGATGCCAATGCATGCTATAAATAAACAATGTTGCCAAGGTCAATGTGAATTAATAGATACATGCAATAATGATTACTACCTTGAAACCCACTGCCACGACACGCAAATTTCTTTTATTTTCTCTTATTTCAAACACAGACAAAGTCAAACAACCTCGATATATTAATAGCATGTTCCCTATTGTTATTCGTATACAGTCTGGTGAATTCTATTCTCTTCTCTCAAAACACGAGCCAATATATTTATGTAAAGAAACATTTAACACAAGATATGGTAAATTTGAGACACCCAGCAACTCAGAAAGAACTCATTGCACATGATTTCAATTTTCATTTTGAGTTTTTGTAAGGAAAATCAATTCAAGAGAATATGTCTAAAGCTAAATGCTTTAAAATAACTATTCATCGTGAACAATGATTGCGGAGAAACCCATAATGCTCAAGTTCTTGTTTATCCCCAGCAATTTCCAACAACCACGATATTATATCCCTAATGTTCCTCCTAATTAGAGTTACATCATTCTTTTCTCTAAAAACACGATCTATTGAAAAAAATATAAGTTAATGAAGCACATATCCATTCAGAAAGCACTCAGAAATTCGTCTCATTTCAATTTGACCTTGAGTTTTTGTTAGTAGAATCCATTTCAAGAGATATCTAAAGCTAAAAATGTAAATTATTCATCACAAGATAATAAGTGTTTGAAACAGCATATCATAAGCAAAATGAAGAATACTTGCTAAAAATAACCAGAACCATCAAACCAGATAGGAACATATCAGAATACTAGTATTGATCAAACCAACGATTTTTTCCCCCTTCATATTTCTTTGCTTCTACCCGACTAGTATAATAATACACCAATCTTGTATAGCACATGTATACAAAATAACGTCTATGCGCTTTCGAGGGGTTTCTATAATGAGAGACATCGTCGGTGTATCAATTTATTAAACGCTATATAAACCAATATTATCATAATTAGTATCAGAGGGGTTTGGGTAGTATTGCCCCAGTTTTAGCTCCAGCAACCGTTCCCAGCACACAGTGCATTTGAAGGAATGATTAATCCTGCCAGGTTTTCTTTTAAAACCTGGGTGGAGAGAGCCAAGTGTAGATGAAATGCCATGTCAAAATGCCTTGTCTATCAACATACCCACTGGGCAGATTCAAACCCTCAACCTTTTGATTCAGAGTCGAGAGAACTAACCACTATACCACACACCTTTCCAACATGATATTTAATTGAATCAAATTCACTGTCCAGATTCAATTCATTTGTGATCATTAACATCCGATGTATATCCTTTGGATTTTATGACAATACTAATTACCTCTTCCGCCATTATAATATCTCAAAATTACCTGTAAACTCTTATACCACACACAAACACTCATAACACTCATAACCAAGATTATTTAATGCTATTTGACAGAGAAACAGATATAAACGGACAGAATTTTCCAATATTTTCACAAATCAAACTTTTCAATGAGTTTATTGATTAACAATTCCAATTACAAATATTGCTTTCACTTATGAAAAAAGACCTCAGTTCTGTTCTACAAAATCATTTTCACACTTGTCACATTCACGATACTGTATATCAAAAAGAAACGGCTCCTTCCTTCACACTGAAAAGAGCAACAAAAAAAATCATGAATAGTTTACCAAAACTCTTCAGACATTTAGGGTACTTCAGGACTAGTAGTAAGTAACCTCTTTAGATACCGGTAACTAACAAAAGCACTTAACTGCATTTTTGTCAAGAACCATGCAATATAAGTTTATCAAACAAAGGCTTAGAAAAGGTAAAGGAAATAACAGTGGCACCATCTGGGTCTCTGAAGTCTGATACTAGGGACTTATAGATATACACGTCCACATAGTGGACTGGCAGTGCCTTAAAAGGACGTCACATTGCCTTAAAGGACGTCACACGTAGCAGTCCACTATGTCGACGTGCAAACCTAAAAGACCCTAATACTAGCTTGCATGAATTCATCCTTGCAGCCTATACGGTGTTCAGCGACATGTCAAGACGGGAAGAAAAGTCATGCATTTATGATAATAGTGATAGGACATTTCCACTTCAAATTCCTAACAGACACTACATGTAATTCCAACGCAGAAATGATATCTGCAAAAATGAATTTTGTCCACTTCAGCTAACTCACATTAGCACATGACATAATTCTCATGAATTTACTATTCTGTGGTGAACAAAAATACAAAAATAATAAGAAATGTTGCCTGACTTAACAATTACATTCAGAAAACAATCTGATTAAGTGTACACAGGTAAATTATCTAAATGATTGATTAAATTATATGCCTTTGCAGTAGCGAATATCATGTTATCGGAGATTTGTTACATCCAATGCCTTGAAAATTTGTCTATTTTAGTCCGATGTATATTACTTAGTACTTCATTTTTCATTTTCAGAGTAATTCCTCAGCAGTTTTTCTCATTCATTTTGTTCAAGGTTTTTACTAACCAGACCTTTGCAAGGCGATACAAATTAAACCTTTTCACATGATCATTTTAACCAATTTCCTGCAGGATTACAGTTCACAAATATTCGCAATTATGAAAGTGCAACTGAACTCTATTTTGTCTACAATTAAAATGTCTATTCAAATTAATTGCACATTAATCTAATACCCTGAAAGTTCAACATGGACGTCATTTTGATATCAACAATATCAACGAGGACCTTTTCCTTGCCTTGCTTCATTTTAAACAATATTTCCCTTATTAGTGTGCACGTTCATGGCTAAACTTAGCTTATTACCCAACAACAATCAACCATTGTTCCCATCTCCGTACAACATACAAGAAAGCTCTGTAATTATATCATTACCCCATAACCTTGCACAGATACATTCAAAGTGAACAATGAAGGCTCGCTCACATACGGCCTGGTATACAGCTGTGATTACTTTATGTTGTAAGCTCAACACGCTTTACATCATTTCTATAACTCATAACACACAGATAGTGCCAGAGGGAGGGGGGGGGGGGTGGGTACTTAGATTTGGTTTAGCCGGGAGTGTGTGAAGCTGACGCCTCAAAATCCACACCCATTTTGACAGAAGAGGGTACCCTTATTCAGACTTTGGATGATGATTTCAATTATTTCTGAATATGGAATTTGCACTTTAGCGAGATTATGAGTGAGGGATTATTGTGAAGAAAAAAACGAAACCCATGTTTGAGACCAAGATCTAAAATATGGGCTATTTTTTTCAAGATTTGTCAACACATAGTCATACCTCAAGTTTAGGGATATTTCATTTCGCAAAACAGTGACCCATTAGGGCGGTGCATCCCTGTATACTGTATTAAGACAAACACCCCCCCCCCCCACCCGAGATGGTGAGTACGTGTAAAAACCTTTGCTGCATGGTGATAACATACTTCCTCATTTGTCAGTCATTTATGCCGTTTCCTGTACCATATGTGAACAAGCCATAATAATACCTCATTATTACATACAGTCGAGTGTAATCAAAAGTTCATTCACTTGAGATAATGCAAAAGACATATAGAAAAAAGAAGTCATCTGTTTGCAGCCAGAAGGACGTAAACTCACATACTGTTTAATACAAAGAGGAGTTAACACCCTTCTGGCCTTGAACAGACAAAGTGTACTGTCATAATCATACAAAGCTGTATAGAGCACCATTGTTGACTAGTGTATCTTGGGTTTCTTAGCGACGTAGCTTCTCACGGTGTCCCTGAGCATGCTGAAGTTCTATCAGGCAAAGAGAAAGAGAGATGAAAGATTTTGTTAAAGGGGTTGGGTAACTTTGCCTCAGATTCTAAACAAAATCCTGTATCTAGCTCATGCTGCAATCATAATTATCAACTTTTAGGTCATACATGAATCCCATGACTTTTACAAGCCAATTGCCTGTCTGATCATCAAGATATCTATGATTGGAATTAGAAATTTCAGAATTCCTTTTCCTAATGTTTTTTTTTAACACTACAGTCCATCCATTGGGAAAAATGAGTATGGTAAAGCCGGTCACTCAAAGACTTTTACTTTTTTGAGGCACTTCATGATCATTTTGAAGCGCAATTTTTTAAGGCTTCAATAGTACACCATATCACAAACTCTGATAACACGTCGGGCCGTGCATCTCAGATTTAACATTGTTAAACGATCCTTTTAATCCTAAAAGTTGTATTTTACTGACAAAAATTGTATATTAAAAAAAAAACACGGATCAATGCCTCTTACAGTCCCTACATACAGGATTTTTTTTTGTATGGATCATTGATTGAATATGCATGATTTCGTCATGACTCGTGTGATCGATGAACCAATAAACATCCCCAAATTGCCATTGTGAGATGCTTGTACGATACTTTACAGGACAGGATGGGCATTTTGCCATTGAAAATGGCACACACACACAAAATACCAACAACAACAAAATTCAAAAATTATTATAAACAAAAAGTAAAAAATAAATAAATAGATCATACTGGTTTGCAGCACTGTATTATACCATAACACATCCACATGAGAGAGAGAACTTCAATGAACTTACTTGTACTGCAAGATAGATGAGCCCAAGATAACTAGCTATGCCTGCAGCCAGGAAGAGGTCAAACACAGCTGGTTTTACACTGAAAGAAAACAACAGGAAACATACAGTATCGTTAAAGGCAATACAAAGTTTTGGTATGGGGTCATGAATTTGGTTCAAATGAACATATTGGAAGCATATGCGATCCTATGCGAGTCTAAAGTTATGAAATCGTAAATACTAAACTCTTTATATTGTATAGCTCCCTCTCAAGGTCAAGATATTAATTAAGCTATAAAAAATGTTTCTGGACTAAAATCGACCAATTAGCTATTCCCGTTTGGAAATTATATATCACGACTACATATTCTGAGATTTTCATGGTCGCAGCTACCATTTTACGGCCGTAGGCACTATTTGAAATTTATCAAAATTTACCGGGAGCACCGGTAAATTTTTATATTCACTTTTTCTCGAAAGCTGAAGTGTTTTAGGGGCTAAATTTTCTAGTGCTTATAATACATCTACAGGGGCATCCAAATATATCAAAATTGTAAAGAATCACTATCCACCCAATTTTCAAAAAATTCCCCAAACTTTGTACTACCTTTAAGGCCTGCTGAGATACGACGCAGTATACCGCCGCCAAAAAAGATGCCATGTTTTTTAAACGTGTAAATGAATGGCAACTGCGTGCAACAATTATAGTCCTATGCATATTCTGAGAGCTCAGGGTAATAAGATATATAAATGTGACAGGTATTACACTTAAAGTTACAAACCATTATTACAAACCATTCATTTGTTACAGGGATACCAAATACTTTGTCTATATGTTCATACATGTTCTTACTTAATATTTGTTGCTGTCATGAGTTTATATTCATGATTTTGTTAATATTATCATTTAAAAAAAAAAACTATTGTTCCATATTATGTTTAACAGGGCCTCATGGAAGACCACCATTATAGGTGATAATGAGTCACCCTGTCTAAATATCAGAAATAAATAGATAAATAAATAAAGTAAAGAGTAACCATTAAAAACAGATGCAGTTTTGCCACATCATATCTGAAGGAGGCTTTAGTGACCGAGCAATCTCACAACCTGTTTAAAACTCAAGAATGGAATTATTTAAAATATACAGCATTTCCAAAGAGCTGGCCAAAGTATGAACTTGAGTTTGATCTTATTTTTTTGACAAGCAAGTGCTTTTACATACTGCTCCTTTGTATGCATATGGCCCATTATTATAGCAGAGCTCCTATATGATATTTTGGTCTTTATGACGATGAGATTACTTTGTAACAGGAATATCAAAAAGCTTTTACTAACACTGTGTGAGTACCTCTGGAACAGAATGAATAAGAAATATCCGCTTTGAGTAATGTAATATCACTATCTGAACTGTTATTAAGGATGTTCTGTACGTCATGAAATTCTGTAAATGTTAGAGCAATCATACTTACTTGTAAGCATGCACAGTAAACTTGAGACCGTCATAGAAAACGTACTCAGGCTCCCTGAAAAATGAAAAGGATACAAACAAAACTGTAACTATATGTATATCCTTATTGGTAAGTTTTTTAAAGCTCACCTGCACTAGTTCGGCCAGGAGGGATTATACCTCCCTGCATTGTCACTGACAGGTGGTTATATCATCAAATCAGCTCTCAATTAACATAAGAAACGAGGATCATGGGGGACCAATCGCCACCGATTAGGCAATGTTTGCTATGTAGAGGGCGCAAGTAGCTACAAGGCTTTAAGGCTTTCACCAACCTATGGTCCCAATCGAGGGAACTAAATGCTTGAGGGTTAATACCTCATGCATTGGTTCCCAATCCCACTCTATTCACTGAGCTGTGTATCTCAATATATACAGTACTGAGTAGCTTGAAGCCTGTCTATACTAGTTTGACCTGGGGGATTAGACCTCCCTGCAAGGACACTGACAGGTGGATATCTCATCAAATCAGCTCTCAACATAAGGGGGATCATGGGGGATCAACAGGGACCGATTAGGCATTGTTTGCTATATATAGGGAGCAACTAGCTGTAAGTTGTGCAGTGGGGCTTTAAGGTACTACTGTAAAACAAGAAATTTTCCAGTGCACGAGACTCAAAGAGAACTTTGAAAGCGGTTGACAGTGGGAACAGGTTTGTGCTGCATGAAATGATGATTACTGTGTATAAATAAAATAAACTCAACTCAACTCATTTAATCTAACTGACGCAACACTGAATTTGTGTAATTCATGCAATCTCTTTGCACAGAAATGCCAGGTGCAAACAACTTCAAAATGTTTCATATTGTGAAAGTATCCAGGCCCTGTTTCATAAAATTTGTTATCAATAACAAGTTAAAACAACTGTTATTAGCTACTGAAGTCGTGGCATTTGATTGGCTGAGAGAAAATTTGTCATAGAATTTAGCATTTGTTATTGCTAACAAGCTTTATAAAACAGGGCCCTAGTTTAGCAGTTCTAAACATAGGGGTTTATTACAAAATATTCCTTCAAAATGTCTGGGACATAAACAAATCATAAAACAAACATTGGGTGATCAATTTGTTTCAAATTCCAATCTGATAACCATTAGGGTATTTTTTCCAGCTGGTTTCACTTGAAAAAATCAAAAACATTAAAACAACAAACAAACAGAGGACAGGAAAATTTATAATTGAACACAATCAAAGCTATCCTTTTTGCCCAACATTTCCAGTATTTTCAAACAATTATAGACAGATTGATGCACAATCCAACCACCTTTTTGTTTTACTTGAAAAGGTTACGCACTACGATGCACTTTATAGCCTAATGGCAATCTCTCTATGAAGCAGGTCAAAACACTTGACAATTTGGAAGTCTGCTCTCATTCAGAATTTGATAGATCATTAGAGGTGTAGAGGTGTCGTGGTCGAGTGGATATGTCACCGTACTGTGGATCACAAGGTCCGCAGTTCAAGTCCCGCCGCGGCACTAATGTCCTTTGGCAAGACATTGATCTACATTTGCCACTCTCCACCCAGGTGTTAAATGGGTACCCGGTAAGATGCAAAAGTTAATGTGGTTGGATTAGAAAGTGGCGCTTGTAAAATGGCGACTGGCTGGAATGCTCCCCGGTGAGTGGAAAACGCGCATACATTGTGTTCGGGTAAGCCCGAATCCGATGACTCGGGTAATAATATGTACTGTGCCTAGAAACAAAGTATTAGGCGCATTATAAATGTGAGCTATTATTATTATTAATTTTACTATACCTCTTGTCTGCTTTGATGGTTAGTCGCTTGACGTCTTTGAGGTACCTGGAGAGGGCGCTCTGTAGCGTATTCAGTAACGGCTCGTCTTTGGTGAGCAGCTGGGCTGACCTAGGCTCTGATGATAAATACTTGATCCACGAATCTATCGAGTCCTTGTTGACATCCTAGCAATTGAATGAACGATTGGAATAATAAACATACATGGGGACGACTGATGTAAGACAGAATACTTACTTCTTAAAATTAAAATGTTAAAGCCCCTGTGTACTAGTTATAGCTACTTGCTCCCTCTATATAGAAAACAATGCCTTAGTGGTGCCCGTTGGTCCCCCATGATCCTGTTTTTCTATGTTAAGTGAGAGCTGAGTTGATGAGATAACCAACTGTCGGTGACCTCGCTGGGTGGTTTAATCCCTCCTGGCCAAACTAGTACAGACAGGCTTTAAAGGGGGTCGGTTGTCAGTTTCCATGTGCAGAAGGTCATAATTTGCTGACACTAGAGTTGCTCGCAATACATTAAGAAATCCCCCCTAGTCTCTTTGAGAGTCTTCAGGTGATGCAATGTCAGATAAGGGCTTTACCAAATGGGGAAGAGACAGAGCATTACAGTACATCAAGCCTGTTGGTCATAAAACTGAAGGCTAATCATGTAGATTAACAACACCTATTATTCGGTTAATACCCTAATGGTGTCAATTTCCCCATGAGAGCCCACTTCTATGTGTCTTTAAATCATGGCATTAAAACAAAAGACCACCTCTACCTTATTGACAATGCCTGTCTGGAATCTCTCAAGTCAGGTCAAGCAATCACCAGAAATATTCCAAATATGAGAGAGATGACTGTTGATTGGTCAGTTGTGTTCCTTTGTTAAAAAAGCTGCTATTTTAATACTCCCGGTACATTCCTCTCAGCTACCGTCTCCACTAGTTTGGCCAGGGGGGATTAAACCTTCCTGCAAGGTTACTGACAGGTGGTTAATTCATCAAATCAGCTCTCAATTAACATAAGAAAAGGGGATCATGGGGGACCAACAGGCACCGATTAGCCACTGTTTGCTATATAGAGGGCGAAAGTAGCTATAAGTAGTGCAGCAGGGCTTTAAATGTCAGATTGATTCATCGCATAAGATGAAGAAGAGACTTGAAATAACAGCATGTACTTACATAGCCATCAACAAAGACCTCCATTTCTGAGGACCCTATGCCAAATATATGATGAGCTAGGGTTTCAGCGATGATCTTCACGTTCCTTGCAAGTTTGCTGGAATCTACCCTGGAGCTAAGAAAGGAAACGAAAGGAAACATAATTTCATGATTACATCTTCAGTCAAAGTCAATTCACACCAGGGGGTGTTTCACAAAGATCCTAAGTTGGACTCAACAATTATGGAAAGCCGTTAGCGTCTTTGAAAATATTTTGTAAAAGTTATTTTAAAAGGCATAAAATGTTGATTCAAATCATTCATATTCTCTATTGTCAAGGAGATTCTTTTTCTTGATGTGGAATTTATAAAAACTCTAAAATACTTGCGTTATCGCTTTTGAATATATTTTATTTTAAGGCTACAAATGGCGCTCCATATTTATTAAGTCCAACTTAGGGTTAAGTTCGACTTATGATCTTTGTGAAAGACCCCACAGATGAATAAGGGTTACAGTAATGATCTTCAAAGTTCTTGCAGGCTTGAAAGACTATACTCTTGTTCTGTTTTGATATATAACATATGTTATAAAGCTTCATCCCCAATGGTCTGAGCATTCCTTACAAACTTAGTGGAATTTACCCTAGAACTATGGAGATATTACACATACCTCAGTATCTGAAAAAAATCATCTCAAAGATATAGTCTAAAAATGTATGATCAACAAGAGCATCGGGTGTAATCTTTAACCTAATTGCAAACTTGGTGAAAATGAATGATTTTTTAAAGAACTTGTTACTACATACACATGTTGAGTTGCAAAACTATTTATACAGAGAAAATTTATTCAAAATTTTTTGAGCGACAATTGCTTCGCAATCAACATCCAACTGTAACCATGGTCCCAACTCAAAACGTAACCCTACTTCTAATCCAAGGCTTAACCTAACACCAATTGCAAGGCCATCTCTTTTCATATATCTTTGATGAAATAAAGTCTGAAGCAATTGCACTGAAGCAAATGTGGAGTCACCGTCTACAGTGGTTTCGCATTCATTACAACCTATTATAACATAATGATAATTTTTTAAATAGTGGGTCTTGTACAGCGCTCATGTCTGCAGACTTGACACTCCTTGCGCTCCACAATCATCACCCCCGGCTTTAGCACAGCTGCCAGTACGGCGCTCTAGCATTTCAAGGAATAAATTCCTGTAATGAGGAAGTTCTTAGAAGAGCTGGAGTGCAAAGGAAAATGATACGTGAGATGTTGTTTAGGCAGTTAAAGATCATGGGTCACGTAACACGTAAAGAAGGCCTAGGGAACCTAGGCAGGGAAAATTGTGGGAAGGAGGAGAAGGGGAAACAGGAGGATACTTTGGATGGACAGTCTGCAGAAATTGTTGGAAGAGAGAGGAGTGAAAGAACTGGAAGTGGTACTAATACAGAAGGCTAGGAGCCGAGGGTTGTGGAACAGCATGATCGCCAAAGTCAATCGATATGGCACTTAGAGAGAGAGAATCCCTGCTTTATAGATACATACATGTCATCAGTAATGGTAGACCTAGAGGCACTGTCGTAGGAAGAGAGATGGGACAGGGTCCCTGCTGGGAGTCTCTGCATGCTGAACCTCTCATGCTCCCAAGCCAACCAATCGTCACCCAAGTTGATGCGCTTGTGGACCATGCTGAACTTCATCGAGGGGTTCACAGACTTGGTGATGGCTTCAAGCTCCTGAGGAGGAGATGAATAGAAATGTGGATGGAATAGAAAGATGGGCAAGATCATACACAATCAATTCACAAAACTGACTTAAATGCCCCCACAAAATGGTATGATGAACCCATCTCTATTAAACACGAATTGCATAAAAGTCTTTATTTAATGTCCCACAAACTATGACAAAATCTTACGGGGAAAGGTCATTTTCATATGCAACCGCCGTTTTATGGAATAACTGGCTGAGTAATGAGCATAGAAAGATAAGAAAATCAAGGTAAGTAGGCCCGACACCATTTGTGTAGTCCCATATACGTCTTTCTGTGTACAGTGATTGTAACTTTACCAAGACTGGGCCAAATTTCTTATCATTTTGATGATTCCAGAACCTTGCAGTACACACCAATACTTATATGCTAGATGATCAACCTTTTCTGATCGATTCCACAACGTATCTTTCACAATGCAATCGCATGACCAGAACTGGTCTATACCATTTAACATACCTGCAGAAGTTGGTGAGATTCTGAGCCCTCCTTGGGAGGCTTGGAGACATGGAGGTACAGCTCATCACCAGCACCAATGGTATCCAGACACAGTACATACGATACATCACTCAAAAGAGATGACTCTAGGAAAGAAAGAGAAAGATTTTACATGAATGAGGTCCACAGATCACGACCCCCCCCCCCCCCCCCCCCTACTCCAGGGTCGGAGGAACCTCATTGGTGTTCCCAAAATCTCTGGTCAAGGGTACTTTTCATGCAACAAAGTCTGGCCTGTATTGACTTTACACACCAGGGATAGGGGTGCTTTCAAAGGGAGGGAACACGCGTACCCTAAATATCACTGAGGGGGGGGGGGGGCACAGATTCGCAACTATGGCTCATTGCGAGCACCAATTGTATAGAAAGACAATCATAGGATAATCAGTCAAGAGAGACGACTCTACGATACGAAGAAGAGAAAGATTCCATGTTGACGAGGTCACTGCCAGCACCACCCGTAAACAAACACAATACACAAGATAGTGTGATCGCCAGACTGCAGACACACACTTTTCTTAGCTCTCCATTTATTGCTCTTTCAAGGAAGTTTACTTATTCATCTTTTCACCAGATGACTGATCTAACATCATAGAATTTACTAGACAAATTTCAGAATTTCTACTGGACATATCGAGTAGCATTATGAATAGACATTCAATTTACATTTTATTACGGCTCAAAATCAAACAAATGTTCAGTATTTACTTGTCATAAACTCAATTAATCAGCCTCAATTTTTATTTAAAATATGAAAATTCCTCACTGAACAATGATTACAAAAATGATTACAATGACAAATCTATTCTATTTAAATCACTTTGTTTGCAAGTATGGAATATGAAATAAGTTATGATTTTTTTTACTGTGTATTATATGTACTTGTCTATATCTAAGTTTTGTTGAAATGCTTTTTAAAACTGAGCGTGTAAAATTTGCAATGTAATTTAGCTCTCGGGCTACCATTTTGCAGTTGTTGTAATAAAACCATCCTACTACTACTACTTCATCACTCAACATAGATGACTTTTCATGACAATTTCAAGGAAGTTTAATTGAAATGAAGCTCATCACTGATATCAATAGAAGAAGGACTAGATGGAATTCGACTGCGCGCAGTCGAAAATGATGCCTCCGTCATAGAGCAATTTTACAAACCAAAACAGAAGACATTTTTCAAATTCAAGTTCAATTGTAATCCATTAACAGGTTCTCAGAATATCGTGATTACAAGCAATTTCTCATATACATATATGACCCTTTGATCTTTGACCTCATGACCCTAAAATCTACTCAGTTCATTGGCTCTGCAAGATGTCCTGAGTTAAATAGTAATCCATCTGTCAGTTCTAATGAGAATGTGTTCACAAGCTATTTTTGCATACATAATGAGCCCATGACCTTTGACCTTTGATCTTATGAACCAAAAATCTAATCAGTTCATCTGCTCTGCAAGTAACATACATGACCTAAGTTTAGCAGCAATCCATCAATCGGTTCTTGAGATAACGCAATCACGAGCTGTTTTTGCATACATAATGTGTGCTGTAGCCTTTGACCTTTGACCTCGTGACCCCAAAATCTAATCACTTCATCGGTTCTGCAAGTAACATACATGACCTAAGTTTGGCAGCAATCCATTACTCGGTTCTTGAGATAACGCGATCACGAGCTGTTTTTGCATACATAATGAGCCCTGTGACCTTTGACCTTTAACCTCATGACCCCAAAATCTAATCAGTTCTTTGACTCTGCAAGATACATACATGACCAAAGTTTGGCAGGAATCCATCAATCGGTTCTTCAGATAACGCGATCACGAGCTGTTTTTGCATACATAATGAGCCCTGTGACCTTTGACCTTTGACATCGTAACCCCAAAATCTAATCAGTTCATCGGCTCTGCAAGATACATACATGACCAAAGTTTGGCAGGAATCCATCAATCGGTTCTTCAGATAACGCGATCACGAGAACGGGACGTACGTACGTACAGACGTACGTACGTACAGACGTACGTACAGACGGACGGACGGACAACCCGAAAACATAATGCCTCCGGCTACTTCGTAACGGAGGCATAAAAATGTTTAAAACATAACTTTAGGCAAAGAAATTAGCACACTTTACAGAGAAGAAAATCCTACAATGCTTTGAAATAACACTGTAGATATCAGTAATGCTTTTTGTATGAGCCTGGTGAAGTGGCGATTCAAAATAATAATCATAGATCATTAAACCTGCTCATATGCTATGAAATCACTTCTTATATTTATACTAATTACTAGAGAAATGACAATTTTAAATAGGACAACATAAATCTGTTCAAATTGTGTTTTGTCATCTTATAATTAACAACAGTACTCTACAATTTCCCCCTACTTACTCTGTATAATGGACGTACATTGCATTAAAAAGGACTTAAAGCCGCTCTGCACTAGTTTGTCCAGGGGGATTAGACCTCCCTGCGAGGTCATTGACAGGTGGTTATCTCAACAAATCAGCTCTCAATTGACAGAAGAAAAGGGGCATCATGGGGGATCAACAGGTACCGCTTGGGCATTGTTGCCGCTGTATAGAGGGCGCAAGTAGCTATAAGTAGTACAGTGGGGCTTTAATTCCTAACAAAGATAAGGGTATACCAGGAAGTAAAAACTCACCCTGACTCTCTAGCTGATCTTCTATCCACCTTTTGGTGCCGTGGTAGTTGAACTTGCCTCCTCCAGACAGGAAGAACAGCAGGTTATACCTTAACAACAAACATATTAAAGGCATCGTTTAACAATGTTAAATCTGAGATGCATGGCCCTACATGTTATCAGTGTCTGTGATATGGTGTAAAATTGAAGCCCTAAAAAATGCGCTTCAAAATGATCATGAAGTGCCCAAAAAAAGTAAAAACCTTTGAGTGACCGGTTTTACCATACTCGTTTCCCCCAATAGACTGTAGTGTTGTAAAACCGTTTGGAAAATGCAAAATTTGATATTGATTTCCAATCATAAATATCTTGATAATCAGACAGGCGATCGGATTGTATAAGTCATGGGGTTCCTGACTGACATAAAGGTTTATAATTATCATTGCAGCATGAGCTAAATCCAGGATTTTGTTTCAGAATCTGAGACAGAGATACCCAAACCCTTTAAGGGCTCTTCAAACGGATTTGGACCTTACCTAGAGTGACCCTACAGTCTTAATGATGAGTATATCATATGGTAGGAAATGCCGACCTTGTGTAAACAACAACTGTTTAATTGTTATAAGAAGCACTGTATTGGCATTTTTGTCCTTTCCAGGATACTGGTGCTTCCTTTACACTCTCTCGTCTCAATGTGAAAGACAATGAAATCAGAAAAAAATGTTTGAGGGAAAGTTGAAACTCTCTTTGATATGACTGTCTGCTGAAATACATGGAAAACAGTGAAACTGGGGAATTTTGGGTAAAATGAAACTTTAGAGCACATATAGAAAAATTGCAAATAATGATAATCTACTGATCGAATCTCATAGTAAAATAAAACTTTCAAATTACTCGTCTAAATTCATCCCATCATCAAGTTTAAGAATATGATTAACAATGACAAAGTGGACAACCGAACTCATGTTTCTTCAGTTAGGCATTTGATATTACATTAGCTTGGTAAATATATACAAAGAGAAAATAAAGACATGAACAAGGGATAATTTGTTCTTCGCACTATTAAAGTATGAGAACTACTTACTTGGCATGGGTTCTAGAGCTGGTATAGAGCTTACTGAAGAGTCTCGCTAGCTCTAGCAAGGCCACAACTCCACTTCCATTAGAGTCTGCTCCGTGAGACAGATGCTGAAATACAATCAGGTTTGAAATTTTCAGAGCAAGATTGAAAATAATCTGAGGGTAAATTCATACACAATGGATTTGGAATTTTGGATGTACCAGGGGCGACAGTGAGCACTAAAAAAAAAAAAGATTTTTTTTTTTTCCTCAACCAACTTGAGTAAAAAAAATTTGGGGGGGGGGGGGGGGGGGAAATGGCATCTAACAACATTCCCCCCCCCCCCCCCCACCCCCCTTTTGAGTACGAAAATTGGGGGAAAAATTGGGAAAATTGGGAAAGTAGAAAAAAGGGGGAAATAGGGGGAAAAAAAGGGGGGGAATGGGGAAAAAAAAGGGGGAAATAGGGAAAATAAGGGTAAAATCGGGTACACAGAACACACAGTTGTTATAAATAGTATCATCGGATACCGGTAACTTCAAACAAAAAGGTTCAGGACTATCATACTGGATGAAATATTGAAGTTAATCTTGGAAAATAACCTCACTCATACCATACCTACATGCAACTGTCACGACACCAATTGTATATTGAAACTTTTAAATGATAACCGATCATGGTTTATGTATGTTAAATTTGTTCAAGGTTCACCACAAAATGGGGTCATGGGACAAATACCTGTAGACCCCCTCCCCCACACGCTTAAAAATTAGTAGTTCATCATACCTTCTTTTGATTGATTGAAAAGTACACTCTTTTGTTTTAAAGGTATAGACCAGTTCTGGTCATGCGATTGCATTGTAAAAGAAACGTTGTGGAATCGATCAGAAAAGGTTGATAATCTAGCACATAAGTATTAGTGTGAACTGCAAGGTTCTGGAATCATCAAAATGATCAGAAATTTTGCCCAGTCTTGGTAAAGTTACAAGCACTGTACACAGAAAGATGTATATGGGACTATGCGATATCTATCCAGTCCGGATAGATATAATAATTTATCTAATATATCAATTTGTAGGCGGTTTCCCAGCAAAATTTGCATCATCACGTATTATTCAAAACATATTCTTACACATGATTGGTAATAAGAGCTTCCATTTAAATTTTTGAGAGGGGAGTGTTTCCAAAACTGGTCTATACCTTTAATGTTTACATCTCCAAATTAAAAAATAGGTGATAATACAATGTTGTCTACCCCCGTCTTGACTGAAGAATGATACAGTCAAACCTGCTTTAGTGACCACCTGTATAGAAAGACCACCTGCCTACAAAGATCACATTCTTTGTTTTCCCACGAAAATGGTTTCTCATTGAAACATGTACTAAAGGAGCCTGTACATCAAGACCACCTGCCTATAAAGACCACTTTTCTTGTCTCCCTTGGGTAGACAGGTTTCACTGTACTTACTGGAGCAGCACCAAAGGCATCGTAATGAGCCACTACAGCCAAGGTTGGTAGCTGATCCTCTACACCCTTCCCTGTTAGCTGGCCCTGTAGAAACAAACAAATTGATATCATGGTGACCAAGTCTCTCACAAAACACAAGTTAGAGTTCATTGTGGAATTAAAGGGATAGTTGAGTTTTGTTGCAGAGGGTGCTACACAAAATGACTTTTTTGTGAGATAATGAAAAATTGAGTGTCAAATTTGAAAGAATATACAATTTAAATGACAAAATCATCTTTTGTTAATCAAAAATCGGTTCAGAGATGGTTGAAATATCCATAAATGAAATCATAAGAATAAGAGCGATAACCATGCACTTTGAAGGCATTCGTGGTCTTAAACAAGAACTTAAGTATCCATTTAACAGGTTTTAACCAATTACAGCTTCTACAAAAAATAACTGTATTAAAGATATATCTCAGCAAATGATTCTTCCATCTGTAAGAACACTTTTCAAGACCTTTTTTCGTGTATACTTCAAGAGGTTTACAAAATAATTAATGGACCAATCATAGCAGGGAAGGTTGATCTGCCATACTTTGGAAACAGTAGGGTCTCGTCTGCTGAGATACCCAATGGTGTTAACTCATAAACATTTAGACATAGTGATCGCATTTGACTTCTTGCGCTCAGCAGAGCAGTCATTTTTATGGTATTTCTGCTGCATCAAGCATACCATATCATTTACATCAATACTACAATTTCTGCATGTTTAAACTTCACTATCTATAGATTGTTAACAGTATCTTAAACTTACAACTGGAAAGTCACAATCGTCCATTTTATATATTTTCATCAGATATGACCACTGTTCTATGACACGAGTTGTGATGGCTCAGTGGTGGAGCAGTGGTCTTGTAACCGGGAGGTCACACGTTTGAACCCAAATCAGTGCAATTTTTGTAAGGCTTTAATCCTCATTACCAAGTCCCAAAAAAGGACTTAGAGCCATCAGTCCCCCTGGTTGCTTAACTTACAAGCAAACATATGTATTCTTAACAATCAGGTAAGTAAAGCAATCCTCAAACATCATCACATTTTTACTGATTTGAGATAATATTCTATATGCCTACCTGGAAGCTGATGATATGGCCATCCTTGACAGGTTTAGCCTGAGATCCAGACACAACCATCTGGAACCCATTGGCATACACTGCACTCAGAAGCGCTGAAAGATGGACACAAACAAAAAAGTATCATAATCATTCAATTTAGACAGGTTTTCACATTGCATTAAAATTTATTTACCATGCATCAAAGTTATTAAATGTTACATTTAAGATTCCTAAATAATCAGCTTTCAGCGAACAACTGGTGTTAGAGTTAGGGATAGGGTAAGGGTTTGATTTAAAGTTAGGATTACAGCAAGTGTTTCCTACATGTAAGAAATTTTAGTCTTTAGATTAAGCTTAATTTTTGTGGTGGGGTACTCAAAAGTTGCAAATCTTCAAGAGAAAAAAAAGCTGCTCATGGTCTGACATGGAGGCAAAGCCCAAGATCACTCATGACAAAGCTATCAGAAAATGCAAATTAAGATGAAAATAATATGATAGAGAAAAATTCATGCTTCCTTTGCAATGTACAAGTGTGTCAAATCTTAGTACATCTATAAGGATTTCTATGACAAAATAACTTTTCATAATGCCAAATCAAAATGGTACCCACACATATTGCTTTTGAAGAGGGGGTTCTGTATTACTTCACCCATACATTTGCCACAAATATATTAAATGTTACTAGGTAACCCTGTAAATTGAGTCTATGATTGGATCGGCAGTTTGGCTCCCAATATCGGTATCAGATCGGCAGATCGGGAGGGAAATCTGATGATTTTTTTATTTAATCTGCCTCCAAAAATTGCCAAAATTTGACTATTTTGAGCACCTAAAATCACTCCTACCCTGGATAATTCTCTCATTTGAAGTTGTTGTTGTTATGTTTAAAGCTATTTTCATGCTCTTAACAAACAAAAAAAAGAGAACATTTTCAAGTTTTGGGCTTTCAAATACTAAAAAAAAACATGCATAAATGGGATTAATTTGTTATTTGGAGTTGTTGTAGACTACAGAATGTTTGTTGATACTAAGTGCCTTTTCATGACTTTGAAATGAACAATATTTGTCTAAGAGAAGAGGCAAAACGTGTGAGCCGCCATCTTGGATTATAGTGACAATGGAAAAAATATGTGCCCAAGTATTTAAGAGCCCCAAACTTGAACATTTTTGGCCTTTTTTTTTTCAGCCATCAGAAGTTATTATCAGATTTCACCTGATCGGCCTACGATCAGCCCCCGATCCGATTATTGATTACAGGGTTATTATTAGGGCATATCTGAATGAGGTTTCTTTCTTTACGGACTGACTTGTCTCACGTACGTAATAGACTTACCCTGAGCAGCTGAAGGTGCCTGGTCACCACTGACCGCTTGCTGGATGTCACTGTGAATGGACAGCAGCTCGTCATCCTCTGTTGCAAAGTAGACTGGCATGTTGGCCTCCTGCTCCAACATGAGAGGCTCTAACTCCATCCATTGCTACGAGCAAGAAAGGTCAAAATACTCTGTCAGGTTTGAAAAGCTTTAGTGCTGTACAACAAGATGAATAGAGACATCAGGGGGGTTTTTCACAAAGCATTTTTTCAATGACAAATGACAAAAATTAGTGAAAAATCTGCTGATAACCAATCAGAAGCAAGGATTTCACTAGCTTGTTATTTGTCACTGATGACAAGTTTTGTGAAACACTCCCGAGTGAATTACGTTTTAAGAAAGTGCTTTGACAAACATGTATATACCCCGCCATCCCTCCCTCCCACCCCCCCCCCTACTTCCTCTCAATGAAGGATGCTTACTCTTTACTTTACTTTACTCATGGTTGAAAAAGAAAAGAAAAAAATTGCATCCATACTGAGGCCAGAAATTATGGTAAAACAATTTGATAGTAGTAATAAATTATAATGCATGTTGTTGTTTCTTGTTCCCTTTAAAAGTACTATGTCCCATTTGCAGGCCAAAAAAATGAAAAAGTTAAATTCCAATGGCATTTGAAAGATAATACTAATCTAGAACTTCCCTAAAGAAAAGGGGGCTTGAAAATGTCTTTAAGTGGGAAAATAATGACTATTAGTTGTCAAATCGACTTAGGAGCTATAGAGCCACTAAGTAATAGTCTTGATTTTCAGACCATTGAACCGAACGGTTGTAAATTTTATGCTGCGCAAAGATTCAATCAGTGTAATTTTGGCAATTACAAACAATGAGTTATTGTTGTAGACAAATGCTCATGTACCCTTTACAGCTCATTTTATGTATGTTATTACCAAAGAACAAAAAAAGCCAGTCAGTCACTCAATAGTGTCTGACAGTGAAGTCTAGCAAGTAAACAGGTTTCCTTGCATAATTTGAATATCAGCACACTGCTAGCACTTAAATTTCACAGATAGGACATACATGACATATTCATAATTCCCGCAAAGTTCTACAGAATTTGAGGTTGGCTGCAAAAGGGACAAAGTATCTTTAAAACTCACCCCCCCCCCCCCCCCCCAACAAAAAAATATTTAAAAAATACAAAATAAATAAACACATTTTAAAACAAATTAATAAATACATTTTAAAATAAATAAATACAAAAATATTTAAAAATAAATAAATAAATAAAATAAATAAATAAATTACATAACACATGAATGAAAACAATAAATTATATCGTGTCCAGGTTGAACAGTGAACACATGCTGGCACAGATAACTTACATTGAGTACATCCTGCGGTGAAGAATTCAAGGATTCAGGAAGCAAGATGACCAGTGCTCCTGCTCCCTGCTCTTTGAGCTCCTTGTATCGGTCAGCGGTCATCTCAGACAGCTTGGCTAGGACGCACCTCCTGGTAACCATCTTGGCTGAAATGGGCCGAGCTTCAAGGTTGACCAAGGTGTTACGACAGCCTATAGTTTATAAAGTAAAATGCACAAACATTTGTTCATCGGTCTAAATTTTGGTTTTTAATGAAGTTTTAAAGATTGCATTGTTTAATTTCAACTACAAATCACTGCACGAAGAAGTTTGCGCATTAAGCGCTGTACAGTGAGTTTAGGCGCTCTCATTGGCCGATCCCCTCGAGTGGCTTCAAATTTAAGTGAGAGAGGGCCTACTTTAACTTAAGCGCAACTTAAGCGCAACTTAAGTTCAATGGCAAAATCAATACGTAATATTATGTCACACCACAGAGATTTTGACATGTCCTGCTTTAAACAGGTGATGCACTTCACACATAACTGACGCACACACAGCATTGCACACACATGAAATAGAAAAATCAACGAACATTTCAGAATAAATTTCCAGTTTGTACCTTAAATATGACGAAAATGAGAATTGTTTAAACTTGAAAAATAGTTAAGACTTAAACTTAAGTGCAATACTTAAATGAAAATATCAAAACAAAAGGTCTAGTCTCTAGATCTAGAGGGTTTGACTGAAATATCATAATTTTGGTATAAAAAAAACCGGAAAGTCGCAAGCTTGCTCATTGCACAAATATCTGATAGCATTGAGTGAATGGAAAACAGCGATAGCCAATAAGAAGGGCCCTTGTTGGCACCAATTTAGTAAAATGAGGCTGAGATTTGCCAAGATCGGATGAACGATTTGCGCATGCGCTAAAGTTTTACGTGCACTGTTGTCTCAGTGATGGCTTGATTTCAATTTTCAGCCCTCAGGATTGCAGCTCGTCTGTGTGTCAGAGTGTGCGACCGATTCAAGACTAGCAATTGTACTTCTGTGCGGAGTTTAATTGTCATTTTGGGGGCCGTTTCTCGAAACTAACTCCATGACAGTCATATCTTTGTCGGCGACCTACGGAGATGTCATGAAGTGGACAAACTGTTTCACAAAGCCATGACAGACATGATATCGATATATCGCGATACTAGCAGCTCAAGAACATAGTCTTTGTCACGATCCATTTGATTTATCACGAATAACCCAAAACAAGTTTTGGGGCTAAAATTGTTCAAAAAGAAACATATACATATTAATTCTCCTAAAATGAATAAAAAAATAGTGTCATTATCAAATGTAGATCATCAAACGATTTGCATATTTCTGTAAAGATTCTTAAATTGAAGAAAAACCGGTGAGTGTTTTTTTTTTTACAGTCGAATCAAAAGTTAGTTGAACTTAGGATACTGTAATGTGATAGTTTATCATTACGTACTTTTTTGTTTATTGCGACGAGGAATTTTAGGCAAAATACCTTTTCTCAGCCAGTTTTTATTTAAGAGTCTCATAAATACTCGTTATATAATTGATTTTATATTGAAAATATAATTTGAAAGAAGTAATTAGAGAGGCAATAATATTGCACATAGGCCCCAAAGGTATGACGGTATCCTAAGAAAAGACTATGGATCGACTATGGAAAACGGTGTGTAACATTCTTATCTCTCTTATTTATATGTTATAGTTTAATGATTTGTGATTTAATGTTTATAATCAGCTTTTTAAAGTTTCTGTATAATTTGTATTAGGCCTATCACTTTTTTTACATTTGCATTTCGCATCCCAGAGAATTACGTACAGAACTCGTCTTTATTTTTGTCAAAATGATAGTGAAACTAATCGTATATTTCGCGGCCCATGAAATAGCAACAAACTGACTTGTGATGGCGCTTTACAGCAATTAAAAATATATGACGGGTTCAGAGCAGTGACAACTCACTGTCACGGAAGTTGTCGCTCATCTTGGCAAAGACGGCTTCGTGAATGACTTAGCAGACAAGTTGCATGACAGTGGCGAGATGTCGTTAATCTTGTAGTTATGACGGTTTCGAGAAACGGCTCCCTGGACTTTGTCCCTGCAATGACACGCCCGTTATTGGGCCTGTCTATTTCTGAACGTAAATTAGTGAGTCCACGTTTCAAATTCAAGCCACCCTACGAGCTACGGCGCGGCTAGTCTAGATTTAGACCTAGATCTAGTACTAGATCTAGACTAGTTGAATATGACTTAGATTCTAGAGTTAGACTAGATCTATAAATTGAATTACATTTTGCACTCTAGTCTAAGGAACACGAACAAAAAACGCTTGCCAGTCAGTCGCCCAACATAGGCGCCGCGCCGCCGCCGCAGCCTAGCCACACCGACCGATGCATGGAACAAAGGCAAGCCCCAAGCTCGCCCGAAAGTCTCCGTCATCTTACCGTACTGTGTCCCTTGCAAGTCGAACTGCTGCATTCGATAGGCGGTGAAGTCATGAGCCCCATGTACGGGCGAAATTGCGATCAAAATCGGAACTAAGAGAAGACATGTCCACGGGAAATGTCCTCTTACTACTTCAACAACTTCTTCCGCCTCTGCAAACCACATAATTATTTCAAATAATTAAAGTAAAACAAGAAATTGTGGGGAGTTGTTAGCACGGAATGGATGAAAACGTGCACAAAGTAGTATGCCCCGGAAGTACAACGCTTCACAAGCACATGACCCCGCCCTCGACCTGGAGCTCCTAGCTGGAATCGCGTGCAAATTTTAGTTTGCAGTGGGGAAGAATGAGGGAAGGGTGAGGGGTGGTCACGCGTTGTGTTGTGCTCCCAATGTATGAACGGTAAATGCCAGTTTTGGGGCAGGGTCTTTTTTAGCAGATGTTTCTGCACTTATTGAAAAATTAAATATAATATATTACACAAATAGTAGTATATATAATAAAAATTTACATAAAATGCGACAAGTGAAATAAATTTAAAAAATACATATATATAATCGAAAACTTGAAAGTATGGAGGTAAATCAAAGAATCAAGATAAATGCAGAGGGGCAACTATCATAAGCATGAATGCTTGGGTCGATATCAGTGGGTCAGCCTACAACAATAAAATGAACTGTTTTGAATATCCAACAAGAGCTGATCATCCATGCATGGGTCTACTCAGTAGTACTGTTTCCTTTGTAGCGCTGTTAAATTTAAAAAAAACCTACCTATCAGACAATTTTTTGTTTAAAGATCGACATACATGGAGGTCAAAAGATGACTCCTCCTCCTCCAGCCCTCCCCCTTGATAAAAATAGTGAAGTTTGGGTAATTTATGTCAGATTCTAGCATTAAAGAAAAACACATACTCGATATAATTATTGGAAAGGGGCTCGATTATGCTTTGAAAAGGGAATCAAAAGGGGCTCTGTTGATATTAAAGTGTAAATAACTGCAATGGGGTTCTCTTTAATGTATTAGCCGGCCAAATATATGTTCAGCCGGGCCTACAGCAACACCTGTTAATATGGAAAACCCTATAGAAACCATAAGCCTAAAGTGTAAGAGACTAGATGATGTAAAGAGTGGTGGGAAGAACTATATATTATAAAAGTGATCGGAGCAGATGAGATAGATACTGGCAGTATGAAGGAAGACAGACTCTTTAAAAAGATATTAGATCGAGGGGGGGGGGGGGGACAAATCCTTTTTTACACAAAGATAGTAACGTTATTATTAGTTAATTCATCATTATTATAGTCTGGCTCCCAAAATAGCAAAATAACAATCGTTTATTGTCAGTATAGCGATGAAAATACAAAATTATTGTTGTTAAAATTATATATAATATATATATAAGCCGTCCGCCGGTGAAAACTGGAAAACATCTTCCCATATTGAGAGAAAGAAAGAAAAGAAAAAAAGGGGAGGAGCTATTAGGGAGTAACAAAAGAGAGAAACATTGATCATTCAAGGTCGATTTCGATTGACATAAAAGATCGGTGAGCTCCGCTCCGTGGACTCTGTACCTTGTATTCGTGCTGGTATCTCGTTCACTAGCGAGCTGCAAATTACGCGCCACATAATTTCTAAAAAGACAGGTAAGTGAGTGAACAATAACATGTCTTTAATTTGTATTACACTAAAGTTGCTGCCAGTCATGCATGTACAGTTGTACACAACATGAGTTTATGAATTATGACGGGTAACGTAGCATATAACATTGACCATGGACCCTGGTTGGTACATGCGTTATGATATGATCCCATAATGCACGTAGGCCTCGGTACCACGACGAGTTTTTAGCTATAGCTTGGCACGAATGTCTACGCATGCATTTGTCTCGACTTTGTTTACTGCATGTACACTATTGCCTCCATGCAGGCCGCTGAGTGAAGTCGAAGTGCATGATACCATAATACGGGGCGTCGCTAAGGTGGGGGGGGGGGGGGGTTGCGATACCCCTCACATATCAGGATATTGTCGGTAAAATTGCGCTGCTGTCGGGAAAAATGAGAAAAGGGAAAGGGGGAAGAAAAGAAAGGAAAAAAGAAAGAGAAGAAATGAGAAAAAAGAAAAAGAGGAAGAGAAGAAAGAAAAGGAAAAAAGAAGAAAGAAAAAAGGAAACAAAAGAAACGGGGGATAAAAGAGAGGAGAGAGAAAAGGGGTAAGAGCCTGAAAGAAGAGGGTGGAAGTAAGAGAAAGGGGCCATGTTGAGTGGAGTCGCCACGTCGAGGGTGCAAGAAAAGTATGAATAGATAATAAATTATGTTGCTGTGTCGGTCCGCTGTGTCGACATTCTTGCTCGATCCTCGTATACTGTAGAAGTTTGAATTCGGTTAGTTGTTTTTAAGTCCGTCGGCCGGCAAATTTTTCCCTACGAACTGTGACTTTTTATCGGACAAAGAAACGTTTTCGAAAATTCAGACAATGATTGTAAGTCGGTACAACGAATCTTAATAAAAAAATCAAAGTTTCCGCGCAAGCGCGGAAGGGGGGAACTGAATTCAGCCAAGGATTAAGAGTAGAGAACGGTACAACGAATCGTTTTCTTTCTCTAATAATCTTAATGAAACGTCAAAGCTTGCGGAAGGGGGGAACTGAATTCAGACTAGGATTAAGAGTCGAAAACGGTACAACGAATCGTCTTCTTTCTCTAATAATTAAATGAAACGTGAAGGGGGAACTGAATTCAGACAAGGATTCAAAGGTGAGAACGGTACAACGAATCGTCTTCTTTCTCTAATAATTAAAGTCAAAGCTTCCGCGCTTTGCGCGGAAGGGGGGGGGGGGACTGAATTCAGACAAGGATTAAGAGTAGAGAACGGTACAACGAATCGTCTTCTTTTTCTAATAATTAAAGTCAAAGCTTCCGCGCTTTGCGCGAAAGGGGGGGGGGGACTGAATTCAGACAAGGATTAAGAGTAGAGAACGGTACAACGAATCGTTTCCTTTCCCCCTAATAATTTTAATGAAACGTCAAAGCTTAAGCGCTTCGCGCGGGAGAGGGGGAAACTGAATTCAGACAAGGATTAAGAGAAGAAAACTACGCCTACAACGAATCGTCTTCTTTCTCTAATGATTTAATGAAACGTGAAGGGAACTGAATTCAGACAAGGATTCAGAGGCGAGAACGGTACAACGAATCGTCTTCTTTCTCTTATAATATTATTAAATGAAACGTCTTAACTTCTGTGCTTTGCGCGGGAGGGGCGAAACAAGAATTAAGAGTCGGGAACGGTACAACGGATCGTTTTCTTTCTCTAATAATTTAATGAAATGTCAAATCTTCCGCTCTTCGCTTTGGAGGGGGGAACTGAAAAATAATTTAACTCCTGGCCACGGGTTTATAGGGTTAAGTTTGTGGACATTGGGACATTTGCATTAATATATTTGTCGGTAATTGGTGGCTTGTTTTGTCGGCAATCGGTGGCCTCTACATGCCCCCCCCCCCCCACTAAAAAAGGTCTAGCGACGCCCCTCACCATAATCAGTATAATACGGAATCATACACGTAAAACCTTTCAATACAATACGAGACGGCTATCTATCTTATTATATAGCATGCTCCGGCGTTCAATATTATAAAGTTTTGCCTGGTAGGATGTGAAATATTATACAAATAATGAATGGTTATGAGTTCAATAGTGCGAATATTTTCATGAGTTGAAAGATTAACATTCTATTCAACGAGGCGTCAGCCGAGTTGAATAGAATTAATGTTAATCTTTCAACGAATGAAAATATTCGCACCAGTTGAACGAATGAATAACATTCATTATTTGTTTTATACAACATCGAAGAAGATCTAATAGAACGTCGATCAACAAATTATGCTTTACTCCTTATAAAAGATAAATTAAAGTTGGATTCAAGCCTTCTCGATTACATTCAGATTGCCTTCGCGTCAGATACACGCAGGGATACGCGCGCGCACGGCAGAGAGGTACGCAGTCTGCATATAACCAAAAATGCACGGCGCATATAACCAAAAATGCACGACCGTGCAATATACCATCTATTGAATATCATGTGACCAACAATCCTCCAATCAAATGACAGGGATTCACGTAGGTGTTGTATAAAACACTTTATATTTTCGCAATATTAATACAGGTCTCTGTACATAATATAGGCTACTGAAACACATGCGATTGATGTGTCTCCGTAAATGAATATATACAATTATTTATACATGTATAATTACAAAACGTATAGGTATACAAACATGTATAATTAGAGAGAGAGAGAGAGAGAGAGAGAGAGAGTGGAGGAAGAAAGAGTTCAGAAATAAAGAGAATATAGGGAGAAGTGAGAAGGGTGATAAAACAAACAAAAAGAAATGTTTTAAGAATATCAAATTTGTCTATTGATTTTTTTAAGCAGATAACGAATTTACGATTATGCATTGTCTAGCTGTAGACCATAGTTTGACATTTTTCATTGAACATCCATCGCAATGTTCACTGTCTTGTTTGATGATGATGTTTACTACGTATGTCTCTTTTTTTCTCATTTACATGCAGACTGATCTTTACAGACGTCTATTCAAACACCATCTCTTGTCATTAAGCATCGCGAACGATTATGGATCAACGTAGCCTCCCTACTATCCTACGAATCTTTCTTCTGGTATGGGTGTGTCAAGAGGTGCAACCAGCCAACATCCTAATGGTAGGGTTCGTCGGGAAAGGGAGCCATTTTCTTTGCCTTCTCCCGATCGGGAGAAGCTTGGTAAGTCAGGGACACAATGTTTCTTTACTCACCAGCGACGAATACATGGAGAGAGCAAATGATCCCGAGCTCAGAAAACTCTTTAATTTTGAGATCTACAAAAACACCGATCCTCGATATAACACAAAGAAATATTTTCACCTCCTCGAGGAGTTGGGCTTTAGTGAAAACGGAGACCTGATATCCTTTTTCAAAACGATGACATCATTTAACGAGATTATCAGCAAAACTTGCCAGTTTGTCCTGGAAGATAAGGAGATGATGAAACGTTTTGAGAAGCTGGATGCGATTGTAACCGATATGGGTTGGCCATGCGGCGGTTTGATCAAGCTCCACCTGAAGAAATACTCCAATAACAGCCGGGTTCGTCTTATTTGGACAACACCCACCACGCCCAACGTGGCCATGTTGGACATCTCTGGCTCACCCGCAAACCCAGCCTATCAACCAGCTATTATGTCTAGCTACACTTCTAACATGACGTTTATCGAAAGAACAATCAACACCCTATCTACCTATGGTTTGCGATTGTTCATGAAGATGGCGTCGTATTCTTTTTCTACATTCGCTGAAGGCGTTGGCTTGGGAGATGAATTAGCGACTATAGATAATATGCTAACGGATATTACAGACTTAGTCCTGGCAAGTTTTGACTTTGCGGTTGAGTTTCCATTTCCAAAATCGCCGGGCTTGATACCAGTAGGAGGTCTTACGGCAGGACCCCCGAACGACCTCCCTCAAGAACTGGAAGATTTCATTCAAAGTTCCGGAGATGATGGCATTGTAGTATTCACACTCGGAACCTACTTTGCAAATTTTGCGACTTCCAGACCACATCTTCTGAAGATGTTCATCGATGCTTTGGCCAAGATCCCTCAGAAGGTCATCATGCAACTCAAGGTCATGCCCGAGTACGACCTCCCGCCAAACATTAAAGCGTTACCATGGCTACCGCAGAATGATCTTCTTGGTCATCCCAAAACTCGGCTCTTCATGTATCACGGAGGAAACAACGGGTTCTACGAAGCCGTCTATCACGGCGTACCTATCATCGTTCTACCGTTCTTCGGAGATCAACTCGACACAGCCGCCAGAATAACTTCGCGTGGCATGGGATTACAGCTTGATAAGCTAACTCTGAGCGTCGACCTTATTCATCATCACTTGACAGAAGTGTTAGGAGACGAGAGATATAGCTTGGCGGCCAAACGTCTGTCAGCCATCTTGAGAGATCGACCAATGAACCCGGCTGATCGAGCTGCATTCTGGATTCAACACGTGATCAAACATGGCGGCGAATACATGCGATCTCCTGCTCATGATTTATCGTTCATCCAGTATAATTTGATTGATGTTTATGCATTTATTGCGAGTGTGCTTGCGCTCTTCTTATTCCTAGTTTATAAGATTATGCGATGTTGTGTTTCTTGCTGCATGCGAAAGAAAGTAGGTACCAAGGACAAAAGCGACTGAAAAACGAATTTTCGAATGATTTATTAAACAACCTTGAAATTGTTATATCATGCAAATCTGACAAGTTGCTGATGTTATATGGTACTCCCTTTTGCTAGGTTTTTTTTACCGTTATTTAAAAAAAATCATGATCAAAACAAAATATAACATTATACCACGAGCAACGTTCTGCATTTTCCCCCCTAAAATTTATATTACTGTTCTATTCTCTTTACATGCGCCCTCTTTGTCAGTTATGTTTGCTGGTTCATCACCCTGTTTGAGCGTCAATGCATGTTTAATAGTGCAGATAGTCGCAAATAATTTATGATCCATTCACACCACAAAGACCGACACCAGAACGAAAAGAATAAAATGTTGCATAGTCAAAATGGCCAAGACTCATAAAGTCTGAGGTATGAAGTCGGTATAATGTCAGTATGAAGCCGATGTGGAGTTGGTTTGGCGGATTGTCTAAGGTATTCCTGGAACAATCATGCCTGGGTCATCCCCAAGTCACCCTGCATACTACAAAAGGTATCAAAGCTCGAAGAGGGGGTGGGGAAATTTCGTATTTTTAAGTATTTTTGTTTTGTAATATTTTTTATTGTATTCACTCAATAAATAATATTAATTCATACAAATTGTAATATATAACATATTGAAACCAATTACAGAGTACAAAATACAGTAATCTCAATTATATTGAATGAATTAATATTGTTATAACCCCCCCCCCCCCCCTCTATATTTTGTTCTGTGTTACTAGTATCCCTATTACATATTATAATTTATAACATATTGGAACAAAGTACAGACTACAATCAACTTAGTTATATCGAATGAATAAAGTTTGTTAAATCCCCTACCCCCGTTAAAAACAAAACCAACAAAAAACAAAAACAAAAAACAAAAAACAAACAAAAAAAACAAAAAAAAACGATACAAGAAGACGTGGGCAGTCTATGGCAGTCGAGACCGGTCAATCACACACAGCTGTGAACCGGGCAGGCCCCCCCTTTCCTCATCCCTTGCATTTTCTTGCATATTATCCATGTTTACCTTGAGATGTTCCCATTTTTTATAGTGGAGCGTCAACGTATTTCGTTCAGTAGCACTCTTTCTTTCTTCCTGTTTACTTTTGAATATTTTCTCTCTTATTTCTTCAATACTTGGAGGCTTCTTTTTTTCCCTACTAATAAATATCAAATATTTAATTAATAAAACCACGTGATTAATCATTTGCCTATCTTCGGTTATTTCGTCTAATCCAATGTGAACTTCCTTCCAGCTCATATCTTTAAGGATTGGAATATCCAAACTATCACTACATTGATCCCATAATTTTCTCACCATTTCGCATTCAAAAAATATGTGCCTATATGTTTCCTCTTCTTTTCCACAAAATGAGCATTTATCACTTAATATGAATTGAAACCTGTATAAATAACGATTGACATAAACAATTTTATAAAGCAATTTGAATTGAAATTCTCTTAGTTTATTATCTAAAGTACTAATTCTTGGTCGGACAAAAACCTTTTCAATTTCTTTAACCGACAGATTGTATGATGAATGTAAATTCTGAAAACTGACAGGGACGTCTTGCATTTTTTGTATGCATGCCCTGTACAGATTTTTCGAACAAACCGATTCAAATTGGAATGTTTTTTTTGTGAACATAAATTCTATTTTTAGATCATGAAATGAAATTTGCCTCTTTGTTAATTCGATTTTCCATTCCTTTGGTATATTACCATAGATTTCTTTAAGCATTGATATTTCCTCTTCCTCTAGTCCCATACATCTGAAATAAGTTTTCTACATTTGTTTTAAATTGTTGTGAGTAAACTTATATCGTCTTCATTGTAGTTGACAACCAAAATGTGATTTCTCGTATGCAGTATCTATTTGGTTTGGCCTACTGATTAAAAACGGCATTAATTAGGATCAGTAAGAATAATGATATGGGAAATGAAATGCAATTATCGTCTTCTCTGCCATCTTTTATCATTCTAATCAGACCTTAAAGGACAATCCAATCACTGTAATAAGTTCATTTGTATGAATTTAAAGTAGAAAAATAAGATAAACAGAATGGTTAATGTTTGAAATAAGTCGAACCAATCATGAGAGAGTTATGAATATTTGAAATAATTATGTGATCAATGAGTCAATGCGATTCTCAAATTGGCAGTTTAGTCAGTTAATTGGGTAACACTTTGTCTATTTCGAGAGCTTTGTGTATAGCTTTTTTTAGATCAATTCTATAATTATTGTATAGGGCTCTCTTGGAAACCAGCAATGCCACAATGCCAAAAAAAAGACTGAATACATATTATTGAACAAATTACGGGTAGATAAGATATTCGAGCTTTCATCAATCAAACTTTTAAATTGGGAAAACAAGTGTTTTACTATAATGATTTTTTTGTTTGTTATGGATTTATTTGATTGAAATATTCCTTCATGTGACTCACGTAAATTTGATGATAAAATTAAAATTATCGCTGGAAAACTAACATGATTGTATTGTGTATTGGACTGTATTAAGTATTTAATGTAATCTATGTATGTATGTATGTAAGGCAACGCGTTAAAGATAGCCATCTGCGTTGTATCCATACAGGCATTGTTTAACAATGTTTCCAGTTTTACAAATCTGAGATGCATGGCCCTACGTGTTATCAGTGTCTGTGATATGGTGTAAGATTGAAAGCCCTAACCAAAAAAACGCGCTTCAAAATGATCATAAAGTGCTTCAAAAAATTAAAAAACTTGAATGACCGGTTTTACCCTACTCATTTTTCCAATAGACTGTACTGTTATTGACATTTCTAATTCCAATCATAAATATCTTGATAAACAGAAAAGTGATTATCTTGTTAAAGTCACGGGATTCCTGACTGACCTAATGGTCTATAATTATGATTGCACCATTACGATTGCTAATTAATCCAGGATTTTGTTTAGAATCTGAGACAAAGACACCCAATCCCTTTAAGGTTGTGATATGGGTTTTACAGCCTGTCTAGAAAGGCCACCTTTCATCTATGAATAACAAATCGTATTGTCACGGTCATTTCATGAAAAGGGTAAACAACATTGACTCCAACTTTATGGGCAACTGTGCACTGTATAAACAGTTAATAAAGATAATTTTGTGACACCCTGTGTAAATATTAATTTTTTATTTAGTTGGCAAGTTTTCTTTTTGGTTTTACAGCTTGTCTAGAGAGGCCACCTTTTATCTATTAATAATAAATCGTATTGTCACAGTCATTTCATGAAAAGAGGTTAACAACATTGACTCCAACTTTATGGGCAACTGTGTATATAATGTTAATAAACGTAATTTTCACTATGAATATGACCAGGCGCGAACGCAGGATTTTTTCGAGGGGGGGGTTTTAACATTTATAAATCGGTCCGAAAATTTCGCAACGACTTAGCCAGCCGCTGAATAAGTGGGGGGGGGGGGGGGGGGGGGGGGGGGGGGGGGGGGGGTAAGAGGACACTTTCTCGAAATTTGGAAATTTGACATTTTGCTCCGTTGGGGGGGGGTAAGGTCAACTTTTTTAGGTCGGCCATGGGAATTTTTTTTTTTTTTTTTTTTTTTTTTAATAATTAAAAAAAAAAAAAAAAAAAAAAAAAAAAATCCAAAAGGGAGGGGTTTTAGGTTTTTTTTAGGGGGGTTTACACACAAAAAATTTCCAAAGGGGGGGGGGTTTAACCCCCAAACCCCCCCCCCCCACCCCCCCCCCCCCCCCCCCCCCCCCCCCCCCCCCCCCCCCCCCCCCCCCCCCTGCGTACGCGCCTGAATATGACTGACAAAGAAAGCGGACAAAACATACAGTTCCTCAGGTAGACAAAGGAACATCCCTTTACTGCTATTATGTAAAAATGTGTAGAACAGGTGTCACATTCATATTCACTTGTTACATAATAGCAGTGAAGGGATGTTCCTTTGTCTCCCTGAGGAACTGTATATTTTGTCCGCTTTCTTTGTCCGTCATATTCATAGTGTTTGTTACACCTTGTGTGAATATTAATTTTATTTAGGTGACAAGTTTTTTTTGGGGCGAAGTGCCCTTTTGATGAACATGATTAATCGTCTCACCTGTCGTCATGTAAGACCTTGACCAAGCTAATATAATGCATTTATGATTAGGCCCTATTAAGAAATTTTTCACTGTGAAAACGGTTTAATGGTTTTCGATTATAGAGTAATGCATAAATCATCATGGTACGTATTGCCTCATGTACACCATGTTGGGAAAGAAAGAGAGAGAGGGGGTGATGGGGGATCATGTGGCAGAGAGATAGATGGGAGAAGAGAAAGTTATAGATAGAAAACACAAAGAGAGAGAGAGAGAGAGAGGGAAGGGGTTAAGGAGGGATGGAGGAGAGAGAAAGAATAAGTTGAAGACTAAGAGGAAGAGAGAGTATGAAAGAGAGACAGACACACAGAGAGAAAGGGAGGAACAGAAAGAGAGTTAATGAAGACAGAAGGGAAATAAATTAGTATAGAAAGAGAGAGGGAGTATAAGAGATTGGTGATGTTGAAGAGAGGGGGTTAGAAAGAGAGAAAGGACATGAGAGATTGGATATTGGGTCTTTTGTGGATAGCTTTTGGACGATAAAAAAAATACCTTAAAAATAAGATGCAGGTATCTCTTTCCAGCTACCCCCTCCTTTTGTTTTTGTTATGTCTATTTCGAGAGCTACTCTAATCCACTGAATAGCCCCTGTTGTACCTGTGAGGATTTTTTTGGCATTGATTTAAAAAAAAAAATCAACAACAACAAATAATACGACTTTATTTTGTTTGACACGCAAAGAATTAACTTCCTCGCATTAGAATGGTGACAGCGGTGGGATATGATATATTGTATATCGTACAACTTTCTACTTAAATGCGATATCTCCTTTTATACTTGGTCGGGTAAGTGTTTTACCTGCATTTTCATATAATTTTGATGTTAGATCAAAGATTTTTAATAAGAATAGTCATGAAATGGGAGGTCTCATGTTTGTGTTATGCTTATTTTAGCATAGGAATTAGTGATCCGTCACGAAATCAAGGAATACCATTATTGATATATGGAAGTACGTGATATTTTATAATTATGCTCTGAGTCCGTTTGACAGCCACCCCCTCTCTCTCTCTCTTTCTCTTTCTCACAATATCTCTCTTTTTCTCTCTCATTCTCTCTCTATTTCTCATTCTATCTCCCTTTCTCTCATTCGCTCACTCGCCTTTTCTAAAGGAAATTTATTTTTATCACTCGTGTTTACTTTCTCATCCTCATTTTTTCTTTTCGACAAAATACAACCACGACAAGATCGTGTAAATGTGAAAGCTGTATTTATTTGCATGTGTAATGTCATAATAATGCTGTCGTTCGAATAGGCTTAGAGCGTGTTTGTCTTTGTGCAACAAAATCATAGGAGTGGAAATGTCCACCTTCCGAGGCAAAAAAAAAAGATAATAGAGAGATGGCTAAATACCTCATCTATTCAATTGTCTACATATCCATTGTATTGAAACAGACTAATTATACATATACGATTTTGAGCCGAATAATGACATACAAGATTTGGAAACAAAATCAATGAAAACCTTTTTAGACCTGAAACAATTTTCAAATTTGCAGCATAAATTTAGTGTAATCTAACCTGAAATTGACCATTGAACGTTCAAGAAACGTATTAACATAAAGCTCAGGCCGCGTCAAAACTAGGGTAGTAGAGACCGGTGTTTTTTGAAGTTTTATCTTACATTCATTTCGCGGGCCTACTAAAAATAAGGGAAAAGATACTCCCGACCAGCTGGCAAAATAGGTAATTCATATGCAATAGCTCTGACCACAGCCACGCAGTTTAAGAGATAGGCATACACTGTAAAAACAAATATATGGATTGCAATTTGTTTTACTGGCAGCTTCGTTAGGCAGGCCCATTGCTACTATTAACCCGGCATAATACACGATAACGATCCTATAAAACTCATACATATTTCAAACTGTGCCTCGCTGTATGGCATTCTGTACAACTGTAATCAGGATTTCAAAGCATATAGTTGCTGCAAGGGTAAAACAGATATCGAATTAATTTCTCGTTTTATCACGTTTAGAAATAAAACACAGTATAAAAGAACAACAACAAAATCCAGCAGCTCTTGCATTTTCAAGAAAATGTTGTGTCATTATTATTTTTTGTCACTGGTCGTAAATTATATCGGTATGAAGTTTACAGGCAAAAGGTTGACGGGTAAATCGGGGGAATGCAAAGACCGTATGCATTTCAATTACAAAAAATCTAGCCGGACATAAAGCAACACGTACTCAGCTCAGAATCTAATATACATTGTGGGATTTAAAAAAAAATTGCTAAAATGTAAAGCCGTTTTTTTAAACACTTAGACCGTAAGTATATTGTAAGAATGCAAACAAAATGTCGCAAAAATTGCTACTTGACGTGATGTGGGATACCACGTTCAGTGGTCACACATCTAGAAATTCATATGTTTTTTCTATTACATTGGTATTGTCAAGGAAAGTACATGATGACTCTGTTTTCAAATTTTACTGGATACTTATGTTTACAAAGCTATGAGGTAAAATCTTATTTACATGCGTGTGATAATAATTAAGATTAGCCAAATTTACAGTGAGAACGGGGAATTCTAAACGCCCAAGAAGTATTACTACTACCCTGGCTATAGGCAATCTGCTCGAAAGTGTTGTAAGCCTTTAAAGGGATAGTTGAGTTCTTGTTTAAGACCGCAATTACCTTCAAAGTGCATGGTTATTGCTCTTATTCTTATTTATGACATTTCTAGTACCCTTTTAGAACCTAAAATTGCTATGAAGGTAATTTTAGACACCAACATGTGTGAATTTAGATCATACAAATTCAGCTCCACTTAAACAAAATACGGTGACCGTTATGCACATTAAAAAGTTAAAATCTGCGTTTTACTCGAACCTACACGAAAAAGCCAACAAAAAGCCAACATTGGCATTGGCTGGAATAAAACGTATAGGCGCTATCTCGTTTTTCAACGGCTGGTTCAAATTACCGAATATTTGAAATGGTTATATTTATGTATATTTCAGCCGTCTCTGAACGGATTTTGATCAAACAAAGATGATTTTGTCATTCAAATTGTATATTCTTTCAAATTTGAAACTCAGTTTTTCATCATCTCACCCGAAAAAAATAATATTGTAACGCCCTCTGCAACAAAACTCAACTATCCCTTTAACCACTTCAACGAATTTCCTCATACCAGGTTCTCATTTACTGCCATGGGTATACAGCTGTGATGAGAAGTATTACTACTACCCTGGCTATAGGCAATCTGCTCGAAAGTGTTGTAAGCCTTTAAAGGGATAGTTGAATTCTTGTTTAAGACCGCAATTACCTTCAAAGTGCATGGTTATTGCTCTTATTCTTATTTATGACATTTCTAGTACCCTTTTACAACCTAAAATTGCTATGAAGGTAATTTTAGACACTAATATGTGTGAATTTAGATCATACAAATTCAGCTCCACTTAAACAAAATACGGTGACCGTTATGCACATTAAAAAGTTAAAATCTGCGTTTTACTCGAACCTACACGAAAAAGCCAACAAAAAGCCAACATTGGCTGAAATAAAACGTATAGGCGCTATCTCGTTTTTCAACGGCTGGTTCAAATTACCGAATATTTGAAATGGTTATATTTATGTATATTTCAGCCGTCTCTGAACGGATTTTGATCAAACAAAGATGATTTTGTCATTCAAATTGTATATTTTTTCAAATTTGAAACTCAGTTTTTCATCATCTCACCCGAAAAAAATAATATGGTAACGCCCTCTGCAACAAAACTCAACTATCCCTTTAACCACTTCAACGAATTTCCTCATACCAGGTTCTCATTTACTGCCATGGGTATACAGCTGTGATAAGAAGTATTACTACTACCCTGGCTATAGGCAATCTGCTCGAAAGTGTTGTAAGCCTTTAAAGGGATAGTTGAATTCTTGTTTAAGACCGCAATTACCTTCAAAGTGCATGGTTATTGCTCTTATTCTTATTTATGACATTTCTAGTACCCTTTTACAACCTAAAATTGCTATGAAGGTAATTTTAGACACATTATGTGTGAATTTAGATCATACAAATTCAGCTCCACTTAAACAAAATACGGTGACCGTTATGCACATTAAAAAGTTAAAATCTGCGTTTTACTCGAACCTACACGAAAAAGCCAACAAAAAGCCAACATTGGCTGGAATAAAACGTATAGGCGCTATCTCGTTTTTCAACGGCTGGTTCAAATTACCGAATATTTGAAATGGTTATATTTATGTATATTTCAGCCGTCTCTGAACGGATTTTGATCAAACAAAGATGATTTTGTCATTCAAATTGTATATTCTTTCAAATTTGAAACTCAGTTTTTCATCATCTCACCCGAAAAAAATAATATTGTAACGCCCTCTGCAACAAAACTCAACTATCCCTTTAACCACTTCAACGAATTTCCTCATACCAGGTTCTCATTTACTACAGTACCATGCATGAGTATACAGCTGTGATGAGAAGAGAACATGTGCATGATGAATGGATCAATATCCCCCAATGATATTATTTCTGCATCAAGGACGCGAACCCTTTGACATACAGTCCATTGCATTATTATAAGAACAGGACATTAACAAGTTAAAACATAGAATTTCTACATCTTTCCTAGATATGAAGTAAATATAAAATACATATAAAATACATATAAGTAAGATGTAGCTTGGATTCGAAGACTTGATCAAGTAGTGCCACTCCAATTCAAAAGAAGCTAATCTTGCGTTTACTTTTCAATGAAAGTGCAATTATTTAATGGATTTGCACATTGAATCCTAATTCTTGCAATCTAATTACTTGTGAAAAGCTTATATCTGGTATTAGATGGTTGAAAAAAAAAACAGTACCGCGATCCCTGTGCTGGATAATTAGCGTGTATTTTAAGCAACCGTGATATTCACGACTATTCACGACAGAGTGCGATAAAAGCTGAATATTGTGACGACGTATATAGAAGCCATATACAAAGCTCTTAAATTCAAAATTATATCTATGCATATTCTAATCCTAAAATTTGATAATCAATACTGAAATGAAATAATACAGTCAAACCTGCTTTAGTGCATGCTTGTCTACAAAGACCACCTGTCTACAGAGACTTCATTTTTTGTTTCCCTTGAAAATGGCTTCTCATTGAAACATGTACTGTAGGCATCCGTCTACAAAGACCACCTGCCTATAAAGACCATTTTCTTGTCTCCCTTTGGTGGTCTTTATAGACAGGTTCCACTGTGCATTGTAATCAAAGCTGAGTTGTGAAGACGTACAGTGTATAGAAACTATATTTTCAAAAAAAAGCTTCTATCCCTAAAATTTAAACTCGATACTAAAATCAAACAAAACATCTATTTGTGATATTGCATCAAGTAATATAGCATGAATATACATTAATCGTTTGAAAAAAATTATTCACTGATGAATTTAATCTTACTATTGAAAAGCACACTGGAAATACATTGTTGACCATAAAGTTGGAATACTTTTTAGCTACCTCTTTTTACGAAGTGATTGTGAGGAAACGACGTAATGCACCATAACATCATGAAAGTAAACAAATGCTTCAAGTTTATACAATCCTATACTAATTAACAAGATTCTGCATGAAAATTATTCTAGGTCATTGAATGTGTTTACTTAGCGACAAAGCAACAGTATTATTATAGTTTCATTAAAATTATAAACACTACTAATTTAGACGTATCGCAGCTGCCTTTCCGCTTCCGTCACCATCGCCGTCACAATTTTATCGTGATGTCTGATTGTCCGTCCGTCAGTCCTTATTGCATGATCATTTGCTATACTGCATGGGACTGATCAGTAGGTCCATGGACTGATTAAACTCAAATGAAACGTGCCCGACCGTGCCGGGGAGAGAGAGGGAGGGAGGGAGAGAGAGAGAGAGAGAGAGAGAGCTTTCACTAATTAGATTGGACTTGTAGTGTTATTATACATGTAATCTGTCGCTATTGGGGAAAGAACTGTTATTTGATGCTATCGGGCAAATCATTTATTCCGTTTCCGTTTCCGTTTCCCCAGCTGACCCAGAAGATGGGGAGTTCAACGGTCAAAGTTTATTTCCCGATGCTCTCCAAAATGGCGTCGTCGGTTTGGTCTCGTCGTAAATGAAAGTGAAAGATAAACCGATGACACTCACAATATGTAATCATTGTGGTTGCTTTTATTGTCAGAACAGTCTATTCGAGCTAAGAAATTACCATTTTGCTCAATCAGGCGTAGAACATTTCAATGTGACAAGAAGAGAGAAAGATAGTAATTATCCAAATGAAATAAGTGATTACAATGTGAGCGGGTTGAGTCATTCACCCGACACTGTTCACCGATGTTGTACTTTTGCTATTTTTAAAGCAGAATTTGATAATGGAATCCTAAAAATAGAGAACGTGTTTCTGCTGGCATTAAAAAATAACATCACAATTTTACACTTTCTCAGAAACTTAGACAACAGTGTACTTAATATCTAAAGAAGGAAGATATTTTAGAGCATGTAATTTCCAGTGATTCGTAAAGGACACATTTTTGAATAACTACTAGTACTTTCCGAGAATAAAATATCAAATTTTCGAAATCATATATCTAACACCAATTTGTTTCGTTGATGTCAAGAATTAGAAATTCGTAACTTTCTGATTCTTCACTGACTTTTTCTTAAATATTCATTGGCCGTTTCTCTCCATTTCCCCTTTTTGAAATTCGGAAATCCATTTAATGATAAAGTGGAATTGAATAAGTGGTAATTAATACTGTAGAGCTTACACAATCTATATGGTAAATGTTAAGTTTAAGCCAAGGGACTGAAAATCCAAATTCTTAAATCAGTGACATTTTGTGTAGCAGAGCATTAGGTCCGATAAATCAGGAAATTCAAGAAAAAATACACATTTAAAATTAAGAGGACGAGAAGCGCAGATATAATACTGCATTATGCAGAGAAAGCTACAGTAACTTCGTATTTTGGCGGTTTTTCATGCGACATTGGTTGATTCTGGTTGCGAAATTTCATTTGTTTCCCTTTACAATTCGACGTCATTATTTTGTTATGAACATAATCTATTCTTCTTGGCATTTATCTTCATTATTGTCCTTATCATTGATATTGCTAAGAATTTGCATAACACAAATTAGAGAAGAATAAAGCTTACTACACAAATTAAGAATTGAACATCGCCCTTTATATCTGTCATCATGATGTAAAATGATGAATGATTTCAGGGTTAGAATACAATGCTTTGGTTATCAGTTTCTGAACCCCATTGTCATGACTGACATCGTAACTGAGAATCGCAGAATTCTCATTGTCTATCTTTCCATCTCAGATTTTAATTGTTCAATTCCTGATAAACATTTTCCGAAAAAATATAACCTCACCCGTCATATTCTAATTATCATCGTATTTGGTAACATCAATTGCTTCAATTTCTAGATTATTTTAATGAAAGCCTGACCACTTTATATTTATGTTACACTTTTGTAAATGTATAGACCAAGTCTAAACTGAATGATTATAATAGTATAGAGTAACTGCATGATTAACATTCTCCGCGTGTACAATGAAGGCTAGCGTCCAATTTACATATTAGTTTTTAATATTGAACAAAATGCTATACATAGAATTCTTCCTCAACAAAAGACTTAATAGCACTTCCATTAATCCTCGTGCTACTTCCAGTGACCGATGCGGACCCGAGTAAGTCATTGCTTCCCCTAAGGTTATGGTAGTTTCCCGAGTTCTTCGATGGGCTCATCAAATGCCCGACCTCCTCCTCGTACTGATTCATCTGTGCTGCCTTTTCTTCCACCGGATACGACCTCCGCCTTGTGTTCCCTCGTCCAACTCGTCGATATCGGCTATAGAGGAAGGCCAGGATGATGACGGCGATGACGATGCCGGCGAGGAGAGCGGAGAGAATGATGGACTTGAGCGACTTGACGGTGCCGATGCACGAGGAATGGGGCACGGTGGTTACCTGTAGACCCTGGTAGGCTGGGGGTGACACGCAGGTGATGTTACCCAAGTTGATCCCCCATTGGGTGGAGCTCCTAAGCCTTTTCGAAGTCAGCGCCAAATTACAGTCACATCTCAATAAATTATTGAGGAGATTCAGCCACACGAGACTCTTGGGGAGATAATTAAGGCTAGCTTCATTAATACTCATGATGTAATTACTCTCTAAATTGATTAGTCTCAACCGTGTCACACCAGAAAAGGCGACCGTGTCCAATACACTAATGTTATTCCTGCTAAGATCTAATTCTTCAAGGTTTGAGAGATTTTGTACGTTCGGAACTTCACTGAGCTGGTTATCCTGCAACTTGAGAACACGTAATTTAATTAATCGAGTTAGGTTTGGGGTTACACGGACGCTGTTATTATGCAATAAGAGTGTTTCTAGGGAGATGAGCTCAGGTGTTTCAAGAAATGCCAAAGACACCAATAGGTTTCCGCTGAGATCCAGAAAGCGGAGGGTCGCTAGAGAGCCGATTGCTCCATCGTGAATGCGCTCGATTGAGTTGTTGGCTAAGTTGACGTATTCCAGTCTCGCTCGCTTGCCCCATATGGCGTTTGAAATATTCACGAGACGATTCTCTTGAGCTTTGAACGTTGTCAGGTTGATTTGCTTTACCAGTAGACCATCAGGTATGGCATTCAGGGCATTCGAGCTAAGATCGATGGTCCGTAAACCAGTGTTAGAGTCGAACGCATTGTGGACGACGGAGCGCAGCCCGTTCAGAGACAAATCAATCGTTTCAAGAGCAGGGCAAAAACCAGGGTATTTCCAATTTATTTTACCTCCCTTGTCTGCCATGGACGTAGCGTTTCTGAGGTCGAGTACTCTCAATTTGAATGCTCCAACCAGCCAAGCGGTAGGTAGTTCCGAAAGGTCGTTATGAGAAAGGTATAACTCCTGTATACTAGATCCTGAAGGAAAAGGACCCGGGAAAGCAATGTTTCTAAGCCCATTGTTCCGCAACGAAAGCATCCTCAGCTTTCCCTCACTCGTAGGGTGAGATATGAGGGATGGAAGAATACTTATCGAGTTATTATCAATATTTAACGACGTCAGGTTAGGCATAGCAAGAAATATAGATTCATTCAATTGATTTATATTATTGTTGCTTAAATCCAATGTCACGAAAGGGTAGGGTGTGTCAGCCACTGGCAAGTTGGTTAAGGCATTGTTGCTGAGGTTGATGACTGTCAGGTTACCCAAGCCCCTGAAACAATTCCTGTTTATGGTAGCAATTTTGTTGTTTGTTGCGGTCAATACTTCGAGCGACCTGCTCTGCCTGAACACGCTGCAATTCTCTTTATCAAAGGTGTCCATTAAGTTCCAGTCCAGAAGGATCGTCCGTGCCTTGACGGGGAATACAGTAGGCAGGTTCTGGTACAACCTTGAACAGTTCACTAATCGAATGGTGTCGTTGCAGCAGCAACGCCAAGGGCAGGTGCTAGAGTTTAACGCTGTTCTTAAAATACTAATAGGCGTCGGCGAGCTACACCCATTGCTCTCTACCAGTACCACCATCAGATGAATTGCAATGACATAGAATCCCAGTTGCAGAACAGGGTTCATTGCTCCGTAAGGTCTTTGTCGAATCATCATGGTGGAAATCTGAGATGTTAGTTGAGCGTTTTGGTGCAAGATAGATGAACGATGGTGGGTAAATGATTACAGCTTGCTAAATCCATTATTCCAATTCGTGGAGAGGATGACGCTGAATGTTTGCACTGCACCACATGAACTCTGGGGAGAATAGAGAGAGGGGGAAAGAGAGAAAGAAAGAGAGTTTGATTATCATTCAATATTGTGAATAATCCAGAGGCAAAACAATTTTCAATCGGACGGTTGAATCAAGTCTGGGTAACTGACATGTATAATCAAGACGCGAATCTATACAAAGATCAACAGCGAGTAAATGCATGACATGTCATTCCAAATATGGCAACGTCAAGAAGCTTTACTTTGTTGTGCACACTGAATGTGAGTGTATGTGTGTTATACTTTGACATTAATATACACAATACTAAGAGGTGATGATAATCTTTGTCTAAGATGGTATAAGGAGAGAATGACGTAAGTAAAACAAACCCTGCAAATTATTTGGTACCACAAACATAACCCTAACACTAGTGAATACACTTTGCAACTGTCATGACAACCTCAGCTTTACTTCAGTTTAAAAGAAATATATATAGGCGTGATACTTAAAGGTAAGTTTGTCTTTTTACATATGACGACGCGTATCGAGTCTATTTAGAAATGATGGCAAGAGCATATTCGACCCTCATCTAGGTATTAAGTACAGGTTCATCAAAGATTTAATTTCCTTTGGCATTACTTAGCTTTCTGTGTCATTTTCGCTATCAAAAGGTTCACTTCGAGAGAAAAAATAGCATGATTATTCCTCTAACTATTTCTAAATGCAATATTATATTCAAATTCCATATTTTTTAAGAAAACGGAGCCTTTGTTGTTATTTATGTTGCTGTGGTTGTTGTTGATGTTGTCAGGGGTATCGCGCCGCCCACAGCACTCGGGAAGTTTTTGTATTATGTAACTTTAGCTGTTGAGTAAATTATTCCTTTAACAATATACATAATACCGTATCGGAATAAAACCACCTTTTTTTTTATAGCATTTTGTTTCCGAGGGTGGCGTGTGAGATGCGGCATTTTTCCTTGGTTGCAGCGCAGCGGCCGCAGCGGTCATGAATTCTTCATCATCTAGCGCCTGACGATGAGGCACAGAGAAGGATAATATGAAGGATAGCTGTAATCAATTTTATGCTTCAACTGACTGCGAATAATTGAAGACTGGAACGGGGCAAAAAAGCTGCTTAAATACCTTTCTAGTACAATGGCTTGCTCTCCACACTTAAACATTAAAGGGATTTAGCCCATGCTGCAATGATGATTATAAACCTTTAGGTCGACCAGTCAGGAACCCCATGTCTTTTACAAGCCGATCGCCTGTCCTATTATCAAGATATTAATGATTGGAAATCGAAATTTCGAAAAACCGTTTTCTAAAAGGTTTTTATAACACTACAGTCTATTGGGGAGAAATAAGTATGGTAAAAACCGGTCACTCCAAGATTTTTACTTTTTTGAGGCACGCCATGATCATTTTGAAGCGCATTTTTTTAGGGTTCAATGTTACACCATATCACAGACACTGATAACACGTAGGGCATCACAGATTGAACATTGTTAAACGATGCCTTTAAGCCCGGCCTTTAAGACAGATCGAAAGAGAGAAATTGGTAAATAATAAGGATGAAAAAAGGTTGAGAAGTATGAAATCATAATCCATAGAAATATATCAGTGGTTATAGCAAAGTAAGTGGTAGTGGAAGTGTCAGTAGTAGTAGTAGTAGTAGTAGTAGTAGTAGTAGTAGTAGTATTAGTAGTAGTAGTAGTAGTAGTATAGTAGTAGTAGTAGTAGTAGTAGTAGTAGTAGTAGTAGTAGAAGTAGTAGTAGTAGAAGTAGTAGTAGTAGTAGTATTAGTATTAGTAGTAGTAGTAGTAGTAGAAGTAGTAGTAGTAGTAGTAGTAGTAGTAGTAGAAGTAGTAATAGTAGTAGTAAGAGTACTTATAGTAGTAGTAGTAGTAGTAGTAGTAGTAGTAGTAGTAGTAGTAGAACTAGTGGTAGTAGTAGTAGTAGTAGTAGTAGAACTAGTAGTAGTAGTAGTAGTAGTAGTAGTAGTAGTAGTAGTGATAGTTGTAGTAGTAGAAGATGGATGAGGAGGAGTAGCAGCAGCAGGATAAATAGCTATAGTATAGTATAGTATATAGTAGTAGTTTTAGCAGTAGTGGCAGTAATAATAGTAGACGTAGTATTAGTCGTGGTAGTAGTAGTAGTAGTAGTAGTAGTAGTAGTAGTAGTAGTAGTAGTAGTAGTAGTAGTTAAAAGTTTTAGAAGTAGTAGTAGCAGTTAGTAGAGTGGATTATTGTTGTTGCAGTTGTACTTGGTGGTACCGTAGCGGATGGGATGGCCTGGCATGATCATCTTTTAAAAAAGAGGTAAGGAAATGCAATATTGCAAAGTCTGTCGAATATATCTATATAGAAATTAATTCACTCCTTTAGTTGTTTTGTTGTTGCTAATTACATTGAAAAGGAGGGCAAACATCATCTGATGCAATATAGTTTGCCATTTGTTATTTAAAAATAATTTCCCTCATTTTACTCATTCGGTGAGTATACATGACGGATTTTAGTCTCCTTTTTCTTTGAAATCACGCTTTCAGAGCGCCAGTTATAGCAGCAGACGTGTCATGTTTTATTGTGACATTCATCATCGTTATGGCTAAAATCATACTAAAGCCAGGATATAACAAACGACACTTGAAAGCTAGAAAGCGATTTCGGATAGGATTTCCCCCACAATTTTACTATAGTTGATGAGTCTGCTTTGGAGTTAAAGCACTTTAGAGTTAAAGCATTTTCTTATCATTATCAGATAACGGTTGTTCGCTCGCTATAGCGCACTTTTTGCTAATAAATCTTTTTGGCCTTTGCCAAGGTTTTTTTCTTTTTCTTCACAGAGATGAATATCTTGATGAATGGAAGGATAAAACAGGGTCATCTACACCAAATGAACCGCCGTAAGATGGACCTAAAATCACCTCCGAGTAAGCGTTATACACTCACTCACTCACTCATCCAATCACCCACTCACTCATTAACTCACTCACGCGTAATATGATATAGTGTTAATAGCTTTGAGCAAGTCTTCGGCAAAATTACCAATTTTTACTAACAAGTATTACAACAAAGTGGTCCAATTTTGATCCAGTCTTAAAATAAATCTCTTCCTATGAACAAAAAAGCAACGAACTTATACTTAAAATGGGTATTCTACTCACAAAACAAAATTTAAATTTACCGCATTGACGGGTATATAAGTGCCCAATTTCAACTTTATGAAAATATTGGGTCTCTAGATACATGACTCTCCCTAGATAATTTTGAAATGCTTGTGTACTATATTATCTTCCACAGTACTATATTTATCTTTAAAAAAGCTCGATGGAGAAAGAAAATAAAGCCACTATTAAGATTGCACGTGACATTATGGGTGTGTGTGTGGGGGGGGGGGAGGGGGGGGGGGTCCCCAACTAAAAACAACAATCAATCGCCGTAATGGAGACTGTTTTCAATCAAATTCCATGGCAACACCATGAATCAAATTGGAAATTACAACAGCAGGAACAAATTTCCGGTGATTTGCCTCAGCAGTTTATTACCTTGTATTATATCCCAGTCACACAGCCTAACCGAAGGAAGACCGACCGATCTTTGGCGATTGGTGGCAATGTAATTTTGTTGTTCGATCTGTGGTCGGGCTGGCGTCGGTCTTGTTGGTGTAACTGAGGTACTAAACCCGTATTAACATGCTCGTTTTTTTGCTAATGGATACGTATTTCATCGCGTTTAATCATGGAGATTGTCTTTTACATGAGACTGGGTTCAGAGTGGAGACGGCTCCGAATCTAATCAACAAAATGACTGGCCTTGTGCTTGCCAGCGCGTGGAAATATGATAAGAGGAATGATGCTACGATGACGAGGTTTCATCTGATCAAATATTGATGTCAGATGAGGTATTTAAAGGTGTTTTTATTCATCAAAATAACCCTGAGACTTACCCATATTTGGAAATTAGAATCAAGCATAAGAACATGAGACTAAAGTAGATTCGATGAACTTCAATGGACGTTAGTTTGCGTGCATATCTATACCAACCAGTGAATTAAGCTACATGAATTCAATTACTGGAATTAACTTACTTGATTTAAGATACACGTATACGAATTAAGTTACCAGATTGGATTACTCCTCTTAACAAAAAAATGTGACTCTGCACTAATATAACAAAAGAGAAAATGAAAGGTGCTGTGTCTCACCAAGGAGTATTCGTCACCAGACTCTGGTAAAGCATTGATTACCGGTTAAAGCTCATCTTGAGCTCTGGTATGGGCATCGTATATGTTAAGAGAACATGGCTATAATTCATTCTGAATTGTTTGTCCTGCAGTAGATTGATTGTTTGAACCAGTAAAATAAAAACAAACCTCACAAAAACTTGCTGGAAATCATCTTCAATAAAAACCACAACTCTCATTTGCATAATATAGTGACCTGTGTTAGTACATGGTATCGGGCCTATACTTACCTTGATTTCTTGTCTGCCTATGCTCATTACTCGGCCCCTATACATTTTCTACCAAAGTAGTTTGGCACATGTCATTTATTTGTAATCCAGAACATTTTTGTTGGATTCCATTTTTGTTGGATTTTGTTGGATTCTGTGAGATTTTTTTCTTCTATCATGACCAGAACTCAAGCTTATCTTTAAACTGATAATGGTGATGATATGATGCTGATACTACAATACCTACTGCTGCTATTGATACTGGTACTATTAATTTCCCATTCCCGTCATCACCACAACCGAGACCAATTGTACAGTACTTATACCAATACTGCTATTGCTAGATGAAATATTTCTACTGGTGCTGATGCTGCTGCTATTAATATTGCTACTACTACTGCTACTACTACTACTACTACTACTACTACTACTACTACTACTATACAACTACAAGTACAACAACTTCTAAGACGAAATCTTTATAATAATAATAATAATAATAATAATGATAATGATAATGAGAACAATATTAATAATAATATTACTACTATTACAACTCTGA